CCAACGCAGTATGTAAAAATTATTATCGGTTTGTGGCTATTAGGACTTTCTCGTCATCAATTTACCCTCAGGTTCAATGAACTTTGCATACGATAGAAGAACAAAACAATCTGTAATTGTAACACTCCGCCTTTCTCCTACTTCCTACTACGCTGAGTGCTTTGGGTTCGATCCCCACATGGAACAACACTTTGTGTGATCCACATATTGTTGTTCTGAGTTTAGGCGTTCTTTCTGTCCATTTCATGACTGTTTGTAAAATCCCCCGCAACACAGGACTAAAATTGACTTATGGACTGGACTTGCTAGTGCTGAAACTTACTCTTCTTACTATTGAGCATTGTTGAAACGCAATGTAATAAAAAGTTATTAAAACCATGCGTATAAAAGAAGGGCTCAAAAAGGCTTTAGTGAAACTAGAAACTTTTGAGTGATTGAGTTTGCTCTCCGTCGACACAGAGAAACATCTCGCTGAAACTTGCAGTCAAACGAACACAAAACTGGTTTAGACTTGGCTACCTTGCTACTGATGACAATGAACGTCATCATTGTTTAATGTCTCTCCTTTCGGAGCTTGAAATGGCTAACAGTTTAGGCCGCATGCCACATTAACTATTAGATTAAATATGAGGCATCCAGTGCTTTAACTCGAAGTTCTAACTTAAAAAAAGACATACGAAGAAGCGATAGCAATATTATATAGGGATAATAGGTATATAGCAACTAATAAAAAAGTCGATACTGAGGTTCATCTTTTCTTATGAAATGTTAATGACTCATATCCCAGTAATCATAGCAACGATAGTGTTTTCGGACATATTTTGCCATACTAGACGAGCATCGTAGTATAATGGAGCGTAGAATTATTAATACGCAGACAGTCAAGTGTAAGCTTATTTGCTTCAGGTAAAGTAATATATATCATAAAATGTTATGAGTTTGTAATACAGAATGCGCAGTTTAAATTAGAACCAGTACGGATTGGAATTGTAAGGATAGTTTTCAGAAAGTTTCTGAAAGTATGGAACATCCGATCTATATGCAGCAAATAGTGTCAAGCTGTAATCTGTATCATTCACGGGACATAATTAAGAGATTCTTTTAACAAACAAAACAGACATATTCTGCTAAAACGAACTACGTGAGAAAATCGAAAACTTTGGAAGGAAGCTTCCGACACACAGGGAAAGAACAAAATTTAATAGATTAATTTATTTTTAGCGTTTTATGATTCACCAAAAAATGCGGTTACAAATTTTATTGGAGTATGTGTGTCAAATTTTCTTTGTAGATTTAGCACTAATTTTGAATGTGTTTTATATATTTCAGTAAGTAAAAGCTCTAGCCCACTTTCTGTTTTTTTTTTAAGAGTACAGAATGTTTAATATATTTAGACCGAATGTATAAGAATAGTAGGCCAAAACTTCCACTTTAAGCCTTTATCTAGCAGTGGACTATTAAAGGCTGAAAATGATGTGCTGAATAAGAACCATCCGAACTTTAGGTCTGATTAAATATAAAATTGTAGTAGTGTTATTTAAGATAATTTAAGAGATAATGATAGCATTATTTTAATGTTGATATCTGACAAACAAATCTGCTCATCTCCATTGACTTAAAATAACCAACAGTTTACCAACAGTTTTAATTCTCGCGTTACCGAGCCGTTCAACGATTTGGCATTTTAATTAATGCTGAATGTTTGAGCGCAGCCAAAACTATTAACAAATTGTTGCATTTTACACATGCGCCAAAGCATGTGTTTATTTATCTTAGTTGTGTTAGTAGAAAGTCATAAAACTTCGAAGTAAGTGGTTCATACATCTAGTTTTTTTTATTTGTTATTAACAAATCGAATAACTACGATTTTCTGTAAGAATGCTTAGTTTAAATAACATAACTGTTTAATTTTATGTTTAACAAATTTGTCTTCTATCCAGTCTGTGGTCAAAAGCGCGCTCGGTTTTAAGTCATTGAATGAAAAACTTCAATTTCCATATTATCAAATACCGAAGAGGAATCATTGGTTATGTATATATTAGTTATTGTATATTGCCGCAGTCATTGTGATTTCAAAATGTAAAAAACAACAAAATCGTATATTTTCTTTATTTATTCCTTTAATTTTTAAGGAATCTTTAAATTACAGTTCATGCTAGTCCATTGTAGACTAAACATACTTTACAACTTTGGTATACGTAATCATAACTTAAATAAATAATTATTATGCCTATACAACATAAATTAAAGATGCCAAGTAATATGAAATGTCTTAAACTATGCCCATCTATAAATCATTCTAGCCTCATGTGATAAAGGCTTAGCTGGAAAGTTATTAAAAAAACATATGTCTAGCTTATTAATATTTAAATCCTTAATCACATAATTTCCTTTAGATTTCATATTAGATTCATTTTGGCACACATAATGTGCCCTAAACGAACTCTAAATTCGGTTACTAACATTATGCGATTAAATATACTCCTGTTCAACCATGGGATAAGAGTAGGCTCAGTTTGAATAATTTTATACCAAACACCTTTTGGCTTAGATTGTTCATTAAAAAGTTCTTTCCACTTATCAAAACATACTTGTACTTATATATTTTTGTAATATTTCTGAGTAAATATAAATAGACATGAATGCGACTTCACTTTTCTTTGTAAATCTAATACCTGACATATTGTGTACTTCGTAATTGGCTTAATATTCACTCTGTAAATATCCTACATGTACCTTTTTTTCTGCGCGGAACTCCCCTCAGATACCACTCACCAGTGGGTGATTATGTCGGACTCGGACCGACCAAAAACCGCGCGCCGTCTCCAGGTACCAGTAGCCGGGGAACCAGGTACCCAGGTACCCTAGAAAGCCCTGGTACCCCGACATCCCACATATACCTACTGTCAGCTATGAAGGACCTAAATAAATTAGCAAGACAAAAATTTAAACACCAGGGGTAACTGTCTTTTTTGCTAAGTTATGTGCCTCTTCGTTTCCCCTTAAACTAACATATGATGGGATCCGCTGCAAGACTATGTTGATGTACCCTAAAAGTAGTGAGTGAATACTATGCAGTATTGCATATGCAATCGATGCCTATATACCTATTTGTCCAGGGGCGCATGGTATCAAATGCTGAAGACTGCTTTTGATGTCAGTAAATATTACAACATTTGGCATATGTTGCAACTTGCCTATATAATTTAAAGCTTCCAAAATCGTTAAGAATTAAGCGTTGAACAAATTGCCACAATCCTACTTTTTTTCTATATTTTAGTCTAGTCAATCGCTCTTAATATATATCACTCACTAGTTACATGGGCTCATTTTATCTAGTTCCAATAAAAAAATAAAAATGTTATACTAAACTTCTGTTTTCTCGCTTCGCTGTTCTACTTACTAATATTGAACTACTAGGATGACAACTCAAACGCGTGATTCACATAAACCTACTTAAATACCTATTATTTATGTGAATGTTGGCCCTATTATTTTTTCAAGTGATAAAATTGAAGTAGACCTAGCGTCGTTTTAAAGAAGACCGACATAAAAAAATCTTTACGTTTATCTTCAAATAAAAGTTTTTCAAAGGAAAAGAGAGGATATCATATTATTTGTGCCACATGCGGTGTTTCACCCACCATTGAATGGCGATTGTTTATAAGTATAACTAATAATACTAAGGTATATATGTATATACTAAGCTCTGATAGTATTTTTTTGGTTGTCAAAGTTGGTGTTCCAAAAACATTGCCTTGTTTTCTTTTAACTGCGGTTGCCACATTAATTATAACGGGGGTTACCGGGCGGGTAACGCCGCCAAGAACAAGTTTTAATATTTCGATGTTCTTTTAAAGATTTTTTCTAACACTTCGGAAATATTGTAAACATAATAGTCGATTTTTATACATCCCTATTATATTTTATAATTGTACTTACCTCCCAAATAGAAATACACTTCCTATGTTGTCAGAGGAGCCATACCAACTCATAGCATACTTAATATTTCAGAATTAAAACGAAATCATTTAATATCTGAAATTAAATGATCACTTGCTTTGACTACATCTACAACAAAAGCAAACATTAAAAAGTATAAGATAATTGTGCTATAAGTGTGACAGTTTTATGTATACGTATATTATGTACGGTCAGGTCTATGTATAACCTAATCAGACCATGACATGAAGTTGGATTTCTTTATTCATACTTGATTTAAAGATAAATAAACGTTTAGACAAAAAAAGAAGCAAATAATTTTTCAAGTCTCTTAGACCATGCATTGTGAGCAAAGAGTATTCCTGACCTTTTCACATCTAAGTTAAAATTATTAATTGTTTGTACTTTTTGAACTATTTCTACGAACATACGTTGGAGTTTTTTTTATAATTACCCTACTATGTAATATACAACCTTCAAGCTAATTAATTGCCATTTATTACAGTGTTAATTTATTAAATTATTATGTATTGTTGTAAACAGATATGTACAATATAATTGTAAACATCTATAAATACGCCTATGTATGTCACAAGATTGTTTATTTTGAAATGTTTCTGCTACACTATTGCTGTAATGAACAAAACGCTCACAGCTATTTCGCTAAATAACTGAAATAACTGAAATGCTTTAATCATTTTGGGAACACTGTCTTAATAAATCAGAGTTTAGTTTTTTAAATAAAAAAAATGCGATATTCCGAGTTTAATATCTAAGAAGTATATATAAACTTGTTGAATTTCCTTCCGAAATGTACAAAGGCACAGTCACACGCGTCTATTATTATCTACTTGCCATCATCAATCAATCACCTGGTCCGGGCGTTAGCGGGTTAAGGCGGGCGGAGAGGTGGGCGGTACTAGTAGGTACCTGGAGCACGCGCATGTCCGCGTCGCCGCTCTGCAGTCTGCGCGCGCGTCCCGACGTGCGGCACCGGTTTTCGCGCGCTCGTATTATAACGCACTGTCATGCCTCTGTTTTCGGAGCACATCGCGAACATGTATTACGGGTCGTCGTCTCCGTACACTGGATCACCATACAGTTATAGTAGTTCAGTTTCTCCTCTTGGATCATCATATAGTGCTTCGTATCTCAATCCTGGTGGAAACTATAGCAATCATTCTTCTCTTGGCGGATATTCTCGTGCACCAGTAGCTTCAAGATGGATTACAAGTTCTGGAAGAAATTACTCTCCTATGTTAGGTACTATTTCTGAAAGAGGATCGGCGAGTCCTGTTAGAATAAACAGCCCAAGACGGTTACCACTTTCGACAAGAACTTACCATAGTTCTAATTACACGCCACGTCCTGTCAATATAAATACTGCTGATATTGATGTATCAAAAGACAAATATCGGCATAAAGTTGAGTCTACGCCGTACCAAGCACCGCCATTAGCATCACACCAAAACTCGAATGAAGAGAATGATAAGGGTCCTTTCATGCCTCGCGTTGACGGTAAGGTGGAATCTGATGTCAGTTCACCCTCAGAGGTAAAACGGGGTACTATACAACGAGGAAGAACAGTTGTAAGACTATACACTGTTAAAAGAAAAGAACGAGATTCACCTCGCAAGCCTGTCGAAAATCAGCAATGTTTGAACAATACGAGCAATCAGGAAGCAGTGGAAAAAGATGATACTAAAACGGATGAAAAAGAGTTTATGAAATGGAGGGAAAAGCTGTCTGAAGATTTAGCATTTAAGGAAAAAAAAGAGACAAAAACATTAGGTGCCAAACTAGTGGAAAAGTTCATGGTCAAAGATGATATTGATAAAACCTCATACAATCCAACTAAAGTGGAAAAAAATGACACTGAAGATATTGCAAAATTGCCTACAACATCAACATCTGTAAATAACTTTCCATCAAATAAGTGCCTAGATCGAAGATGTTCCATTGAACTTATGGCAGAACAAGCTAATTTATTGGATTCACTAATTAGAAGTGAAAATCTGAGTACCGCGACATTAGAGTTGAATAAAGTAGGTATTGTTGATAATAAAAATGATCTAGAAATATTTGAATCTCTTAAAAGGCAAAAACCTGATAATCTGCTTAACCCTATAAAAACTACAAAATCTGATCACTCGTTGCACTTAAAATCGCATAAAGATGTAAGGGACCCTAAAAACTTTTCTAAACGACGAAGCTTAAAAAAATCATCTTCAGGAAGTAGTATTCGAAGGTTAGATTCTATAACGGAGTTTCCTAAAGAATCAAACAATGTAAATTTACCTTCTATTGAAGAAAGTATACCATTAATAAAACAAGAAAATACAGGACAAAAGCCTAAACTTAAAATAAAAGCGAAGATCACGAGCTCTGTGGAAGTGACTGCACCCAAGAGTCCGCTTAAATTCATAGTTGAAAACGTTACTGTAGAAGAAAAGCTCCATGCTCCAAAAAAAGGAATAACGTATAGTAGTGAGGTAGAAGAAATAACGACTCCTGCCAATACGCTAGAAAAATTGGTACAAAATAATATTAAGAAAAACTTAGAAGACAATGAAAAAGACCTACCTTCTCCTGAGCCTGAAAATGGCAATTTTTGGGACAAGATTGGAAAAAGAGAAACAGTGTACCTTATGAAACGGAAACAAAATATTGATGAATCAAAAGAAAAACATAAGCGAGCATTGTTTTGGTTTCCCGAGGACAAAGAGGCGGATAATTCTGAACAGCTCAATGAAAGCAATCTGAATGAAGTAAATTGTAAAGTAGAGTCAGTAGATATAAATAGCGAGGGTAACCAACCAAATGAAAGAGAGAAAGAAAAACTATTTGATAAAGAAATTAATAGTGAAGTAGAAATTTCTGCAACTTGTTCTGATTCAGATATTTCGAAATATGGATCAATAGAGAAAAATACAGAAGCTATGAATGTGTTCAAAGAAATAACAACACAAATGAACTCAACGGCTGAAACAGATAAAAATATACCTTTGCCCAAAATATTAAGCAAAGTTCGCGAAAAGGACGATTTAACTTTGGCCAATGCATCTCAATCAGACAATGATCCCTTAAAGGCTAAAATTAGTTGCGCTTATAAGCAAAATAAGAATATTGTCAAAAGTGCATCTCTAGAAAAAGTTAATGACAGTCAATTTAATGTGAATGGTCAGAAGAAAACTAAATCCGAAAAATCAAAGAAAATACTAAAAATTGAAAATATAATTGAAGCTAACCCACTTCAAGTTACTTCGCCTACTATTCACCAAAAACCAAATAATGCGAAAATAAAAGAGGATATAACGGAAGATAACATTGCTATGGTCGATAAAACACATATTCATGTTAACAATAAACAAGAAACAGTAAAAAATTCAGGGCAAGACTCTGACATACAAAAACCTGTCTGCCCAATACATCCATATGGCTTACAAAAAGTTAAAGAACAAAATATTGAAACGGATAAAATAAAAATAGGAAATTCCACACTGGACAGTAAAGTCGTTTCTAGTACAAGTGCAGGCATCATTAGTAATCCACTAAAAAACGAATCTAGTACAAACAGTAAAGAAATATCCTCAACAATAGAAAACGAATCAAAAAATTTAGCCTTAACAGTTAAAAACAGTGGCAAATCAATGGAGAAACGTATTGAAGTATCAAAAATAAACAAGACTGAAAATCAAATGAAATTAACGAATTTAAAAATGTCTAATGCAAAAAATAATTCAAAAATATCTCAAAGTTTATGTGAAATCGAAGCGAGAGATATGGCAATGAGTAAGCAGATCGCCTTAAATGAAAAAAATAATGAAGACGAAAAAAGATCTACAAGCATTGATGATGCTACAAATATCAATCAACCGCCAACTTCATCAGCCGCACCTATAAATATACCGTTTCAAAACACAGCTGATTTTGAAACTAGTTTGATCGATTCCAGTGTACCAACAAAAACTAAAGCGAATGATATTCCTGAAGTAGTAATAAATTTGTCAGACATTCCAATCGAAGCGAGTGAATCAGAAGCCGAAGCAAAAGTTCAAAGTAACCAAAAGACAAACGAAGAAAATAAGGCTGTAAATAATACCCAAAAAGATGTTAAAATAGTAGAACCTAAGGAAATAAATGCTAGTCCACCTCTTACAATAACGCCAAAAAAAGTTGTAAAGGAGGAAAAAGCATTGAAGCCTTTAATAGCTACTCCACGGCCACTCCAAAAGAAAGCTCCTCAAGTTATCCATTCATCGGACTCGTCTGATACCTCTTCAGAGGAAGAAACGTCAGAAGATGATGATGATGATACTGATTCAAGTGAAGGTTCAGGCGAATTTTTCGAATGTGAAAATAATGCAGATGGCAGGACTTCGACTGGTTCTAATGATTCCGGTTTCGATTCTTCGGCGCCTGCATCGCCAGCAACATTTTCCCAAATAAAGAAAGGTGAGTGCTTTTATCAAAACACAATATCATAATTTCAAAATAAAATTAAGTTTAGTCCCACCTACTAATTTTCCACTAATGTGAACGGAAACTGCATGATTGCTTTGCATGGCTTTACGCAAAGTAAAATTAAATGTGGCATGTTTAATTTTTTAATTTAAATATTCTAAAGACTTTAGAGCCACGCGAGGTTTAATGGTTTGTTTTAGACTGCGATGTTAACTGCCATCGGAAATGTGAAAAACTGACAGCAAATTTATGTGGAGTGAACCAGCGTCTGTTGGTGGAAGCTCTAGCAACAAGAACGGCATCCAAGAAAGGTTGGTATTGTTTAAGATACTATAAGAGTATCAATTTTTCAAGAAGAATTCTGTTTTTTTATCTTGTTAGTCTATATTATAATGATCGGTTGAACAGTACCACAGCTTATTAGCTGTGGTACTGTTTAACCGATCATGTAAAAATGTTGCTGTTTCCGAGGAACATAAAAATGCTTTGTTTTTATGCAAGCGAAGACGCTGGTAAAAACTAGTATACTATACTAGCATGAGTACGAGCGTCACTGTTACATCATTCGTTCGCTCGAAATAAAGCTATTTTATTGGCTAGTGATCCGATGTTTGTTAAATTTCTAAACATATTTTTGAATGATGATTATATTTTTTACTAAAGGATAAAAAAACATTAGGTATTATTTTATAATCCAATCAATAGACTTCAGAAATAAATAGCTAAATAATTTTAAGTTTTTGCTGACGTATAATTAACATATGTATTTCTTTTATACTTTAATAAACTGTTTCAATTGAGAAAATTAATTTCTAGTAGTGTCTCTATTTATAATATTTCAAACGTATAATGCGTATTTGTTTATGTACCGAAGTACATTGTGGCTTGGATGTGAGATGTGGGTGTCTGGACAGCAGCCAACCATTTGCTCACCTGTACTAAACATAATGGAATCAATTGTAACAAAAATAAAGGCTATTACTTGATTAAAAATCGATGAAAACTAAATTTGCTCAAACAGATTACCTATTCGCATTTCGAGTAATTTATGCATACAATAACACCGGAATACAAGAAAAACAAAATGATTCTTTAGTAGCATATGATGTTATTAAGTATAAAAGTATTCAATATGTTATGTAATAGGGGTTAAATTGTGAAATTGCCGTTGTATAGTAATAGATACTTTGAATTGACATAAAACCTTCATGGTGTAAGATTCTCGTGTAAAACTTTTTTCACATGATACCTATGAGTCTACTTTCTCTCTTGATCTCTACTTTTAGAAAATGTGCAACACTCGATTTTCGACTTTCAATTTTTTTTTATCAGCTTAGACGTGAAAGATGGATACTTCGAAAATCCGAGTCATTTTTGAATACGAGTTCGACGGGGTACTAAGGCGGCAGAAATGGCTCGCAATATAACGCTGCGTTTGGAGAGTAGACACGCTAATGAACGCACCGTGCGTTTTTGATTTAAACGCTTTCGTAATGAAAACACAGCTGAATAACGCTGAATTGAAGGAGATGTTGGAAGCTGATTCGAGTCAAACTACCCGGGAATTAGCGACATGGTTTATCGTTACCCTATCTACACTATTCACTTATGTGCATTAAATCAATAAGATAAAAAAAATCATTTTTCAATCATCATTTTTCAGTCAAATCATGAGATTTGACTGATCTGCAGAAAAGAATGAGTGTTGAAACACGTGTTGCCTTATTGAATCGGTACGAAAATGAAGGAATATCGAATTATTTACATTTACATCTTAGAAAAAAAATGAGTTTTAATATTTCAGCAAAAATCGGCAATTTCATACTTTAACCCCTAATATATCGGTAAAAAAGCAACGCCAGTCAAGCAATCACAGAAATAAATAAGTTACCGTTTTTTTGGTAAATATTAATGAAAAGATTATAATTTGATTAGTCAGCGAGACGTACTATCATATTATGATTAATGCCAGCTCTCGTGATGAGCAGTTCGATGATTCTTTTGTCGTCGATGACTTGGCTACACTTCAAACTCTACAGCAGCTTTGACTGCACGGATGGCGTAGAGGTTGAAGCGGTCGCCACGCCGCTTCCTACTACGCCGAGTGTTGTGGGTTCAAACCCCACATGGGACGACACTTTGTGTGCTCCACAAATTTTTGTTCTGAGTCTGGGTGTTCTTTGTGTCCGTTTCTTGTATGTTTGTAAAAGTCCCTCGCGACACAGGATTTATTCCTTCTCGTCTTTTTTTAAAAATAAAAGAAATAAAAAAAAATGTTCTGCTATTTGCAACATGACAACATGCGGCCTTTATCAAGATTTATTTGATCATCTAATTTCTCCCCCAAAAAGAACGAGGATAAAATATTTATGTAGGTACACCACAACTAGAGGGCAATCGAAAGTAATAAGGTGGATATTTGTTTTATCTTATTGCATGAACATTTTTATTATGAATTATACTTAAACCTATTTAATACAGTAATATTTTATGTAACATGTTTCCTTTTGTGATGTTTTCACTTTCTTCTTTTCATTACATAAAATCTCTTATAGCCAACGATGAATAACGAACAGTTATAATTTTCTTTTGATTTTCTCTATAGAAACATATTTCGTTTCATTATTTTCTCTTGTCATATTTCATTTACATGGTACTACATGATACTAATCCAAAAAATAAAAAATGCAATCAAAGCTCAGTGACCTTTTTTAACTTGTTTGGTTTTATTCGTGTGTTACATATTTTGTGGAATGAACATTGCCCAGTCTATGGTTACATCAGAATCTACATAAAAAAATCAAGTTAAATCATCATTTTTTTAGGAATAATAAATAGATATTAAATATGTTTTTATAAAGAACTTATTCCTAGGCGTAAATATAATTTAAGGAGCATTTTCACTGTGTATTTTCCGACAGGAGGTGAAGTGTCGGCGACATCGTCGAGCTCAGCGCCCGCACAGAGCAATAACACCGACATCTTAGAACAACAGCTTGGTGAGCTTGACACTTTTGTAATAAATGAGTTCTTAGCTTCTGTATTCTTTTATACGCTTGTAGAATCCTTCGCTTAAAAATAAATTTAGCCTTTTTGATATAAAGCCTTGTACATACAATATTACGTAGTCTTGTTTGCAGCAACTAACACACAGTTTCCGTTGTGATCCACACATTATTTACTTTTATTATTTTACATTATTATTTATTTTTATTTTTAGGTATAATATAATGTTTATTATTATAAATTATTCTAAAACTTACGTATCTATTTTTGTTAATAATCGTGAAACTTTACATATTTGTTGGTTAAATTGGAGAGGTACTACTTCTTCAATTCAGCTAACTAATATTTAGTAGTTAAATTCTGTTCTTCTATGATTATGTGAATACGAAATTTGACATTCGAAGCAAAACTGGTATCTTATTAGAATGTCTATAAATATTATTAGTGGTGGTGAAGCTGACAGGACTTTCATTGAAAACAGATTGCAGACCTACGCCCCACTGCGGAACGCGGGGGTTCCGCATTCCGCTCCGAATGGCGACGACACACAAAATATGCAATACTCATATATTATATCATTTTCAGAGTATGTAACATAAGCGGTAACATTACTCAAAATTAGTAAGATAAATACAGGTCTAATAAATACTTCACAAATATTCAGACAAAAGTAAAATCAGACTATATCCGGTTACTGGGAAATTGTTACGAGGAAAAATAGGAGGTAAATGTACCTGTGGTAGCAATCCGCGTAATAATAAGTTACGCGTATTTATAACGCATTTCTCATGAACTAGTACAAGCCAATTGCCAAATTCGAAGAATTTCTAAAGCTATATTCTGTTTTCTACATTGAAAGATTTGCACATGTACTGAAATACTAATGTTTCTTTACGGTTTTATTCACGTGTATATTGAGGGGATGTCCGGCTACTTTCGGACTCCACAGGGGCTCCTTATACAGGGTGAAGCGACCTTCTGACACCGCGGTGTCTAGCACCATTGTACAATACATGCATGGTTTTAGATTTCAGTCAGGTATGTCTAGTTTCGAGGAGGTAATTTACACGCCGTAGAACATATGTGTATGAAAAAAAAAACGATTTTTTTCACATTACAAACAGACACTTCAATTTTATTTATTTGTATAAATATACTCCTATTCGTATTTCGTGGATGTCCGAATACTTAGTTTTCGAAACTAGTCATACTTTTTTTTTCTTCTGTGACTGTACTGTACTGTGACTTCTGTGTAAATGACAAGGTATATTGTTTTCGTCCGTAATCGGCATTGCTAGTAAAAGATCCTAGCTTATACATCTCTTAGAAGACATTCAGTGCAAATCTAAATTGCTTTAAAACATAATGTTAGACTCTAAACAGGCTCATCATTTGATTTTCGCTGTCACTTCTAATTCAGAGTGTGCACCATTAAATAAAATAGAGGTGTACAATTTTACCAGCTGCACAAACCTTGTAATTATCTGCAAAATATATTAGTGAATTAGAAAATTTTCTGGCAAGTAACATCTTATCATAATACTTGTACCAGAATTTATGTGAAAGCTGTCACTCTGATTTGTTAATAACTACGATGGCATAACTTCTCAAACGCACACTTAATTTTATTTTAAATATTTTACCACCTATCCACAATACCTACGAGGCTATTTTCAATAAGATTTTATGTTTGTTCCTCTTTAAATAGAAATTGTAATCATTTGAGATACCTTAAAAAAAAATCAAAATAAAAACATTAAAATAAGGTAATTAGATTAGTAATCAATTTGATGTGACACAATCTTTATTTTCGCCTTTTTAATTTCCTATATCATTGAGTAACAATTAAACTGTTATTTATATTAAGGGAGAGATTTGAAAAAAGTAAGATAGAGAGAGAGTATTAGATAGTTATATTTATAGTGACTATTCGCGTATATCTAATATAAAGAAATGGAGACAGGAGAGTATAAAACAAGGAAAAACTGTCAAATTACTAGTTAATGTAAAACCTATGTTTACGAAAAAGTATAATAAATTAAATTACTTCAGTGCTTCAGTGCTGGCTTTCCATTACATCACCATTCGAAGAAATAAGGCAGAAGTATACGTAGATAGGTAGGTAATTCATCAACCTCAATGTTATGAAAATGATCATCAAAGCATTATATTGACAATAACACAGGGGCAGAGGAATTATTCCGGGTGTACCTACTTCTTGATGAACCTTCGTGCGGAACTTTATAGCGTTTGTCCCAAACTCACAAGGTGTTCATCAATAAGACTAGCACAGAAACATAGCAGATAAAAAGAAACTTTAGTTACGATCAGGCCAACGCATGTTCTAACCGGGTACTATTTCGGTAAGTTTTAAAGACTTACCTCCGATATAAAAGCTGCTTTGAGAATAAAGCACGGACGGAGAGCATATTTCTGTTAATGGCAGAGACATTGCTGTCTTATTTTGTGTATGTATTATGTTCCAAATGAGTTTCTACCTGTCCTTTAAAAGAAGACTGTGACTGTGTCAATAGGAGTTAAGCTAAAAGCAACCGACTCGACGGCTTAATTAAAAAAAATCTCAATTTAATATAACAAATTTATAATTAATTGAAAATATTTAAAAGTAGCCCAATTAAATTGTTGGATTTGGTCTTAAATCGCAAACACACAGGCAACCCCAAAATTTACAAAATTAGCTCATCATGATGACGCTTTTTATATTATTTTTCACATAAGATATGAAAATGTAATTTATTATCTACTTAGCAAATGTTTACATAGCATTAGTGTTGTACATTAGTTAATGGTAGTAGATTTTAGTATATATTAACACTAAGATGTAACTACTACCACCAGATGAATACTGTTACAGGGTACATGAACATGCAGAAAAAAGCTCGTTTATGAAGATCCTTATTTTTGGTTTGCGTTCCTGTTATCATCGGTTATAACCGAGACGACCTTGATATTGCTGCGTCTGAGCAAATATTTTTAGATTCGCTCGCGATCTCTTACGAGGTGAAAGAGAATTAATACATCACAGTTGCTGTACGCAAATTATGTCATACTACTATAACGCAACGTAAACATTCATGAACTTGAATAGTGTTGTAAAATTAATGGCCAGAACGCTTACGAAATCCTATCAACATATTTTTTTTCTAAATAACGGTCCGGTTTGTTGAGCGTACGTAAAAAGCAATTACTTAACCCTTATATAGTCACAAGCCAGTAGGTATTCCATAATATGTAAATAACAACGAATACACATATATAACAACAAATAATCCTTACAACAGAAAATAATTAAGTGGTTGTACAAACAGCGAACGAAGTACCTGGTAGTGAAGTATCTATACTAATCTATAGTTTTAATTTTTAATGATTTATTACTACAGAAATTGTAACTATAATGCAGAACAATGAAAATTTGCAAATATTTAAGTTAGGAAACGAGTTATTTACAATTCACACACATGTAAACGTATGGATTGTTCGCCCGGCTAGTAAAAACCTGACCCGGTGTTTTGGTTTTCGTACAATTCAAATTCAATTCAATTTCAAAATATCTTTTTGCCATTTTCTTCTAAATTGTTTGAAATCGTCTTAATATAACGTCTTAATATTATCGTCTATAATAGGACGATTCAGGAGTCATTAAAATTAAAAATTGATAAAAAAAATCGCTTACATGTAATACTTAACAACTGTCTAAAAGGATAGGCATGTTGGACTTATAGAAACTTGAACACTAGTAAAGGTCAAAATTGTACTATTTTTTTTTAATTTAGGAGAGTTTTTGTTGTTCAAAAGAAGAGTACACACACTTGTAAACACGAATAGTAACTGCAATTGGTAAAAGTTATGCATTCATAATCTCGTGTACATATGAAAGTGATTGTTGAACCGGGTGTGTTAATTTGCCGAAAATACTAAGGGGCCCAGTTTAAAACTCTTCAATTATTCCCACTGTCCATCAAATAACCAAAAACGTTGTTTTAAAACGGGAAAAATCAAAACATCACGTTTTATTTTCTAGTAAATCAGTTCAGTATGTAGCATATAAATGTTTATTCATTACTATTAAGAGTCCTGTCAAATAAATCTAAACTCAGGAACTGTTAAAATTACTTACTTATCTCATAAACCCCTAAAGAAACATAAATTTATTTATTTGATCGAAACTGTCTGCATCGTCGTCGTAGACGTAGCCAATCAAAATATTAGTGTAACGAAAAAATAAAATGAGCTTTTTATTTTTATTCGTTTCTTAAAGTAAAATTAAATAAAAGTGACCGAGTCGGTTGTCGCACTTGTGGCTGTCACGTGCAGAGGCGTGGCCTCGTGGCGGCCATCTGGGTGGGAGTTCTCTCGCTCGGTAACATGATTGCGGTCATGGTGCGGAGCGAGAGTGCGTGGAACTCCGCCGTCTCGTTCTGCGAGCAAGTTATGCTTGCGAAGGATATTGCGGAGCGGGACCGGGATGGGTTTAGAACTTAGGCCCGGGCACGGGTCAGGTACCGCAAACGAATCAGGCGCCGGAGGTCGCAGAACGACCGCCGTCCTCCATTAGCGCAGGTCTGGGGGTGACAATTGAGGCCATCTGTCAGGGCTGTCACGTGAAAACAGATAAAATTGACATAGTTCAAGTTCGTTTATTTCTCCGTTTGTTCACTCTTAGTTGTTCATTTAATAACATTGAAGATTGTTATTTTAATTACCGGTAGACCTTTTCGCAGAAGAGTACACAGCAAAATAATATAGAACACGTGTCATTATTCCTAAAGAAATGCCAATAACTCTAACTATTAGATACTAGAAAGACTGATGAATTTAATCACTTCTTTCTGGGATAACCATTTTTGTTGTGGTAAATTAATTGCAGGTTTAAGTTGCGGTCGATGGACTTATAGGAACCTGAAAAGGTCAGAGAACTTTCTGCGTTTTTTCGTCAGTTAAAATTGCCACTTTGCGACACGGTCTTTAACGATCACCCATAAAAGTTATGATAGGTTGTTGAGATTAAAAATGTAAAATAAAAACTTGACAAGCTAGTATAAACAAGATATTTGACGAGATATTATGAAGCTTGACAGGAGTACTGTGTGATGCTCGAATACCAATACGCACAAAAGGCAAAGTGTACAAGGTTAGGCTGGCAATGATGTACGGTGCCGAATATTGGCCTGTCGAAGAATGCCACGTCCAAACACTACACACGAAATGAAAATGTTGAGGTGGTCTGTAGGAGTGACGAGAAAAGTCAGGGTTCGCAACTAATATAGTCGGAGATCCCAGAGCCCCAGACCTTACTTATTTTCTGGTGGACATAATATATCCGTGGCACTTTGAAGGTAGTTTGAATGCAGAGCAAGTTAACAGAAAGGATATGGAGGTGGTACGGACATGTCATGAGGAGGAAAAGCCGCACATCGTGAGGACGGCTCTAAGCCTACCAAAAGGCAAAAGAGGCCGAGGGCGGCCTTTGATATGGTGGACCAGTATGGCGAAAATTCTGAAAAGGGAGAATTTACCCAACCCGACAACCCTTGACAGACCTCACCTAAAGTGGGTAAAGGCTATGAAGAATATTATAAACGAGATTTTTACCATGTTTATAATCACAAAGGGTCCTCAGTTTATACGGTATCATACCGCAATATCGTGAACTAATTCCCGGAAACAAACATGGGAAATATTCTGTTTATAACCTATCAAGTTGAAATGAGCACGGTAGTTTAAAGCAATACATTTTACTACAAACGTTGAAATAAATAATGACACCCAGGCCACAGCCTATGTGGTGTGTTTAACATCCGTTCAAATTGCTTTGTCCAGTGCGCTAAAAATTTATAATAATAACAGTTATTGTATAAATTCGGTGTAAGAATTACTAAAATCTATTATATAACTAATTTATAACACAAAATATATAATATCCAGTATAATCACTGTGTCAAATGATGTAAGAACGTGTAAAAGTTTGTATATTGTAAAAGTTTACGTTTCATTTACTCGTACATTTTTAAAATTTAGTTAAACGCTGACTTTTGTTATTAACTACATAAGTATGTGTATAAAAAAGGTACATGTATAAATACATCCCTTTGACTTCCAATATATCTCTACTTCTTAAGAAATGGTTCAATATATATGTTATCCCAATTAAGAATAAAAATATTAAACATTTACGAATCTGCCCATGCTGTAAATTCGAATCCATTCTGCCAAAACCGAAATTACGAACCAAACCCGGATATGTGAAAATATTATTCTGTGAAAATACTTCCTTCATGCTGATTAAATCAAATCAACATTATTTTTGAAATGTTATTATCATCTATACATATAAAATTATTTGTCATAAGTGACTGACTGACTGATTTATTAAGTAATTCTTTAAACCGCTGGTTCTACAAACTTAAAATTTCCGCAGCTGATACTTTTTATATTGTAAACACCCACTAAGAAAGGATTTTTGGAACATTCACCCATAAGGGGATAAAATAAGGGATGAACGGATGTATAGAAGTACGTCATTTTCAAAGTTAAAAAAAAGGAATAAAAAATAATGAGACGAGCGAAGCCGCGGGCAATAAGTAGTACATAATAAGAAAGTCACATTACGTGAATAATATTACCCACGCTGACTATAAAAATATTTTCTAAGAATATAATTGGCGCATTACTATCATATCTCTTGAGACACTTACTTTATATTTATATTTAGTTTCAGTACCTAGTGAGCTTTCTCACCTTTTCTACTGGTATAGCTCACTGTTTTGTATTTGACAAAATTGACTTCAATAATTAATAACTCATCTCTTAAAAGTTAAAGTTATTTAAAACTAAACGACCTTATTTTTTTTTTGACAGAACAATCTACTGCCTACGACATCTACAGAAAAACTGGTCGTTTCACTCCGCCTGCACGGTCTATTCCCCGATTTAGGAAGTACACAGTGGAAGACTTCCAATTCATCAAAGTTTTGGGAAAAGGAAGCTTTGGAAAGGTAAGGTTTGAAATTAGTAGGTACTTTGAATACGTATTAAATCATATATATTTTATTATATTTTGATAGCCGCCAAGTTAAGCTTCTTCGGAAAGATATAGCAGGCAGATGTAACTATGTCTGCGGTCTTGTGAGAATCTCTGCTAAAGTTGGACATCAATCGATTAAAAAAAATTGTTATTAAATCACAAAATTTATGTTAAAGTTGCTATATTACAATATGATTAATATATTAACATGATACAAGAAGAAGATCCGTGGGGTGTCGGATTAAAAATACGGAGTGTCACCACCCTTATTCATCCCACGGGTATCGTAAGAGTCGACCAACAACATCAGAACATGTAAATAGAAGGAAAACTTGACAAAAACCCTGTGTCAACCCGCCTGGCCATCGTGGTATAGTAGGCCAAAACCTCCTTTGTGTGACAAAAACTCCCCTTTTATTGCCCTGTGAAAAATTAGGAACCCCTTTTATTAGTTCTGTTGAGACTTCTGATTACCTCATGTAGGTAAGTTTATCAATTACTTTCCCATACTTCATCAAGACTTTCTATGTTAACAGAACAATACAATGTATATGTATTATATCATTGTTTTTTAGCATTGCGTTGACCCACATCGAGGCAAGACGAGGCAAGTGCCAGATATCTGCCTTGATGGTTCGCTTCACGTTTGATAAATGGAGCAATATATTAATGCAATCAGTTAATGTTTGCTGATATGAAATCAATTTAAACTTATATTATTTAATTAATGATTAAATAAACAAGAAATATATAATTTATATGCAAAATTTGGCAGTTTAGGAGATTTATGCAGTTTGATAATTGAAGTGCTTATTAACGGAACTACGCAAATCTTCCTAACTGCTATGTAGAAACAGTTTGTGTTTCTTAAAATCAGATGTGTATAGGAATTCGCCGTACCAAAATAAACTAAAATCGAAACAAGGGCTTTTGCCAAGAGAAAAAAAACAACTCTCACATAGAAAAGCTGCTGTGCACACGCCTATTTTAAGCGCACAAATGAAGAGTGTGAAAAATTGATCTATTTTAACTAAAGATAGTTATAACGAATAGTGATTGTCTATGGCTAATTGTAAATGAATTGTCCAGAAATTTATTACAACGAGAATGAACCGTTTCAAATAATTCTTATTTTGAAATCCTCCAACAAATCAATCACAAAAAGGACACATCTAGACATGGATTTTATTTCAATTTTTTTTTTAAATCGATCGCTTCCACTAGATAGCAAATTTAACGTTTAGCTAATTATGTAATCTGTTTTGGTGCCGTATTTCTTGGTGTGTCCGTCTATTAATATCAGATGTTCTGCAGCATGCGTAGGTTTGTTCGCGGTAAATTTATGGCACACATAGGTTTTGCGTCACTATTCTCATTGTACTTTTCCAATTGTACATGAGATCTTAGTTTAATTTATTTTAAGTTTCCAGTACCAATTTTTATAATGTAGGTACATCAAAATACATTTTTTGTGCAATGGGAGAGGCCTATGTCCAGCAGTGGACTGCGATAGGCTGATGATGATGATGACATATAACATCGGCTGTTCTATGGAAATGGAGCAAAAAAACTTAAAACTGAAACTTTACTGTGTCTAGCTATGACCTAGCTAAATAAAAAATCTAAATTCAAATCTCTCGTCTATACCGCACTTGAAACGTCAGAGATCGCAATGTGGTAATGAAAGAGAAGTAAATTTATCGTGGATGTAGTACTGTTATAAGAATGATTAAAAATGTATATAAATCTTTTAATTTAATACACAATTCTTATTTCAAAAATGCTAGTTTTGAATACTTGGCCTGTTGGTCTAGTGGTTAAATACCCTGACTACTAGCCTGAGGTCGTGGGTTCGATTCCCATTCATTTGTTCTCTGTTTGGGTGTAATTTATTTATAATATGTATATAGTAAAAAACACATACGTATGTTTATCAGCAGTCAAAGCAGTTTAAATTGTAACGGCTCTGCTTAGTCTTTCTTCTCGTTATTATATATTTTTGTGTTGTTTTTATTTATTTTATTTTAATACTTTATAAATCCTTACCTAGTTACATACATACAAAAACCTACATATTGATAACATATAAAACTTTAAGGTTGTTATGAATCTGCTAGGGTGTCCAGAATGCAAGCTCGAACTTTCATCTTGAATGAAAGACGGCTGGGTGCTATCCTGTTTTTCAATAACGATTCATGTTTACAACCATCTATTGTTAGAAATGTGTTTTAAAATACACGTATATTAGTTTCAAACCACTTTAGTTATTGGCGTTGCACATCAAAACTGTGTCAAACCGATAGGAATAAAAATAAAATAGAGTGCCTGCTATAAACTTCAAATAGATGAAAATAATTAGGTTATCAGGACTGCGTATTATAGTAATTTCTTTATACTTTAAATTCATTTTCCAGCAGTAGCATTTAAACGTTAGTTATTCATTTTGATAAAATTCACGTGATTTTTTTTTGTTGATTGTTATACTTTCATGGTGAATTAATTTATAGCAATAAAGTAAATTAATCAAAAGAAAATAAAAAAAGTCTACGCATATTTTTTATTAGCAGGTACTGCTTAATAAGTTCACTACACTAAAAATCTGAAAAAAGAGGAAATCATTCAAATCCGAAATTACATTAAAATGTAATACGGTGCCTATATCAGCTAACACGGTATATACGGTATACATAGACCTCCTTGCCGCAACTGTATCAACGTGGTTAATAGACAGTGTTTTAATAGGCAATTAATCTTGCTTTAGAAAGGCAGACGCAGCGACGAGGGCAGTTAATCGTGACGCACAAACTACTTCAAAGAGCTTATGGAAATGTCAAATATTATTTTTATTTGCTGGCCTAGTGCATTGAACTCGGATAAAGTTCATTCAAACCGCTATAGGGTAATATTAACTTAAAAGATTATAACCTCTATCTATAAATAAATAATCTATCTAATAGTATATTTCTTTCTCTAAGTGAAGGCATACAGCCTAATATATCTATTTTCTTTCTCATCAGTCTTTCTTAAGATATCGTGTTTTTAGTCTGAATGACATCAAATATAATATTTGATGAACACGACAAACAGGTACTGTCTGGTTTGAAATATTTCAATTTATAGAATATCGATTATTCATTCTTAGACTCAGATCATATAATTTCTCATTATTTATTGTTTTTTCTTAATATCTATGCTAAGTTGCTATCAGTGCAGATGTTGAATATGTATAGGAAAATAAGTAATTTATTTTGACATCTGAAGATTTCAATCCTAACGTTTGAAATTCTTCTTTGTTTTAATCTTATTAATATGAAACTTATTTTCAATGTGGTTCATGGTCCAAAATGACAAGTACCTAACAAAAATGCTGACTGAGATAATCAAAAAACGATTTTTTTCATTTTCCGCACTGCAAAGTTCTATTTATCTCATAAACGATTTTCTATTATTAAAGTCATAAATACAATGTTTTAGTCAACATTGTGTCAGGTTATTGGTAATATTAAAAACAGTTTTCGTAGAACAACATAAAAATAGAAATTAGGACAAGCGAAGCGGTCACTGTATTGCAATAAATAATATCAATTTTTACAAATATTAACTAGAAAATATTAACTTCAAAGTGAACGTAAAATCGCAGAGGTGTGTGTAAATGTCGAACATTAAAAGTAGAACGAAAATTTCAAATAGTTAAATTTTGGAATATTCTTATTTATTTTGGATAGCATTGCTCAAAAGTAAGACATAAAACAGTGGTTAAAATTTGCATAGTTACAGATTGTAAAACTATTACGGGAAATTTTACCCGGGCAATATTGAAAATATAAGAAGACTTGTAATTATTACCATGAGATTTTACGATCTTAAATAGGTTATGGCATATTAATAATAGAAACAACTCTTACATGGCAGATACCTATTACCAGCGATTAACTGTTGTTTATCCAAGGCGGAAGGGTTTTTTTTCGCAGCTTAACAATTATTTAGTGGAATCAAGGAAAAATATTAGGTACTTAAGGTTACGCGCATCGCATTAAGCACTAAGAAGGAAGTACTTCTATTTGTTTATTTTAATTATTAAACCAAATTAAACTAAACTAGTCTGTGCAAGAGTTTTATAAACACCTAATTAGAATGTGAATTATTTTTTCTCACGCTTTTTCCAAAATTCTTTTCTTTTTGTTTTAAACACAACTCCCACACTAGGAAAACATACTGTGTCGCGGGAGTCTATAAACATACATGCGCAGTCAGTCAGTCTTCTCTCCGGCCTTTAACTATTAAGATTACTAGACACTCCTAACACTCTTATTTGAACCTTAATATTGTTAGATTCACTCAGATTTTACGAAGAACAATACCTCTCTAAAAGATTTAGTTTAAATAAAAGAAGCACTGTCAAAATACTAGTACCTATTAAAGAAATATAAAAAGTGGTGACCGTAACCCGCACTACGATGGTCGGTGGCACTTTGCCACATGCAGCTTGCGCGGCTCGCCGCAGTTTACCTGTCTCTCTGTAACACTAGATATAAACGAGCTAATTTGAGCGCCTACATCACTGGCCACCTTTCCCACGTCAGAGAACACGTGTCATCGGCCTCGTCACAACGCACTGTCGCCAGTATCATTGTCTATCGTGATTTTAATTATTAGAATTCGAGTTGTATGTACTTCCCCTGTAATATATACTATTTAGATATAAAAGTAGGAGATGAGAAAACAAAACTGCAAAACTAATCACAGGTATCGAGAGCTAGGGTTTGGTAGATACATATCGCTTGCTGCGATGAATGTTTGGTTTAGAAAAATAACATTTCTAAACAATTGTACCCTATTAACCAAGATAACCAATTATTTCTTACTTCTGAAAAGTTAGAAATTATTAGAACATGGTTTTGCAAATTGGTCTTAAGTTCCTTTGCAATTTGTGTTTTTTTTTTATTAAGAGGTATAAGTGACGAATTTTGCAATTTAATTAGTTAAATTGAAAATGTGTGTCTGTATACTTACAGTCATACTTTATTTTAACGTTTTAAAACTTTTTTGTACCTATCTAAGATGGTTTAGCTATTTTTCTGCAGCGTCTTAATAAATCTGAATTGTTAAACTGTGTTGCATTTTCCTAAACATATATGTACATTCCTAGTTAGCCTCCTCATTCATATTTTTTAAATAACAAAGCAGATACATACCTACACTAAATCACATTTCCACAATTATCACAATTACAGATTTTTCATTATATTGCTACCTTTTTAAATACATTTTTAGCTTCTTTTTATTGGACTACTCCCGCATTAGGAATAAATCCTGTGTCGCGGGGGACTTTACAAATTACAAGAAACGGACACATTTTCATATTTTATCATATCATATTAAGTATCAAAAGGATTAATTTATGACTCTTATATTATTATTTTATACAAAGGCCTGGCTGGGTACACACAATACGTTTTTACTCAGAGTAAGTAGGTTAAAGAGCTTTTACAGGAAACAATATTTTATGGTCAGTTACAAAGGATGTAACTCACATGAACCGGTCCAACATTTTAACACTTAATATTTCAAAACCAATTAAAAAATTAACTGAGAAGGGAAAAGTTATAGTAAAGAGATACAAAATACACCCGGTTTTCTTCAGGAGATTTATAAAAGCTAAGTTGTTAAGAACATTGTAATAGTTTTACTACGATAAAATTTTCTTTAAACTGCCTTCACAAAAGAGAAGAATATGCATCGTGTAACTGAATAAAGCCGTATTTTGTCGATTACACTGCAAAAACGCGTAAGAGTTTGGAATATCATGAATTTACAAAAGTCTCAAATTTAGATAATTACATATGTAAAATAAAGATTTTTATCACATTCCAATAAAGTACAGAAGATTTACAAAAAAAAATGCATTTACAAAAATGTATTCTATTAACCACGATTATCCATTATTTAATTTTTATCGATCTAAGTGGCGTGCAATGGGAGAGGCCTATGTCCAGCAGTGGAATGCGATAGGCTGATTATGATGATGATCAATTATTTCTGTGAGCTACAAGAACTAACTTGTAGTTGTGTTTATTTTTTTATTTAATTTATTTATTAAGCATACCAACTCTTTAACCTAACCACAAACCATTGTAAATGATTTGTAGTTAGGCATGCTTAATTTAACATTGTTAGAGTAATTAAACAAATCATTGGCATGCATGACATTTAAATTATATTGTAAATTGAAAAGACTCATTGTTTGTGGTGAAAAATATAAAAAAGATATTGTTATAATTATATAAAAATGCATTGCACAGACATGAAAAATTCACCATATTGGTAGAGACTAAGCAATTACGTTTAATTCTTTTTTAAATCTTTAATAATCTTGTGTTAAAATTTTATAGGTACAAAATATAGATGTAATATTAATTGAGCATCAACAATTTATCCATGTCGGTTGTGAACATTTAACAATGTAGACCCTTTTTTAATTTGTTGATCTAAAATGATTTATTTATTTATTTTTTAGTATCCACACTTACTACTGTCATTACAGGTATGTGTAACTATTACAAAAAAAAAACGGGTTACGTACGAGTCGAACTCGTGCGCCGAGGGTTCCTTACCTACCCAGATTTTAAGTAGATGTTCGCGAAAATTTGTAAGTACCAAAATTTATCATAGTTTTCAACTTTTTTTTTATTTTTTGGAATTATTTCTTTATTTGTGCTGTAAGACGTTTCTTTTTGCCAAATTTCGTGATTCTAGGTCAACGGGAACTAACATATAGGTTTTCGACCTAAAATTCACGTTCAATTTTGGTTAAAAGCAAGTACTTACAGCACAAGTAAAGAGAAAATTCTGAAAAATAAAAAAGTTAAAAAATTAAGGTAAATTTTGGTACTTACAAGTTTTCGCGAAAATGGAAATTTGCCCATACCTTTTTATCGTGTTGACTCAGGACCTTGATTTTTATACACCTAATAGGGACCATAGACCTCAGTATCTGGTATAAATTTCAACTTGCTAGGTCTACCCGTTTCTGAGAAAATCGGTGGTGACACACGGACAAGAAAGTGATCTAATAAGGGTTCCTTTTTTTACCGTTTGAGGTACGGAACCCTAATACATGTTTTACACTTCTAAGTTTGTATATTATAACATATAATGCTGTCTTTTTGAACTATTCAGTGTACAGCTAAATAAGTCAATATCTGTGGCTACGAGGTTCAGGGCGCTTCGCTTAGCAAATTTGTGCGTCCGCCAACAATGGTGGACGGCGTCGCCGCCACATATAAACGTCCGGTACACACATGTCTACCAATTCTAATATATTTCCCGATGAGTATATTAAATATATAGGGAGACAAGATTAAGGTCCCTTCTGACTCTAAGCTTGTTACATCCGACCATGCCCAACACGAACAGAGTCGGATACTCGTATATGAGTGGGTAAAATAGGTAAACCCCGTACTGTCGCAAATATAACAACCTCACAAATTTGTTTTGAACTCACTCCAGCATGAGACTATATTTAATCTCATGCGGAGACCAGATGACAGATGCGTTGTATTCTAGTTGACTACGCACTAAAGCATTATATAGAGTAACTATGGCATTAATGTTGGTGAAAGATTGAACAGTGCGCAGTACAAGGCCTAGATTCCTGTATGCTTTTTTACAGCACTTGACTATGTGGTCACGAAACGTTAGCTCTGTGTTAAGACTTATACCTAGATCCTTAACTGTTAGGACCCTAACCATCGAGACCCACCAACATTATAACAATGTAAGTTGGGATTACGTGCACGAGAAAAAGTGATGGTGACACATTTATTGGGGTTAGATTTCAAACGATTTTCCTTGCTCCAAGTCACAACATGATATCTTCAAACACTAAAAATATCAAGCAAATATGTTAATTCCTATGAATATTTGTACCTATACACGGTGTAAGGGACGTCGTAACGAATACTGAAATAGTGTATTTAGACCATCATTCTGAGTCGAAAATCATTGGAATTTTCCTTCCCACCCCCGGCCCTCTTGTGTTAGTGTATATAGACTGTTTGCACAGAATACAAGTATCATTATTACTTTTGTGCGATATCTACGAGGAATGACCTTAACCTTTGACAGCTGATTGCATAAAACGTTTAATTTGCCGGAAGAAAATTTCAATTATTTCCGTATGTTACAATCAAACAAACATAAAAATATAGAGAACTAGGACGGCAGGCGGGAATTAGCAATGCGGAAAAAAAATTGTAGCATAGTAGCGGATTATAAAGACGAGTAATCGTAAAATATCGGTATCTGAACTGAATATATCAAACAAAAAAATAAGCTAGCAAATGAAGCATAAGCCATCCTATGGCTATAAAAAAAGTTGTCAATTCAGGCGTGTTGAACTAGTAAATATCCCCAATATTCTAGTTAGCTTGTCTAACTATAGAAAATGACTATTTTATATTGGTTGAGAAAATTATATTTTTGCCCTTACTTTTAATTAATCATCTTATTAACTCCTATCAGACACCGTGGTTTCACTGTGGTGGTTGGTATCAGACACGTTGGCCTTCAACACTTGACAAATTAGTCTGAATAACTCCTAGAGGTGAACTCCTCCTCCAACCGCGAAAAATGCCACATTATTGTTGGTATTAACTGAGCTCTGTTTATACCACTATAACTATTACTAATCTCGCATTAAGGAAAAATTATATTTATGGTATTATGTTAATCACCAAACTAGCATCTGTGACAATCGATTTATCGCTACACAAAATACATGTTTATTACCAACAGTAATCTGCATGTTATGTGAGCCAGAACCAGTCGGCTTCCTGGTTTCGTCGGTTGGCCCAATTGCCTTTGAGAATGGGCCAAGAATACAGAGAAAGCATGCTATAATTATATGAGTTATAAAATGAACACGCGTTAAAGTGTCACGCACATTTCCTGCGCAATTTATATACCAACTTTGACTAGCTTTTATGTATGAGTAAAATCATTAACAGCAGGTCAACTGTCAAACCCAAAAATGTTCTGGGTTCTGGGTTCTGGGTGCCTTAAATACATAGCTAAAACTCTGTTTATTACATAACCAGTTAATGAGAAACTTACGACGTATCACAGCACGATCTTTCGAAAATCAAAATCGAAAATTGACGTTACAGCTTAAAATTTTCTTTAAAAGAAAAATATTAGCCACTGTATATACTACATTGTATCTACGATTTTATTTATATACAGCCAAGTGTAACGAATGGCTTTTAGTATTAATCATCATTTATTTTTAAGAAATGTCTCTTTTCTTTGTCTTCCTACGCATCACTTTGGAGAAAACAATTGTGACAAGTGTGGCCTATGACCTTTTTATGACCTACCTTTGTTCTCAAATCTTAAGCAATGTTTGTGAAAATACAGTTTTTAAATATTTTCGAGAATGACTGTTTTCGTACTACATTTCAGGAAAGTTTAAGTAACAAAAACAACTAGCCATGTTTAGCGATCAGTGTCTTGATAAGTGCCGTGAACGTGTTTAACCTGAAATGGTGAAGAACTTCACCATTTCAGGTTGTTTTTTTTTTTATTGTATTACATTGAATATTTAATAGGTTTGATTCTGTCATTTCAATGACTTTGTTCAAGTCAAATCTATTTGACCTATTTTTTTCAGGTTTTATTGGCTGAACTACGCGATACAGAGTACTACTACGCCGTGAAATGTTTGAAGAAAGACGTCGTATTAGAGGACGACGATGTTGAATGCACTCTGATCGAGAGAAAAGTTCTCGCTCTTGGCACCAACCATCCCTACCTCTGCCATTTATTTGCTACTTTCCAGACTGATGTAAGGAAACTCGACATTTATAATAATATATTATGTGTTATTATGACATTTCAAATTGCTATATTAATTATATTTCTGCCTCTGATTACGCAAGTATACCAAAACATCGTTACATTATAAATCTTTATTTGATAATATTTATGATACTAGAAATGTTAATAATTACTAAATATTGTCCGTGTGGTGACGGATAAAGAATACGGAATGTCACCACCCTTATTCATCCCGTGGGTGTCGTAAAAGCCGACTAAGGGAACAAATTACGCAGGACAACAGCACTGCAAAGAGAAGGAAAACTTGAAACAAACCCTATACCAACCCGTCTGGCCAACTTGCTACAGTAGGCCAAACCCTCCTTTCTAGAGAGGCCTATGTCCAGCCGTGGACAAGTAAAGGCTGTTGATGATGAAAAATTAATAAGCACAAATTTCAGAAATGTGTTTTCTTCAATTAATTAATCTTGCACTATTTCGTATTATTTTCAATTCAATTTTCTTTACAACTTGAGATAATCAAAATATTTATTTTACTTAATAAATATAAAAGTAAAACAAAATTCGTTCGTGACATCGTTGCATGAGATTAACTTGTAATTATTGGGCGCCCAACGTGGGACCTAAACAGAATACTCGATTTGATTTTTATTAGTTTACTAGCTGACCCGGAAAACGTTTTGTTTTAAAAATAAAAATTCTAGGGTCGTTATAGGTCGTTAGCTATTTTTTATACCCTTAGGTGGTAAGCCACCTAAAATAGCTAACTAGGTCGTTAGCTATTTCACACCTAGCTAGCTCACACCTACCAAATATACACAAAAAAAAGCATAAAAATCGGTCAAGCCGTTTCGGAGGAGTTCGATAACAAACATTGTGACACGAGATTTTTATGTTTACTTTTAGTCTCACCTGTTCTTTGTAATGGAGTTCCTTAATGGCGGTGATCTGATGTTCCACATTCAACAAAGTGGACGTTTCCCTGAGGTTCGTGGAAGATTCTATGCTGCAGAAATAGTTTCTGGACTTAAATTCCTACACAAGAGAGGCATCGTTTACAGGTAATGGTTTTATACTTTACTAAATTTGAATTTAAAAGTACACTGCTACTGGTATCTATCTGCTACTGATCGAGGGCGAAGCACTAAATAACATCAGGTACTAGTAGTAAAAGTGTGCGTTACCCCAGCAAAATAATGTCGAATTTGGTCATTTAAACGTTATAGATAATTAGTTGCTCCCCTTCTGTAATTGTTAGGCACATTTTTAAATTTGTTTCACTTAAACTTTTTTATTTATTTCAAAAAAACATTTCCTGCTGGGGTAACGTTTGAAACGTTACCGCAGCCAGACATTTTCTTTTTTAATTGTAATATTGAAATAAATGTTAGCTAAATAATTAGTTATCTGGACTAGGTAAATGTTACAACTTAATAGGTATTTGTATCTTCTTCGGCTGCGAAGTTATTCGAGAACCTGCTGGAGTAACGTTTGTGGGTTTGCTGGATCTCTGAAACGGGTAAGCGGATTGTAACCATCTTTTGTACATAACTTCTTAAGGATTAGTTTTAATTTGTTCGACAATAAAATAACAAAAAAATGAACCGTTTAAAAATTATTTAGGTAAGTATGAAAACACTTCAATACGTTCTAACACTTTGAATAAGACCTCTAAAGACTTACTTCAAACGTTATTCTATTGCTTGTAACTACCTTCAAATGTATACGAATTTTCGTAAGTGACTAAAAAGTTATGATAAAATGTAGCTCTCCACGTTCACGATCACAATGTGTGCGCCCTTTTTTGGCCACCGATAAACCTGTGTGGAAATGTTTTTTTGAAATAACTAAAAAAGTTTAAGTGAAACAAATTTAAAAATGTGCCTAACAATTACAGAAGGGGAGCAACTAATTATCTATAACGTTTAAATGACTATTTTCGACATTATTTTGATGGGGTAACGCACACGTAGTAAAAGTAGTTAGTTGCCAGGCTAAACATAGTCCAGCTTATCTTCCTAATCAATGTCACACTGTACCTATGCTGGAAAGCCGCCATGCAGTGTCAAATATACTAACCTATATAGGCAGCGCGAAAACGAAATTAATTACTTGACAAAACATTAAATTAAACGAAAATATTTCACGTTAAAGTAGGACATTTGTCTGAGCTGCAGTGCCAATTTATAACGACTGAAGTTATAGTTTGATACGTACTTTTGTCGTTTAGTACCTAAGGATTGAATTTCAAGAGTAGATGTGATTGGTCAAAATATTCCAAAATGAGATATATATATATATTTAATTTTATGTTATATAAACAGATGCGGACTGCCCAAGATCGGGTTAGTTTGCGCTGTTTGGGGGAGCTAATGACATACGTTTGTAGTTATATAAGTTATTCATTTACAGAGACTTGAAACTGGACAATATTCTGCTAGACTACGAGGGGCACGTCCGCATCGCCGACTTTGGAATGTGTAAGCTACAAATATACTTAGACAAAACTGCGGATACATTCTGCGGCACCCCAGACTACATGGCGCCTGAGGTCAGTGTATAAAGATTTTGAAACACAATATTATAAATACGTAGAGGAATATATTTTTATAACTGTTACGACGGAAATAAAACACGATGTGAATAAACTATTCATATGAGATTATTTCATCATTTAAATGTATTAAATCATCTTAATACTTTTCAGACGTCATAGGACCAGATGTCACATTTAATCGATTGTAATTTCCGTCGTAGAGCTCTTTTATATTGTTAGCTAATAAGTTATTTTTGGGCGGAGGAAATAGTTTATAGAATCTTTATGATCTGGTAGAAGTGTTCGCATCTAACATGTGTATAAGCATTAGCCTGATTTCTTTCCTGGATAGCCCATAAACATCATCTAGACTCATTTACTAAAACACTTAGACGTTAAAGAATTTTGCTTGTCGGCGTAAATATCTAAGGATTTCTTTAATCTAATGCGAAATGTAATTTTTCTTCGATATAAAAACAGCTAAGTAATAAAAAACAATCAATTCCAGATAATAAAAGGCCTCAAATACAATCAGACAGTCGATTGGTGGTCATTTGGCGTTCTTCTTTATGAAATGCTCATTGGCCAGAGTCCATTCAGTGGTTGTGATGAAGACGAACTTTTCTGGTCCATCTGCAATGAGATGCCATCTTATCCGCGCTTCCTCTCGCGTGAGGCCCTCACCATACTGACAAGGGTAAGTTGAAGAAGAACAGAGTACAACGTTTCTATTGTAAAATAAATGGTCAGACTTACTTAGGGAGAGGGAACGTTTATAAAGGTTCAATCCGAATTTGCCACACATTTAGGCACTAGAACCTGCACCAACCATCAACTACCACTGGTACTATGGAATTATCAGATCCTTTCTTACATACAATAAGAGGAATCAGGGCACACCAGATCTGTTTGTGACAGAGCTGCTTAGCGGCAAAAGTACCTCCACTGGCTTACTCTACAGAAGCTCGTAAAGAAGTAGTAACGCCGTTATTTATAAAAACTTTTCTGCTAGTTGTATGTTAAGAAAGGTCATCAGAGCTGTTTGTTTAACAGCTTAGCAAAGTTTGTGAATCGACAATTATCAGAATTTGGGCTTTAAAACTTAAACGAAAACACGAAAGACTCGCCGCCAATATGAGAGGTTAAATGAATGTTTGTATTATCACAGTTATTGGACAAAGATGCACGGACAAGACTTGGTGGCACTGAATGTATGCACGGTGACATCAGGGAGCAGGAGTTTTTCCACCCGATACACTGGGACAGGCTAGAGAGACGCGAACTGGAGGCCCCTTTCAAACCAAGAGTGGTAAGTGTTGTTACTTACACATGATGTAATAGGTATAGCTGCTATTCCGTTGCGTAAAATGTAGTATTATGATATGAATTTTTTAAGTTAAAAATTAACAAAAGGCAACAAGGTTCGCAAATCTGTCAATGTTATCACAGTATGTCTACCTCTGTGGGTTCATATTGCGCCCTATGCCTAAAGATAGTGTATTCGAGTGCCACCTAGAACAAATAGTTGTAATATGTTGTTCCTAGTGGCCAGTAATAATAATAAGAATAATTATTGTACCAATACAAATACAATACAATTTGTTCAACATAAAACCAGTTTAAATTGCACATTAAACCTGAGATAGCCTCCGTTGCCAAACTAGGTAAAAAAAAACTGTATTTCAGCTTACGGCGCCATTCCCCACTGGAATTTTAACTTAACTAGCATCAACAGACTATGTTCGTCAAATAAAGTACAATATTCTATAGTATGACCATACATCAAAAACAAATGTACCTACGTAAATTGGAATAGATTCGGGACAGAACAGGGAAGGCGCGAAGAATGTAAAAAGCACCGGCACAATAGTGCCGCCTGTAACTAGGCCAGTATTACCTGTAAAGGTAAATTCAAAATTACAAGCCACTCGCTAACTTGTGGCATTGGTTCCATAAATAAAAGGACTACCTAGACTAGTCTTTTTAAATGTGTATTTTTTATATTATACAGAGGCATCCGATGGACACCCAATACTTCGACCGAGCGTTCACCGGTGAGCGACCTCGTCTCACCGCGGTAGAACCGCAAGTGCTTCGCTCCATGGACCAAGAACCTTTCAGGGGATTTTCCTATACTAATCCAAATACGACAGGCCGCTAACATCGTCTCTAATAACATGGTCGATGGTTGAAATTCCCTTGTTACACAGCTGAAAATCCAGCGTGGTACAAAATACTTCAAGTATTTCGTCGGTGTAAGTTTTGTGATGTCCCGTTCAGCCGCAATAGCAGTAGGCAGTAAGATAAATGAATGGATATTTGGATAAAAAAACTGCTTAAGTAGCCCACAGCTAGGACCTACCTGTAGACAACTATCTACAAAGGTTTTATGGGGTTACATAAACTGCTGGTAACATAGTAACTATTTTTTATCTCTTCACAAATAAATCAAATATAAATGCATATCAAATAAAATAATTTGTATTAATGTGTCTGGTACACGAAATTATTATAATTGCCTATCCAGATAAATAGATACTAATTCAGATTCACCAATTCATTGTTGACATGTATTTTAAAATTTAACTTACAAGAACTTTCAAATTAATCTGGGCTGGCAATGCGTGAAATATATGTTAGACTTAAGCTTTATAGCACAGGAGACAAAACGTGATTTATTAAATACAATACAGTTTCAAAGCAAAATATATATTAGATATGAGACAACTTAATACCTGTTTTAAACATTCAGATTTATGTGTTGATATATTTTGCAATTCGAATTTGTCAGTCAGACTTATTTTCAGTATTTATATAAAATGTAAAGTTTATAATTCTAGTCGTACTTTAGAATTAACAAATTGTTTAAACAAAAATAGATTAGGTAACGTATAATCGCAATCTGTCAATGATATTTTTTATATAAATTGTGTGTTAAACTATTGTACAACTTAGGAATCCCGTCATTCGAAAATTTTATTTCCTCCCTCATAAAAAACGAGAAACATAAGTAGTTCTTTCGGATTGTACAATTTTATTAAATAATATAAAAAATAATCTTTGTTTCATTTTTTTAATTTCTTTAATACAAATACATGTTTACTAATACTAAATAGTTCCTGAAACTACATTTTATACATTTACATAGGTACTTTAAGCTAGTCAATATATTAATATTATTATTCGTAACATTGACAGCACTGATAAAAAATCCTTTCAGTCTTTTAAAGTAATAAAAAAGTCTTAAAAAGGGGAGAGACAATATCATTTAATGATTACCAACTATTACATCAAAGTGATCCTATTACATCAAAGAGTAAGTTTCAGAAATTAACCATTCAGTCACTTGTTCTATTCTGTTTTTGACTAGATGTGATTTACAAGTGTTTCAGGATAACTTAACTGCAACTGATGTACACAATCACGGGTTCTAATAAACAAAATATGTGAATTCACCGTCTCGCAGACGTTCAGACTCAAAATTTCATGATCATCCTCTTGTTTTAAGAACTGTTGTATGTTAAAATAAAGTTTAGAATTTTCTTCGATCGCTCCATTTTTCTTTGGCATTCGAATTTCCACCTACAATGAAACATTTGACTATCAACCCTCATTTTTAGACATGATTTAGAAGCTAAAACAACGTTCATATTTCACTTATAAAATACTAGCTCGTTCGCGTGGAATTTCAAAAGTGCTGCCTTAGTGGGTTGGATTCCCGGACCGGGCAAAATTTTAGGCGACTGCAGTTACAGACTAATAAATCACTTACTTCGTGCTTTGTTAGGCATTGGAATGAGTCAAGTGCAAAATATTTTACATGTGCATCTAAAGGTTCGGAAGCTTTGCACTCGATAGATACCGCATGACTTAACGGAGGACAGTCATTGGCTGTCTATAATATCATGACAGGTGACGAAACCTGCGTGTACTGCTTTGAACCCTAAAGAAAAAGCCAGTCGGCAGAGTGGGTCTTTCCTTTTGAAGATTTGCCGACGAAAGTTAAAAAAACTCGAAGCATCAATAAAAAAAAAGGTTGCCTCGTTTTTTGGCAAATCAGGACATTACACTGCAGATTGGTACGTCAACACTTGCTTGCCCAGAGTCTGAGAAAAAGTTCGCGAAAGAGTCTTCGAAGCAATGTCCTCCTTCACCACGATAACGCATCCACACATTCCGCTAAGGTAACAGAAGCCTATTTGAAGGCTTCAATGTGGAACTAATGGCGCACCCACCTTACAGCCCGGATCTCGCACCCTGAGACTTTTATTTGTTTCCAAGAATTAAAGACAAACTTAGAGGCGCACGTTTTACGAGCCCGGAATAGGCGGTAAGTGCGTTCCATGAAGCCATTGAAAAGGTCCCTAAGGAAGGCTGGTTCAATTGCTTTGTAGAGTGGTTTCAGCAAATCAGAAAATGAATTAATTGCGAGGGAATATACTTTGAAAAAAAAAATGTGTCGTAAGTCTTATATCTAGTCTTATTTATCAGAATCCAAACACTTTCAGTATGCCTTAAGTATAGACAGCTACCTGGTAGTAAAATATTATCAAAATAACAAACAGACAGACAGACAAAAAAAAACTGGTTTTTAGGCACAGGTATCGTGCAAATAAACGTGTGAGCGTGAAAAAAATATATTATTTTGACATTATAAACAGACACTTCAATTTTGTTTCGTGTTCGTTTCGCGTTAATATACATTCGTCAATCAATACAATTTTTAACAAATTACTTGGGGCAAAATTTTGATTGATTGTTTGATTTGTTTAGCATGATTATATCCGAAAGAACAATTTTCAAATTGATTTTGTTCTCCATAACATTTTGACTGATTTATTACGAGCCCATCTTCTTAGAACCACCATTTCCTTTTGTATTTTTCCTGAAACCGTGTAAGTAACTTTGAATTATACTCACCCCGCCGTCGCTAAACCCAAGAATCAGTACATCCCCGTGCTGGAGACCACACGACATATTGGCACACTCCAACACTATCACCTCGCTCTTTAGGTCGTAATTAATCTTTATCAGCTGTTCGGTAGAATTTACTGTAAAATATTAATGTTAATAGTTAACGATAGTATCTCCTGATTTCTACAATGAGTAATTATCAGCAATACGAAATTTAAGCCGACATGGTTAGCCACATATGGTTTAAAAAGCCGATTTATCAAGAGAAAGTTAGTTATTCGTGTGGTGACGGATTAAGTATACGCAGTACATTACATTACACTATTAATCCCGTGGGTATCGTAAGAACGGACTAAGAGAGTAAACTACATAGAACAACAGCACTGCAAAGAGAAGAAAAACTTGAAACAAATCCCTTTTATAAATAAGTAGAGTTTGATCTAAATTTTGAACGAATTAAATATTACTAGAATTGACTTTCTGTAATTAACTGTTTTATGTGTGTTTGTGTATATCTAGAATCGCGTTCTAATTACTAAAAACAATTTCCACCGAAACAAGACTAGTTTAATAGAAAAATCACTTACCAGGCACAGCACAACTGAAAGTATCAAACATGACCCAATTGTGTTTGCTTATATTATTAGGGACATGCAACTTGTGTATCTTGACAAACCTGAAATTATGAGTTTCTGCGTACCACACATAGCCAAGTTTGGTCACCATATAAAGTGCATCATTGCATATATGGATAGTGGTCATTGGATCGTAGTCACTGCCGTAATGACGACCAATACATTCCATTTCCCATCGAGTGACTTTATTTATCAAACGCAACAGTATATTTCTCGTCGTAAATACGTAGCATAGCTCGTTTTCTAATCTGTATAAAAGTAATAAAATAATTAATTTATTCAAGCCCCCCAATCCACTAAAATCCATTGCAAAGATCCATGATGGATTTTTGTGCACTTTCATGTCAACTATAACAACTATAACTAATACACTTTTTTTTCTGTGTGGAAATCCCCTCAGATACCACCCACTGGTGGTTATGTCGGACTCCAACCGACTAAAAACCGCAAGCCATCTCAGGTACAAGTAGCTGGAGAACGAGGTGTACCCTAGGAACATAATCCCTGGAACCTCGACGTACCCCGGGCCATTCACGGCATGTAGATGACCCCTACGCATGTGGGAACCACGGTGTTCCCGTTCTATAAACTAAACGGCCTGCTTCTGCAAGGGTGACACATGGCAGACCAGAAAAGTTCATAATCTCTCCCGGTCCCGCTCCTACATCTTCTTTGCAAGCATGACTTGCTCACAGAAGGAGACGGCGGAGTTCCACGCGCTCTCTCTCCGTACCATGACCGGGTTTGGGTGTGCTCCAATAGGCCAAGATCGCCTGGAGCAGATCCAAACCCGGCACGCTCTCCTGTCCGGCGTGCACGGCGAATGGTCATGGGGAAGAGCGCATTCGTGTAGATCCCCATGGCAAGTCTGGGTGTCATCCTTCTCGCCGCCTGTTCTAGATCTGATTGCCTACGAAACAGAGATAACTGAAACATCCAGACGCAATTCCATCTCATCGAACCCATCCCTTCCCTTCTCCCATCTACACGTACTGCAGGCACTAAGTGGTTGGTGTCTGCGGCCTCACCATCAACAGAGACTGAGGGTGAGGTGGGGGGAGGCAACCACCCGCATTTTTGTGCCGTGTGCGGGGACCCGTAAGGGGGGATGAAGGGATCCTGGTAGTTGAGCCGAAAGGCAACACACCGCTTTGGCCCTCGGGCCGTCAGCCACCGGGGTTTACGGCGGGGTGGTGTGTCGGAATCGGACCGACTAAAACCATACGGTGTGCCACTCTACGCCTGTAATAGGAGGGATCCGGGAACTGCCGTTATTAAGACATCCGGACCCCTCCTAGCGCCTGCCCGCAACGGCGCGGGCACCACCTTCGGGTATATTCTCTATTTAGGAGACGACCGGCACACGCGGACGTCGCCTCCTCGCGGGTGGCCGTTATGACGGGTGAAGGGGGAAACCCGTCCCGTCCACCCGCGGCCACACTCATGGCGGCATGAGGCGCTTGGTTGGCTCACCCAGCTAACCTCTTCTAGACGCATAAGGGAAAGATCGATTTCTCGTAAAAATCTGTTGAGTGTATTAAAGTGGATATGAAAGTGCACAAAAATCCATTATGGATCTTTTCAATGGATTTTAGTCAGAACAGAGGGTCAAGCGCTAGCTATGAAATAATAGGGCCTAAAGTATGAAATTACCGTTGTATAGTTATAGATTTAGTTAGTAGTAGTTTTTTCACATGATACTGTTGCGCCATAGGATTAAGTGGTTCGATTGTATGAAATGTGGAGTACAGCGCCATCTAGTATCGACTAAAGTACCTACATCTATTAATATTGTGGTTAACACGAGTAGTTCTGATCCTTACAGCGCTAGATGGCGCTGCAAGTAACGCGTGACTGATTCTGGAATTTTCGTGTTTGTTTGGAACGGACTGTCGACCACTAAGAACTTTCTAGTAAAATTCAAAAGTGCAATAAAAGCGGAGCGTGTTGGGCGTTCGACACAGTTTCGTTTTACGACACAGCAAATTAACATCGGAGTGAACTTCTATTGCGACTAATAAGATATACTACTCTGTCAAAAAAGTACTGGGAAAAGATCAATAATACACGAAATGTTTGTTATTCATCCAAATTTATTTTATCACCTTCAGAAACGATACACTCACGCCAACGAATAATCCAATCATAACATTTTTAAACGCTGTTTCCGGGTTCAGTTCTCGCCGCGAAATTCTCCTTTATGTCTTCTACCGATTGAACACGGGTGCCACGAAGTGGTAATTTGAGTTTAGGAAAAAGAAAGAAGTCGGCTGGAGCCATATCTGGTGAATATAGTGGTTACTCGATGGTATTTGTTGAGTGTTTGGTCAAAAATTCGTTCACAATGACGCCATTGTGCGAAGGCGCATTATCGTGATGCAAAATCAAAGAATTTTCTTTCCACAAATCTGGCTTTTTTCGTTTTCTCTCTCTCTCTCTTAAAAGCCGCATAACGCTCAAATAATATTCTTTATTTACCGTTGGATCTTCCGGCAAGAATTCTGAGTGCACAACACCGCGATAGTCAAAGAAAACAGTCAACATGACTTTGATTTTTGATCGACTTTGGCGTGATTTTTTTGATTTGGAACTAGCCGAGCGGTAACATGTTTCATTTCCCAAATGATTAGTTAAAATAATACGGATCGACTCGTGAGATACAGAAAGTTCGGCGGCTATTTCTCTCAAAGTTGAATGAGGATTTTCAGTCAGTATTTCCTTAACTTTTGCGATGTTAACTTCAGTTGCAGACGTTGATGGCCTACCAGAGCGAGGCAAATCGTCCATCACATCTCGACCGCTTTTGAACGCTTTGTACCACTCATAAGCGTGTTTTTGATAAAGTAACCGTAAGCCTTCTGTAACATTTTCAGTGACTTCGAACACGAAATTCCATTGGCGATACAAAATGTAAGACAAACTCTTTGTTCGATGTTTTTGTCCATTGTGAAATTCGCAATACACACTAGATATGATATAACTAAAAACAGCACTGTCTTGAATATTAATAACAGAAAACGGTTGTGCCAATCTAACAACATCAAAAAAAATAAAAGGAACCATAAACAAATCATCCATTCCCAATACTCTTTTGACTGAATGTATAGTGATTCCTAGTAGTGAGTGTTGCAAATAAAGTGAAATAAAGTAATTAACCGACAACTTCTATTTTTATATAACCAGCTCGTAACAATACCTATGAAGTTCTTCTTTTAAAAAATGTACAATAAGGTGGGTGGACCATGGAAGGCCACGCTCCTTTGAAGGCCAACTATTAAAAAGTCGTAGTTATTGACATGTAAAGACATATTCCTTCTACTACACACTAGGATCCATCAAACTAAAGGCCACAGACGCGGCTGCGAGTCGCTCGCTCCGGTATTGTGGCAGTACGATCACACGCTTCGTAGACTTCGGTCGTCGACGTTACAATTGTTATTCGCGCGCACAGCAAAACGTAAGTTTTTAGTTAAATAACCTATTGTTTCCTTATATTTTTTACTGTGAATTGTCGTACAAGGATATTTTTATGGAACTCAAGAAAAAAAAAAGAAATTGCCTCGATTTAAGTGAAAATATTGGGAGTGTTCCTAGGAAAGCCGGTGGTTCCTTATAAGGCCAATCAAAAATTTGACGGTTGGCCTTGCTAGGGAACATGGGCCTTACATCTATAAACCATGAACATATGAACACTTATTATGTAGTTATAAATACGTACCGTTAAAGTTAAAACAATGTTTTATATTTATAATATTTTTTTAAGGGTTTTATAACTTTTAAACTCAGATTAAATAGACATTTTTTTTTAAATTATTTTATTTTCAGTATATTATATTTAAATTTATTTTATGTCTATGAAGAGGTTATGTCTGGAAATAAACTAAACTAATTTACATGAAAAGCAACGAATATAAAAAATATTTGCTTGTTAAAAGCGGTAAAGTAAGTATGAGATAAGTTAAAAATTGTATATCTAAGATAGTCTGTCTAAAACTATAATTAAAGCAAAAAAAAAAATTATATCAATAAGTTGGTAATTGAACAGATGATTAAAATTTATACGTATTATTACAGATTTCAAGAATGTCACAGTCAGAACCTAGAAAAAGAGGTAGTAAATGGAACGAAGATAGTTTAAGGCGAACCATGGAAGCAGTACAAAATAATGAACTTAATACAAATGCTGCAGCGTTGAAGTTTAATATTCCAAGACGCACCCTTAGAAACCATTTAGTAAGCGGTAACAGTACTAAAATTATTGGGAAGACAACTATTCTCACAAAACAATTAGAAGAAGATTTATCGCAGCGAATCAAACGTTTTATTATTATTATTTAAGTTTTTTAATCTTAACAACCGTTGATTTTAAATATTATTGACTACAAGACTGACTATGTGCCATGATAAGTTTGTAATAATTACAGTACGTCTGTAGTGTCTATTATTTTATTAAAATTAATATAAAAAGTCATGGATTGTTAGTTTGGCCTTCTTAGGAACATTGTGGCCTTACAAAGAACGGAGCCTTAAGAAGGCCATATAAGGTAAAAAAAAAGTTTTTAATTTGATTATAAAACGCGTTGACAAGTTATTTTATATTAATATTATATTTATTACTACTAGTTTTAAATAATTTCCATTAATATATTCTTAGTTATACGATGGTGTTCAAGTAATGTTCATTGTGTTTTTTATAGATAATAAAAATATATTGTGCATTAATTCTTTCGCTTAAATGAAAGAGCTTATTATGTAGTTTTAGTAAAAGCGGATATATTAATTGTTACAACTCTATTTTTAAGTTGAACGACTGAATTATAATATTGGCCTTGTTTGGAGCCCTGTTCCTTGCAAGGCCATTTGGAAGAGCTTAATAAAACTTAAGTTTAATAAATAGTTATTAAAGCTAGGTAAAAAAAAAAAGTGATTTGTATGGGACACAATAAACCAAAGTATTCCTTAACAATTTGTTTCCTTCATTTATCCAGTAAATATACGAATAAAAAGTGTTTATTCTTTAGAGTGGCCTTCCATGGTCCACCCACCTTATTCGAGTTTCGACTTTCAATTGTTTTTTTATTCAGCTTAGACGTGAAAGATGGATATTTCGAAAATCCGAATTATTTTTGGATACGAGTTCCGACGCGGAACTAACGCAGGCGAAACAGCTCACAGTATCAAGTATCAACGCTGCGTTTGGAGAGCGCTGATTGCTAATAAGGCTACGTGCATTTTTGATTTAAACGCTTTCGTAATGAAAACTTCGACTTAAAGAACGAACCACGTGGAAGACCGCCCACAGGTGATAACGCTGAATTGAAGAAGATGGCGGAAGCCGCTCCGAGTCAAAGTACCCAGAATTTAGCGGCATGGTTTAACGTTACTGTACCTACAATATTGACTTATTTTCATCAAATCAATAAGACTTAAAAAAAATATGAAAAATGGGTGCCGTGCTGATCTGCAGAAAGAAATTCGTGTTGAAACTTTGTTGTTGAATCGGAAGTATATATAGTAAGTGGTTTTTTTACGATAACCGTAAGCGAAAAAGGCAATTACTGACCTTTTTTCTGTCAAACACCGCAACAGTGTCCTAAATCAAAGATTACCAACAAAAAGGTAATGGTAACTGTTTAGTGGTCTCTTCGCAGTGTTATTCACTATAGCTTTCTCAGGTCTGGTCAGGTAATAACAGCAGATGTTTACTGTGCCGAACTTCGAACAATGATGGCAAAACCGGCAGTGAAACGCCCCTCGCGCAACGTCAACGCAAGACCTCACACTGATCGAGAAACCGTTGTAACTCTACAGGAGCTGCTGTTAGAAACCATACGTCATTCTCCGTACTCGCCAGACTTCGTGATATGGACAATTTTCTACGTGATCATTTTTTTCTGCCGAGGAGGCAGTACAAATGCTTTCACACAGTTTGTCGAATCTAGATTCCAGAGTTCTATCGTAAAGGTATAAATGGCATAAAGGCTTCGTTTAGATGCCAGCAAAGTATAGATAATGAGTGTAAAAAAAAAAAAAAGAAATGTTACGCCTTAGCAAAAAACGAGTTTCCATTTTTCAGTACAAATCGGCAATTTAATACTTTAAGCCTTAATAGGTACGTGTAAGGTAAGATTAATTTTCCTCACTCTATCTGACATGAAGTGACAAAAATTGAGAAAGAAATTCTGCGATAACTTGGGCATGTTGAAGGATAAGCGATGAGCGAATGTCTGGCACAATTTATACGGGTCTTGGGAGTTGGCGAGTCACTGCGAGTAAGTCCGTCAAGACGTATAATTTACATCGGCAGTTTAATAAAAAAGAGTTGTTACAAGCTAATTACTGAATAAAAAAACAAAAAAAAAACCTCGTGAAAAATTATAAAAAAAATGATGGCTTTTAATTTTTAAATACAAACTGTCACTCTCAATTATGAGGAATCTAACGACACCACAAACGCCAAAAGCCATCAAGCTGTTTAGGCTACGGAGCTTGCCCATGAAATTTACATGCCTATAAATACACACTCGAAAAACATAACCCACTTTCCGCAGCAGTGAGTAAAAAGAAGTTTGATGAATATGTATGTAAATGGCTGGAATGGATCCATCGTCTCGGCTTATCCTGATAGGAAATAGGGCTATATACATATATTTGTCGGCCCAGTGCCCTTTTAATAAGTATTGAGGGAACTCTGGACTTGTATAAATTAAATCACGACAAGACTTAAATATAAAGGTACAAAGGCTAGGTTAGGCGAATGATCGTTGCGGTTAAGCCAAGTAGACCAAGTGCGAGTTTATTTCATATTTACTCGCTCTCGACAGCGAGCGCGTTCGGCAATTGGTTAAGATCTGAAGATTTCAGTGCGGGCCAATCGCAGCGCCGAACGCGCTCACCGAGTAGATGTGAAATATACTCGCACTTGGGCCTCTAATATATCGTCGGCCGCCTCCCGCGCCGCACGCATCTCTTGCCGCGCCATCGTCTGCCGAACAGGCCTGAAGTATGTGGACGGAGATTACCGAGCCCCACGATCGTGTGCGCTAATTCATCGCGAACATATTGTGTGTAAGGAAACGTATTATCACATATGTATAATGTTAATTCAAATATGTTATTCAGTTATTGCTTTCTAAGGAGAAGGTATTTTTTTCATTTAAAAATAAGAATAATTACAAAAATAACCCGGACTACCGACTGTTTGTATTTCAGGTAGTAAATTATTTCAACGTACCTGAAAGCTTTTACCTCGTTAACAGAATTTTTTTTTAGACGGTCTAAATCATACTCATTTGTACCCGATTTTCTATATACATACAACTTCTGTGAGGAGTCGGGTTCTTGTACAAGTTCTACTACCGATTGATCACTTTCTTCAAAGTCAAGGCCTACAAACAACAGGCAAGATTAATAGATCAACACTTCGGTCCAACAAGATTAAATACAAATAAATACTTAGTGTTTATATTCTAATTCATCTTCCACACTTTTAATGTGGTTTGAACTTTTGTGTTCTACCTTCTTACTGGTATGATATCAGAACTGAAGGATAAGGCTGCGTTTCAACTGATGTAGCATCGAGCTTAGCGGTATACGAATTAACCTGCAATAATGCGAACCTTGGGATTTTGAATCCCGATTTTTTTCAGACAAACAGCCGCTCGATCCGACCAATCGAATCGACCTGACCGACCTCGGTCCGACCAGTTAATGTTAATAACGAGACTCTACTCCATTTCAATCGGCTTCAATCTACTACGGTCCAAACCACTCCGCCATGCGCGAGCGCCTCCCTCAGTAGAAAAGCAGCTTCATTCATGATATATCATTATGATTATTAAAATCGGCTTCGTAGTTATAAAATAGTATAAAAAAATACATTTACAGACTGCTTAGGGTTTTTTCGTAGTATAGTAAGTACATATCTTAATTCTGTAGTTAGTACATTAATTATGAATTAGAAATAGTAATTTCACATTCACAAGCAGAGCTTGTACTATGGGTACTAGACAACTGAGATGAAATAATAACAAGTGCACCTTACATGAACGCTCGAGAGTTTTCATTAATTTATAAGTTTTTATATCATAATAGAGAACTTGTGAATCGGTAATTAATATTAAGTTATCTGTGAACAAAAATATACATACATTTTAACAAAGAGTTGCAACATTACACATCTCGAAAGACTGCAATTCGCTGGTATGTCGCGCAGTTAACCTTATACCTTATGCGTACGTCACTATCAACATACAACAAAACTGTACTATAGATGGTAAGGAAGAATAAAAAAATTACATTGGTATTACTAATAACTTACAACACATACAGTAAATACATGTTAGTTCTTAGTAATGACTACGGATTAGTATTCGTAAAAGAATATCCAATTTAGTCATGGAATAAAATCACAGTTCACTGTGATTTATCATTTGATTTTTTCGTACGTAGGTTAGGGTTTCTACTTACTCACGCGTTGTTGCCAATAAGCTGTTTTCAGACGATGCATAAAGGCCCCTTTTTGTCTATTTAACCAAAAATCTAGAATGGTTGCTATACATCATAAAATAATTTTAGATTTACTGTTCACTGTGATTTTGTCCCATATATAATCCAATCTATTGCAACGGAAACACAGGTATCAACTGACGACAGATGTGGGAATATTAGCTGTTCATCACCATATGAAATAGGGTGAGATTTTAGTCAATCCAATCCCCCTTAACGCCACAGGTAATTAAGACCCTTATCAAGAAGTAGGTGAATGTCCCCCCTCCAAGAATTTATTGTCACTTCCAATGCCCAGCACGAACCACAATTAAGTTAAGAAAGATATACTTTAGTACCATCAATGCATATTAATATTTTCCAACATCTAATACACAACGCTATCTAGTTTCAAACTAAGCAGAGATTGTACTATGAAAGCTAGATTGACTGATAGAAAATTTTAATTTTAATGGGACCTAACTAACCTAATTTTAATAGAATTATCTAAATTATTTATAAAAGACTGAATAGACAGAGAAATAGCCAAATTGAGTTTTCTTGAAGTGTTTTTTTTTAGTCAGTTCACCAAATAATGCATCAAAAACCATTATAAAAAATTAAGCTCTTATTTCTTCTAGTGATAATTTACTTAATTCTTACCTTTATACACTTTCATTTTCTTAACACTAGCCATCTTATATATATTTAAATGTTTAATTTCTGACATTGCCACATGGTGCCAAAGTATGAAGTTTTTAAATATATTCCGCTGATCTAATGTAGATTTATTTACAAAGGAGGAGCCTTTGTTAATCATTTCTTTCTTGACCATATTATCCCAAAGTTTTAAACGCTGTAACAATATGGATGGTTAATTGATTCTAGTTAATGTCTCCAGTCATGTACTTAATTTCTTTCTTCTTCTTTCTTTGATTCTGGAGTCTGAATTCACTTGCAAACTCAATGCTTAAATGTTAAAATGCTTAAAGCTTACAAATACATCATTAGCCTGTGAAATTTCTTTAAAGTTACAGAAGACTAGCTAGCTATTAGAGCTGTCCAAGTAGTGGTGTTCTTTTAATGAACCACCATAGTTTCATGGGATGGATGAATAACACCAGCAGAGTACAACTACAATCACGACAATACATACTTATATGAATGGTACCTACCCACAAATGGGAAACATGTATGCACCTATCTAGGAAGTACCATAGGTCTCAGCTATATAGATAGACTATTTTTTTAAATAGAAGGTCTGAGAAAGGTTCTCTTTTGTTTTTAGTTGTTACCGTTTCATGCATTAGTTAAATACTTGTTGCGATACAATATGCACTGACTAAGTAATCGCCGGTAAAAAAATTAGTTTTAATTTATTATTATTTTACCTACCTCTACTGTATATTCAGCTAAATGTTTCCACTTTTTGCTAACTAACATGCATGATGAGAGAGCTTTTGTGTCTAAATATTTAAAAATAAGACACACTATTTCTAAAGGACAGTTGTTTATATGAATATTTTCCATACTGCAATGTTTTTAAATGCTGGTAGCATTTATAGCATAAATGGCTAACTTTACGTCAAAGCCACGTTATTTATTAATTGCATATTATATTGTAATGCTACGAAATTTTTATATAATCAATTTCATAAAAGTATTGACAGTTATAACTACTGTATTATATCCACTTGACTTCCACTATCAATTAGTTGTCGTGTTGCCAGTTGGTATAATGGAAAAAGTGTTTTTTTATTTAGCGTATCGCTACTAGGGTTGATCCAAATCACAATCACATGTCATAAATCAAAAGATTTACAGTGACTGATTTACAAAACCACTGATACTTAATTATATATTATTATTAAAAAAAGGTAGGTAGTAGTAATATTTGATAATAATTTTAATGCAACATCTTGGCCTATGACTAAATCACAATCACATGTGAAATCGCTGTGACAAAAGCCAGTCATTTCATCAAATGAATATGATTTAAAAGTAGAAATAACTTCCATATCTAATCGCTACTATCGCTAGTGGGTAGATACTAGGGGCGACGTGAGCGCGTATATTCTTTACTACATCCATTATAATACATTCATACATTATAATATAGATATATAAATATTTATATTATTTAATTTCAAACATTTTAATTTTACTGTACCTATCATTCTTCGCAGAGATGTGAATTATTTGAAATGCAAATACAAAATACCTGTTTTTATTCTGCATTTGAAATGTATGTATGGTACCTATGTAACCGGGGCACCAGTTTCCTTGCAGACATAAGTAGGTCGTTATCGACGGTGCATATTCCGACTTGAAAATTTGTAAATGCTGGTATCCCGCAAGATCAATGATATTTTGCAAATCGTAGCATCCATTGCTATGGAGACGATAGTACGGGAGATGCCATTTGTAACGGTTGCCCCAATATTTCTCGAGAAATCGTCATGGAGAGTCAGAACAAACTTGTGTCTGAAATTGAATCTTCCCTAGCGGCGGTTTCAGTTTGAGGTCAATTGAACCTAGTCTATTTTAGCTCAAAAAAACTGGTCAGGTACGAGTCGAACTCATGCACCGACGGTTCCGTACCTACCCAGATTTTACGTAGATTTTCGCGAAAATTTGTAAGTACCAAAATTTATCTTAATTTTCATTTATTTTTTTGTAATTATTTCTTTATTTGTGCTGTAAGATGTTTCTTTTTGCCAAATGTCGGGATTCTAGGTCAACGGGAACTACCATTTAGGTTTTCGACCCAAATTCTATACGGTATTTCCGGTTGACCTAGAATTGTCAATTTTCTTACAGCAAAAGTTGAAAATTAAGGTAAATTTTGGTACTTACAAGTTTCTGTGATAATTGAAATTTGCCCATATCTTTTTATCGTGTTGACTCAGGACCTTGATATTTATACAACTAATAGGAACCATAGACTTCAGTATCTGGTATAAATTTCAACTTCCTAGGTCTACCCATTCCTGAGAAAATCGGTGGTGACACACGGACAGACAGACAGACAGACGGACAAGAAAGTGATCTTACAAGGGTTCCTCTTTTACCTTTTGAAGTAACCCTAAAAAAGACCCCACCCTACCCTACCCTAAAAAAGACATAGGTTTGCGCGTTTACCGCAAAAAAGATACCATTTGTAGTATCGCCTCGGTTTGAGAACACCTCCCTAACTACCTCAGCCACGGAATCCTAGGCATCTACATATCGAGCGAGGTCAAGTTTCAGGATCATTTAGAGGGTAAAATCAAATTGGCCTCGAAGAAGATCGGTGTGCTGAATCGATCGAGGTAGTATTTCATTCGGCATTCTTTCCGTTTTCCGTGGTGAGCTGTTGCCAAACTGAACAGGGACCTACTAAAGGAGGCAGCCATCATTCACTCATGGCTGTCTCCGCATGCCCCGACCGAGGAGATTGACATGGGGGCTGGTCGCTTTCGCGATGCGTTGACGTAGATCTACGTTAGAACTCGTGCGTAGAACTCCCCTGTGGGATTTGGAGGAGGAAGTGTTCGCCGAAGGATATCGTTGGACGGTTGATTTCCGGGCGGGTAGTGGCAGTCGGCCCAAGCCTGAAGAGATAGGTGAGTGGCGTGAGGCCGCTCGCCGTGCCACGATGGCTCGTTGGTCGTCCCGCCTCAAGGTTCCACGTGCTGGCTTTTGCCGCCGTGGAGGTGCTCCAGACGGTTATCGTCGAATGGGCAGGGAGGCAGCATGGGACCCTTTCCTTCCGACTGAAGCAGGTCCTTTCCGGGCAAGGCTGCTTCGGGAAGTACCTGCACTCGGTCGCTAGGAGGGAATTGAGTGCCGCCTTCCACCATTGCGTTTTGCCCAGGATTGTCGTCGCAGCGCCGGGTTGTCATTACAGTCATCCGAGGGGACCTTTTGCTACCGGACAGATGTTTTTCTGCGGTCGCATCCTTTTGTGAAGACGTCATCTCGCAGAAGGAGGCGGCGGAGAGGGCTCGGGAGGATGATCCCCACTCGAACCCAATTCGCCGCCTACGAACCGGGTGGCGTAAGCGCGCTTAATAGCGCCTCATGCCGCCTTGAGTGTGGCCTCAAGTGGAAGGGACGGCTTTTCCCCTCCACCCGCTATAACGGCCAGCCGCGAGGAGGTGACGTCAGCGTGTACCGAACGTCGTCTAAATAGAGAATTTACCTAAAGGTGGTGCCCGCGCCGCTGCGGACAGGCGCTAGGAGAGGTCCGGATGTCTTTGAAACAGCAGTTCCCGGATCCCTCCTATTATAGGCGCACAGTGGCATACCGTGTAGTTTTAGTCGGTCCGATTCCGACACACCAACCCGCCGTAAACCCCGGTGGGATGACGGCCCGAGGGGGTTTCCACGCGTAAAAAAAAGGGTTTGTGGCACAAACCCTATACCAATACGTCTGGTGGGCGAAAAACTTGACACAAGCTTTGTGTCAAGTTTTTCTTCTCTTTGCAGGGGAATTAATCATATGCACACCTCACTTAAGTCGTTTTTTTTAAACTAGTTTTAATAGTAGCGAATAACTAGTTACGCTACATTTCGTAAAAAAACGTATTTTAAATGATTATTTTTATTCCTTTTTCCAAAGCCTTTACTAGTCCAATGCTGGCTATAGGCCTCTCCATAGAAAGGAGGTTTTGGCCTACTATACCACGCTGGCCAGACGGGTTGGTATAGGGTTTGTTTCAAGTTTCTTTCTCTTTGCATTGCTGTTATCCTGCGTAGTTTGCTCCCTTAGTCGGCTCTTACGACACCAACGGGATGATTAGGTGAGGTGACACTATGTATTCTTAATCCGTCACCACACGGAACTTCTTAATTAAATCATAATCAAATACTTGAAACTTTGATATCGATCAATTCCTGAGCCCAGTGATTATTAAGAATTTAACGTTATGTAAAATAACTTCGTTTAATTTTTGTAGTCTTGAGTGTTTTATTTATCCGGTTTAATAGAGTGGAGCAGAGTTCGATTTTAGCAGAATGAATTAGATGATGTTCACGATGACATAAGCAAGTAACGTCAAGAAACGTCAACGTCGCGGTCGTTGTATTCCATTACATTTTAAGGTTATGTTTACACTCCATTAAAAGTGGCCGTATTTAAGGATTAATATAAAAGTCGTTGTTAAATTAAAAGGTGCAGTGAAGTGAACTGATTATTAAAAATGGTATGTATACGTGCACATTAACTTATAAGTACATATTGTAAGCTTGCTTGTGCTAGTCCAATTGTGTCCAATGTTGTCCAATATATCAGCGAAAACATTCAGTAACCAAGTTTTTAAATAACACCAGTCTTACAATTCAGGTTTCTTATTAGGAGCTTAAATGTTATTGTATTTGGTGATGTCGCCTGTACAAGTTAGATGGCTAATTCTCTTGCGGTTTCTTATTAGTTTTATTGTGACAATGATTTGATCAAACCGAACAGCTCTCCTTCCTTGATGATAATTGTAAAAATAAAAATATTATTAGTGCAAGTTTTCAACGATGCACTACCGGCTTGTATGGTAATTCTAACATCTTCATCAAAGTTTTTTTATGAAATCTGATACTATCCTAGACTATTATAGCATGTTAAATACCTAAGAATACGTACATATTTTTTTAAACTGTCATAGATATTTTTTTTATTATTTGGCAATGAAAAAAAAAATTTTACAAATTTATTTCTTGCGCTATTATTAACTATCTACTTCGGCCTAGTTTGTTAACTACAATTTTAGTAAGTGATAAAACAATTTATGAACCACACAAAAACAGTATAAAAAAGAATAATATAAAGAATATAAGTTCTAAAAAAAGTATTAGGCAAAATTTCGGTAAGTTTTATAAAAATGTTTAAAGTCCAATATCTTGAAAATGGTAAAGTTTGGGATATGGTATTTCATAGTGAAGTCTATCAGAAATGATGGCAACTATAACCCATTTAAGTATCTAGGTTGACTTATCCAGTTACCCTGTATATATAAGCTAGCTATAAACTTTATTTGTTTAATATTTTAAAAATTAAAACTGGTTTTGTACATTAAATAAAAATAAACAAATATACATATTAAAATATTGACAAATGGCCCCTCATCCCTAACAGGGTTTAAAACTATTGCTTTAATGTGGGCAAGAGTGCTAATAGTGTAATGTTTTTTTATCCTGTTACTGAATCACACATTTTTCACATCATACTTTAATCACATAGACTTATGTCACATGAAGTGAAGTGTACAAGTGACTCAATTGTAGTGACTTAAGTGTTATAAAGTACCAACAACGGCTCATCTTAAAGTAGGCTGTAAGCAAGTCATGGAAAAAAAATACATCATCATCTGCCTATCCTTTGCCCAAATTCATTTAGAGTTTGTGCAATGGGGTTTCAGAAAAACATAAATGTTTTGCCTAATGAACTCTATATGGCTCAACACTTTAGAAATGGTAAAAATTAAGTTGTCTCATTTTTTCATAAATTTCTAACTTTTTATTACAGGCCCGCAATGCAGAAAAAGCAATGTAAGTCATAGTTTACCTTATATCTGCTGTCTTTATTAAAAAAAAAATTTTTTGTAAAAGCACACGAATTAAAATATTAGCCAATATTTTTCGTAACTTGTTCTTAATGCATTTAATTTTTTTGCAATTTTCAATGTCTCAATATTTATTTATACTTATTACTTCCTTAAACTATATGTTTAAGTTCTTACAGCTGAATGGCAATTTTGGTCGAGCTTGATGGTGGTTGGGTGGAGCAGTTACTCAAAGTGCAGCGCTACCTGTGCCATTTGGATAGGAATCATAGATCACCTCAATTAGATTGCATAAAAAATCATGTAGCATTTTAAAAGATCTTGAATATACATCAGGACCACATTGGCGCGATGGCGCGCAGCTCAGGTACAAGAGGCAGGTGGTCAACGCGAGAGGCGACCATACCTAGCTTCAGAATGCAATGATCTACCACAGGCGGAGAAATGGAGACTGCAAATTGTTAGAGAAATAGCCAAGAAAGTTGCTCAAATACAGAATGGTAAGTTGAATTCCAAAATATATAGGTAGATAGTTAGAAAACTCTTTATTTTTACATGGTTTCACAAACTAACATAGTACATAAAAATGACAGACATCTAATGTACAAAGGATGGCTAAAAGCAATCTCTTCCAGGCAACCTTAGGTAGGATGGATCAAAATATAATCAAATCAAATCAAATCAAATATCGTCGATGGGCATATTTGGCATTCATCACCATGAATGTAAACATTGGATTTTTTTTTGGCTTATTTGGTAGTACATTTATGGTTTTTATTGCCTTGGCAACAACTAGTGATTGTATCAACACTTTATAATAATGATAATTTAACAAATGTTATTGCGAAAAGTAGAAGTAAATCTGTGGAACATCTCCTGAAAATTAACTTAATTCTACATTCGCGGTAATGAATGTGGATTGACGACATAATTATGATGATTATTTATGAACAATTAACTTGTACAAGAACCTAGTTATGTCCCATATACAACCAAAAAAAAATACAAGAGGTAAATCAGCCATAGTATTTATTCTTTACATTCAACACCAACTTTCAATATATAATGGATTTTCTTTTAATTTTTTCATAAATCCATGAGGTCATGACTGTTACAAACATCCATGTAATTTTAAATATGTGAAATTTTTTGTAAAAAAACTTGTTTTGTAGTCAAGTATTTTCAATATGGAAGAATTAACAGACGCATCTGAATCACCAGTTAATCCAATAAATAACGATGAATTGCCGACGGTAGAGGACGTTGTGGACGTTGTTATTGATACAGTCCTACCAGAAACAGAGCCTCTTACACTATCCCCTGAGGAAGTGTTTTCGAAAGTAGCAAACGACGTAAGTCCAATCTTTGCTTCATCGCAATCCCCAATAAAACTACCTAGCCTTTCTCCCAGCGTGAAAAGTGAACAAGCAAGCACAAAAGATGCAACGCAATATAAAAGTGGCAGTTTGAGTCTAGGTTCCCAAAAAACAACACACAGCAATCCCACTAGTGAGAAGAGCGAAGGGTCATTCTCAAATAGTTCAAAATTACCAAGTAAAAGAAATAGTAAATCTAGCAAAGATGATTCAGTAGTGAAGGCTATCGCTGAACTCCAGCCGCAAGGAAAAATCATTAGCGATCACGTCGACAAATTGTCAGATGCCGTTAAAATACTTGCACACGACGTAAAGGTGTCTCAAGCGAATAGTGTGCCACATAACATTGATAAAATAGCTAAAATGAGCAAAGAACTTACGAGTGAAGCAAAAGCTTTGAGAGACTCGATTAAGTGTTTATCTGAGGACATTACGCGTACTAAACAAGAACTGTGCTGTTGTGTGACTGAAGAGGATGTCAATTTCCCATATCACTTGTTCCTCATTGAAATTATAATAAACAAAATTCATATGAAGTGTGAATGTTTTGATATCGACTCTAACAATTTAGTGATCGCTGCTACATTTTTGGGGAAGCAACCAATTATTTTATACGATTCCTCTTGTGGTAAAATTGATAATTTCAACAAATTAAATGTTGGAAAATCTACATTGTTTGCTATGACTTATGACAAAATATGCAGTATTAAAAAATTTGAAATAGTATTATTACTAACGAAGCAACCACCGTGTTCACCATGCGTGACGAAAATCGGCGAAACCCACATGGATTATACCTGTGAGTTTGTCACGTTACGAGAAGAGCTGTGTTCAAAGTGGAGGGACCAACAACCAACAGATAATATCCTGTGCACAACCTCCACTCCACTATCCAAAAATATGTATTATTTATCTTGCTGCATGGGAGAGAATACTGACACAATAGGCATTATAGAAGTCACAGTCAGAATGTCATTTTTAGGTAAAGAAATCACCACAGCATTTTGTGCACAACCTAAACCACAAGGTACGTCCTTTCTCTTAAAAGATGATCACGGAATGTCAATGTATTCCTGTCAGCGGGTAGAAATGGACGACCACGGTAAAATACTTTTAGAGGAAGGCGTTATGTCAAAAACTACTCCGCCGTGCTTGACAAGCTCTCCTCGACACAACAACCCGCATTCGTCTGTTTCTAGCTCCATATCTAAGCGATCTTACGAACCACCTTCTCAAGTCAACCATGGTAAGATATATAGGTATAATTATATTATATGTATGATTATTATTATTGATTTTCATACTGTTTTATTGATACTTATCATCTAATGTTACTCTGTTTTAAAGGAATGGCAAGATATGACGAAATATATACAAAAATGAATGTTAATGAGTTAAAAATTAGAGTTCCAAAAAGCAGCAAGGTTGAAAGAACAGGAAAGTACGATAAGATTCAAGAATTATGTTCTTGTGAAAGCACAGCTTATAATACTGGAGAACAAATACAATTTGAATTACCTAAAGATTGTACTTATCCGGAAAAAACATACACATCCAATCTGAAATACACCCTAAAGGGCTTAGACAGAAATGAAAAAAAAGACAGAAAATTAATCAACGTAACGCCTACTAACTGCCCTGTGCCAGTGGACATGTCCAAAATGTTACATCCACAGAAGGATGTGTTCATTTTGAAGATTGGAAAGAAGTTAGAAACACAAGATAAGAAAACAGATCTTGAAATAGAACTTGTTACGCCAAAACTTCCATCTGCAAACGAAAATAATAAAAATATATCCGCTCAGTGCAGTAATGCCGACGTTAAAAAACCATTAAAACCAAGGAAAGAAAAAAGTAAAGATAGGAAAGGAAAAGGAGGTAAATCGAAGAAAGCTGGCAAAGATAAGAAAAGCAAAGGAAAGAAGAAATAATCTCTTAATTCCCGTGAAAGTTATTTAAATTCTTAAACGAAAAAAAATAATAGTTTTGATTGATAAATATAAACGTTTAATATGTACCTTCCTTTACAATCACCATGTGCGAAAATGGTAACGGCACAAAATCATAGCTTGAAATAATTAAATGAGTTTTAATTTGGAGATTGTTCTTAATGTATGTTATTCGGTAAACCGCGTATGTATGCATCCCTGAACGTACATACACTGTCTGCATCCCCGAAGGGGTAACCGAGCATTATAGGAATGAGATGGCACAGTTAGAAGGAAAGGAAGGTTGGTGAGAAGTAGGGAAGGGATATTACTTCTACGGGTGGATTTGGAAACGTAAGCAATAACACCCCGACCGAGTAGGTCAAGATCGTACAGTAACTCGAAATTGATGATTTCAGTTACGCCCCTATTGTCTCCCTGTTAAACGCATTACGTTGGAATTATTAAATTATTATAGCTACTATGATATGATATCTTGGTGTATACGGCATGCGATACAATGCCGCGTAAGTAAAAGTAAAGTTGAAAAGCATTTGGTTGTGATGTAAATGTCAAACAAACATACGAACATCCATTCTTTTTTCTTATTTGGGTACACGTATCGAGATTTTAGCTATAAATCCCCGTAGGCGTCCTCAGGAGACTATCTGATGGTTTATGTAATAGTTTAGAAATACATAGCGACTAATTAACATTACTGCAATTGTACTTTGCCCATTAGCCGGTCTCGGTGAGTTCAGAATCCGTGACTTAAACGACGAGATCAATAAACTGATGCGTGAGAAGCGTCATTGGGAAGTTCAAATAAAAGCATTGGGTGGGCCTGACCATGCCCGCGTCGGCCCTAAAATGCTTGACCAAGACGGCAAAGAAGTTCCAGGAAATAGAGGATACAAATATTTCGGCGCGGCAAAAGACTTACCAGGTAAGGAATTGTTTTTTTTTTCAATAAGATAAGCGGTTTTTCAGGACGCTTTAAAGAGAGTCAATTTTATCATAACTCTCAGGTTAAATAGCTCGATAGTTATCAGTAACTGACGCTAAAATAGGCTTGTTTGTAAAGTACAGATCGTAAAATATAATTTTGCTTGCAAGGTGTTCGCGAATTATTCGAACAAGAGCCACCGCCGCCACCGCGCCGAACGCGTGCAGACCTCATGAGGGACGTAGATGCTGATTATTATGGCTACAGAGACGATGACGATGGACTGCTCATGCCGCTAGAACAAGAAGCAGAAAAAGAAGGTGAATTATTGTCATGAACTGGATTTGTTTATTACCAACGCAGACTCAAAATGTGATGCCATAGATTTAGGCGTTTTATCAGTATACAAAGTATAAATGTGAAAATGGGTTTAAATTTAGAAATAAGTAGATATAGCTTTACGAACACGATATTTAATATAATATTTACCATTTCAGCCATAGCGAATGCGGTTGACGAATGGAAAAGAAATAAAGAAGAAAATAAAGACCAAGACTTATCTGATGAAGAAAATATTTATCCTGAAGACGTATGTTCTTTCATTCTAATAATTTATATATTTACTCAAGGGCATTTAAGGAGACTAGTATTATCTAGCATATCTCATAACTAAAAAGAAAGAAAAACATTAATTTAGTAACAGAAAGAGGCATATTATTTTTAAAACAGAAATTAACAACATATAAATTAAACATAATTTAGGAAGTCTATAGTTAAGTTATAAGTAAGAGTAGAATTGGCTAAACATATAATAGCAATATTGGGCTAAGCATATAAATTGATGATACGATACAATACTAGCTGTACCCTGCCACCCATCACTGTGGTGGTGTTTGAAGCGTGTTTTATATCGTCAAAATTTGAGCTCAATCGTTGCAGATCTTTTCGCGTTTTTGAAGCGTGCCCGAACCAACTTAACATTTCTATTTTTTTAAGATTCATATTTCAAAAGTTTTTTTTTTTTTTAATTTCAGCCTGATGACAAAAGAATAGAGGACGAAGAAGCTGAACCTGTCAGGCAAGTAGTGACGTCACACGTAGCCGTACCATCACAAAAAGACATTGAAGAAGCACTTCTCAGGCGAAAGAAACAAGAATTGTTAGAAAAATACGGTTGCATGGATGTCGATGTCAAACTCGAACAGAGCTGACAATAGTCATGGAATTTTAAGTTAATTATAAATTTTATAAACCACAACAGCATCTTTTCTTCAAGTCCAAAATGAATGTAGCTGGCTGATAATTTTAAATTAAATCGATCCAACGATTTATTTATTGCCTTAAGGGACCATGTTGTAAAAAATAACCTTTTATTTCATATTACCTAATGCTGCTTATAAACTGTCATAAGCACTGCATAAGCATGTTAGACTTGTACTTAGCAAACTAACTTTAACCACATGATAAGCACATTCCATTTTCAAATTTTAGGACCAAGTACATTACCTGGATAGTTGGCGCTCCACAACTGTGCGCTTTTCGAGACACTTTTTGTCCTGCACAACCAATCTGTGGAACGGGTTATCGTCTGCGTTATTTCCAGACCGGTACGACCTTCAAGAAAAGAGCGTACTCCTTCCTAAAAGGCCGGCAACGCGTTTGTGACTTGAGTTGCAGACGTTCATGGGCGGCGATAGTCACTTTCCATCAGTTGACCCGTCTGCTTGTCTGCCCCCTCTAACATAAAAAATACATATTTTTTTCTTTTTTTACCGTTTTTGTGTCGTTGATATATTGTTTTATAATTTTCATTACCAAAATTGTAGTTAACAAAGCTGGTTGATAATAGCAAAATAAAAAAAACTATGACAGTTAAATTGCAGATGTATTCAAAAACATATACATATTGTTAGTTATCTAACAAGGTATAGTAATAGTCCAGGATATTAGCAGAATTCATAGAAAAAAACTTAGATGAAAGACCGGGAGTATTTACTATTAGCGTACTGCCCGCGAATAACTAGTAAAAAACTTGGTTGTAATTTTGGACTGTTTCCTTTCCTATTCGTGATTAACTATTGCTAACTGGACTTTGATTTGTGCTTCAGATACCGTTAAAGATGACGACCTGTACAAACGAGGAATATGTTGATATTCTGATTTCTTACGGATACTGCCAATGCGTACCCGCATGAACCACCCGTCTCGCCTGACATATTTCACCAAAACCTCCTTTCTAAGTAGAGGCCTATTTCCTCCTATAATGATGAGCTAATACTCTTCCAATTCACTTAGAGCTGTTCTTTTACACTTCTCCTGTAATGCGCAGCGTAACCATCATGCTGAAACCACATGCCGTGAATTAGATTATTAAGTGGTAAGTCATCAAGTAAGTTAGTTTAATTCTTTACCTTAAAAGTTTTCGTACTAGTACCGGGTTGTACGTGAATTCTTAATACTCCCGAATTTTCATCAAGTCTTTTTTCTATGAACTCGGATACTACCCTAAACTATTGTACCTTGTTAGATAGCTGACAATACGTCGTATACGTACCTACGTTTTTAATACATCTTTAAAGGGCTGCACGGATGGCGTAGTAGTGGTTTAGGCGGTCGCCACGCCACTTCCTACTACGCTGAGTGTTGTTGTGTTTAATCACCGCATGGAACTACACTGTAAACCACAAATTGTCGTTCTGAGTCTGGATGTTCTTTGTGACCGTTTCATGTGTTTGCGAAGCCCCGGCGACACAGGATATATTCTAGTGCGGGAGTTGTCTTATTCCACTGCGATTTCGAGGTAGATTTAACCAGTAACCATGTATATACAATTATTAAAAAGGACGAACAGATCCATTGAGATAGTTTGTAATCCTTTAGTCATATTTAAACAAATACATCCTGTAATATTTGAAAGGGCTGCCAGAGCCACATTCTTCATCATCATCAACAGCCTGTAATAGTCCACTGTTGGACATAGGCCTCTCTTTAAAAAGGAGGTTTCGGCCTACTATACCACGCTGGCCAGACGGGTTGGTATAGGGTTTGTGTCAAGTTTTCCTTCTCTTTGCAGTGCTGTTGTCCTGCGTAGTTTGCTCCCTTAATCGGCTCTTACGATACCCACGGGATGAATAGGGGTGGTGACACTCTGTATTCTTAATCCGTCACCTCACGGACAGCCACATTCTTATCTAGCATAATAATTATGCCTTGTCTTTATGACTTGAAATTCGTGATTACATACTTAATAAAAAGCCATATAGTTTTGCATTTACTTTATTTTCGAACAGTTTTGTTATTTAGACATGATACATTAACTAAGCAAAATATACACAGTATTGGAGACTTTTATATCTATACTGGCTCAAATTAGACTTTCGTCAAGTCCGGCTTTATAGGCCTTAAACATGTTTTTTTATATGTTTATACTTTTTAATATAGAAGACAATATTATAGAATACAAACATACAATAAGGTATCTTTAAAGATTGACTAAGTCTGACATAAGGAAGCCTCAGTTATATGCCCTCGTACACAGTATGCCACAATACGACAGTTAAACGGTCTGCATGCAGCAATTGTGTACAAAGGTCAAAATCGAATACTGTTTTAAATAATTTAACTATGAATATAGATACATAGATTCAAAATATTAATGTAATCGTTTTTATAATGTTTATTTATCACCCCAAACATTCTTCAAACTACTATGAACACTTACTATAATTACTTCATTTAGGAATGTAAAAACTTAACATTATCGTAAGCTCTCAGAAACGAATTAATAACTAGTAACACCAATTTCAAAAGACCTTGAAAGAAAAGTAAAACTTTAAATGATCTATGTATAAACGACACGATAACATTTCTTAATAGATATTTAAACTGAGTCCTCCTGAACTCTAGTCTGTGTACTACTTCGACTTGGACTCAACTTACAGGAATGAGTTCAGATTATTATAAGAATTAGACATAATAGAAGTGTCTCTTATAGTTATGTTTATCTACTATTAGTTTAGGGGTTTAATTGCACGGGTTAATGAACATCTAGAAATAATGTATTACAGCACTGAATCCAGTGCAACTAAAAACCGTTAAGTAACTAAACCACGGTCCCGAAGGTATAAAAGCAGTTACATCTTCATTCTCATCACTCAACTCAACACAATCAATAACTGGTAAATCCATACTTCTATCATAAATGTGAAAACTTGTTTGTTACGCTTTCACGCCTAAACCACAGGACTGATTTAAAAAAATCTCACCAATAGAAAGCTACATTATCAGCGAGTAACATAGCCGCGGGCAAAAGCTGATAGAACATAAAAGGAACTAAATGTGTATCAGATTATGAATTTAACCTTACTACATCTATTAAGTAATCAAAACACATCGTCTCTTAATATAACATAACCGACATTTCAAATATTTCAATTGTGGATCAGTAATTTCAATAATGAGCATATTTATGAACTTGAATGTAAAAACCGCTGATCACTAGTAGTGTTGGCCGATATCACTATCGATGAAGTGTATTAATTAAATTGGGGAAATCTGAATCAATCGTCTTAGGAACCAATTTAAAAAATAATTAAAACCAATTTTTGTATACTGGAAACTGACGAAATATAAAGCTATTATCTAAACTGTTTAATACATATAATAAAATGATAGGTATAAAAAAAAACAATATTTTAACGGAAATGATATCTACTGTGGCAAATCCTGCCTGTTCCTAAATGACTTTACCAGAATCTGTCATATTATTCATATTGTCTTGAAATGTCACAGTTAAAAAAGCTGTTTAATTACACATAATGTAAAGATAATCTTTCCCATAGTCCATGCCTCCAAGTCCTTAAAAATAAATTTACTAAACCATAACTTTTCCAGCATACTTATTATTTCTCCTGATATTATATATCTAATGTACATTTGTTCTATAATAGGTATGCGAATATACTAAAATACAACACTAAAGTTATTAAGTAAAGAACGCCCTCCAATGTTTTATTGCAGCTGTATAATTCTAACAACTATTTATACGCACCACCAAATCGTAAACCCTTGATTTATTATGTTTAATATCTCTAAAACTATTTCAACAAGGTGCTTATCAAAAGCTGGTTACAAACCGTTCGTAGTTTGAATTTCGAATAGAATGACAACCACAGACGCCAAGAGGGTACAAGGTCTATCTATTGAAAGACAAAAACAGTGGGCTGCTTGTACACTGTTTGGGGTCTATGTTGAAAACAGCGACATCTATATATATAGCTGCACTGTAATCTCTGACTGAGTATAAAACTATATGCTAAACTAAATAAAATGCAAAATTAGACTTTAAATTTCGAATTCTTTGAGTAGTTAAGCTTTCCCTTTATATTTTTATAAGTTCGTATCTAAGTGGAACATCGTAATAGCTCTTGCTCCTAGTGTATGTTTTGTTTTTGTAAAGTAAATATATTTAACATAAAACTAAACTTTGTGCTTTGTATGTAAAATTATTGCAGTAATCAGGTCTCAAATGATTCTATTATTGTTTTCAACACTGGTTAGAACCTCTATATTTGATATTACCAATACAATAATTTAATAAAAAGCACAAAATGCATCACAATAATTTCAAATACATTTTTTTCTAAAATTGCGGCTCTGTGTTCCTTGTACACAAATAATCAGTTTTTTTATTCATACATACATACAATATTGCAACATTTAGTAACAAAATATAAAATAATTTATCACAATGGGTTATACTCCTTACTTAGTTCCAATAAGTCCAGTAAGATAAAATCATAAGCGATTAGATTGTTATATTTTCAACTGCTATCTGAATACATTTTGCAATAGAGAAAGTATATATGATACAGTTTACACTACTCTGTGGAAATATCATGTCGTAAAAGTTATTATAATGAACTTTATTTTAGCAAATGGTTCTTAATACACACACACACATATATATATATATTGGCAATTCTCCGTCTGGAGTAGAGAGAAAAAGGACCTCTGCGTCTGCCTCACACATCTCTGATATAGTGCAAGAAAATTGCATTATGGAACTATCTTCGTCAATATATTTCCACCGAGAAGTGAGAGCCCATACTCTATAATATGAATGCAATATCTTAATATAGCTACATATAACGAGACCGAGTAAACCTTAATTATTACGATTGAAACAGATTCTGTTGCTTGGCGTCGTTCTCGAAATCACTCCACGCGTTATTGAGTTCCATGAAGATCATTTTAGCTAAATTCTCATTATCTGTTCCCATTTGCTGCAAAAAAACATTTTAAACCTCATTACCTCATTTTAAAACACAAAGATTCTTAAAAGGACAAATAAAATCAAGAAACACTCTTAATGTAGCCTAGCTTATATTGAGCGTAATAATTATATTATATTATTATTCAGCTTTTTGAAAAAGGTCTTTCAATAGAATCCCACGAGGCCACGAGGGAGGGATATCCAAATTTAACAGAACAAAAAGAAAATATGCTGATTCAATAGATGCTCAACTATTGAATCTATTGAAAGACCTTTTTCAAAAAGCTGAATAATAATACTAAAAGATGTAGGTATAATTGTAACCCGTATGATATTTACCTTATCTGGATGTACTGCAAGACAGGCTTTCCTATAGTTACGCTTGACATCGGCAGGCGACACCAACTGCGACATGTCGCAACGCGTCCAGCGACAGTCCTCCCACACCACCGTGTGAAGAGAACATAACAACGCACGAATATTCGCTTTCTTGCCTTCCGTCTACAAAAAAATAATAGAATAAGTATATTATCTACATCCATACTTACTTAAATAATCATTCTTATATTATAAATGTGGAAGTGAGTTTGTTTGTTAGGTTTCCACGCCTAAACCAATAAAACAATTTAAAAAATTCTTTCACTAATGTAAAGCTACATGATCAGCCGGTTTTCCGGTGAGGGCCTGGCCACTTGGGTTGAGCCAGCCTATGTAACGAAGCATGGGAACATATATATATATCAACAAGTCTTTAAGTCACCGCAACAACAGGTTGCATTGTTAAATGTAGATAATAAACAGCCTTTAATAGTCCACTGCCGGACATAATCCTCTTCTAAGAAAGGAGGTTCTGGTATAGTAGTATACCATGCTGGTCAGAAAGGTTGGTATAGGGTTTGTTTTCCTCTCCCCCGGCGATGGCCTCCTTGGCCGGAGACGACGGGGAGCACGGGGAGGATAATGTTCCGCCAGTCCGGGATTCGGAGGTAGGGGCGGCTGTTCTACGGATCCGTTCCAAGAACACCGCCCCTGGGCCAGACGGGGTACCGGCCCGAGTGCTGGCCCTGGCCCTCAACCACATGGCAGACCGCCTCGGGGAGGTGTTCGACGCTAGCTTGGCGTCGGGACGCTTCCCTGAGTGCTGGAAGAGCGGGAAGCTGGTCCTATTAAGGAAGCCGGGACGGCCTGCCGATTCGGTCGCGGCCTATAGGCCCATCGTGCTGCTGGACGAGGCGGGTAAATTGTTTGAGAGGGTTCTTTCTGCCCGCATCGTCCGGCACCTCTGCGAGGTGGGCCCCGATCTGTCGGACGCCCAATTTGGTTTTCGGGCGGGGCGTTTGACAGTCGACGCCGTGTTGCGCCTGAGGGCCGTGATCGAAGAGGCCGTGAGCTGTGGCGGCGTGCTGTTGGCGGTGTCATTAGACATCGCCAACGCATTCAATAGTCTGCCATTCAGCTGCATCAGGGAAGCACTCCACTATCATGGGGTGCCAAAGTACCTGAGGCGGCTAGTGGCAGACTATTTAGAGGAGCGTACCGTCGTGTACGAGGACCGAGAAGGTAATCTGAGGTGTCGGCCCATGTCGTGCGGTGTTCCACAGGGGTCTGTTCTTGGACCCCTCTTGTGGAACATAGGGTACGACTGGGCCCTTCGCGCCGATTTCCCCCCCGGGCTGGGTGTAATCTGTTACGCAGACGATACCCTGGTGACAGCCCGGGGGGCAAACTTCCAAGAGGCGGCGCGCCTGGCCGCAGTGGGAGTCTCCCTGGTGGTCGGGCGCATTGAGGCGCTGGGCTTACGGGTGGCCCTAGATAAGACGGAGGCCCTGTTATTTCATGGGCCCCGTCGTGGTCCACCCCCTGGCGCCTCAATCGTGGTCAACTCGGTCCTCGTACCGGTTCGGGCCCAGATGAAATATCTGGGCCTGATCCTCGACGGGAGGTGGCTCTTCGACGAGCACTTCCGACAGCTTGCTCCAAAGCTGGTCGGCGCTGCGTCTGCCCTAGGGCGACTTTTGCCCAATTTGAGTGGATCCAGTGTCGCGACAAGACGGCTGTACACGGGGGTTGTCCGGTCAATGGCACTATACGGTGCACCGGTGTGGGCGGCGGCTCTGACCGCCCAGAATAGGGTACGCCTCTGGCGCCCTCAGAGGGTAATGGCGGTCAGAGCCATACGCGGTTACCGCACCGTTTCAACGAAGGTGGCATGCGCGTTGGCCGGAACTCCCCCGTGGGATTTGGAGGCGGAAGTGCTCGCCGAAGTTTATCGGCGAGTGGCTGACTCCCGGGCGGAGAGCGGATTTCGCCCTCCGCCCGAGGATGTGCGCGAGTGGCGCGAAGCCGCTCGCCGAGCCACGATGGCTCGTTGGTCGTTCCGGCTGGAGACTCCACGCGCTGGCTTCGCCGCCGTGGAGGCTCTCCAGCTGGTCATCGCCGAGTGGGCAGGGCGGCAGCACGGGACCCTTTCCTTCCGGCTGACGCAGGTGCTTTCCGGGCACGGTTGCTTCGGAAAGTACCTGCACTCGGTCGCTAGGAGGGAACTGACTCCCGCCTGCCACCACTGCGACTGCAGTGAGGACTCGGCCCAGCACACGCTGGCGGTCTGCCCCGCATGGGCGGCGCAGCGCCGGGCCCTCACTGCAGTCATCGGAGTTTATCTCTCGCTACCGGCCGTAGTACGCTCCATGGCCGGTAGCGACAGTTGTTTTACCGCGGTCGCAACCTTCTGCGAGGTAGTAATCTCGCGGAAGGAGGCGGCGGAGAGGGCCCGGGAGGACGACCTCCACTCGGACCCGATCCGCCGCCGGCGAACCGGGCGGCGGAGGCCCGCCTATCACAGCCTCATGCCGCCCTGAGTATGGCCACAGGTGGACGGGGTGGGTTTCCCCTCCACCCGCATTAGTTTGGCCAGCCGCGAGGGCTGGACGTCGCCTATAAAGAGAGGAAAAACATTGAGACGGAGCCCGCACCAGGAGCGGGCTGGCGCTAGGAGGGGTCCGGATGTCTTAACAACAGCTGTTCCCGGCTCCCTCCTGTTACAGGCGCAGAGTGGCACACCGTGTGGTTTTAGTCGGTCCGAGTCCGACACACCACCCCGCCGCAAACCCCGGAGGGGTGACGGTCCGAGGGGATTTCCACACGTTAAAAAAAAAAAAAAAAAAAAAGGGTTTGTTTTCCTTCTCTTTTGCAGTGCTGTTGTCCTGCAGTTTGTTCCCCTTAGTCGGCTCTTACGATACCCGCGGGATGAGTAGAGGTGGTGACACTCAGTATTTCTAATTGACGGACAATGTAAATAATACTGTGATTATTTTGTCTATTTATAGCAGTCTCTTTTCAAATGGTTGAGCTTTGTGAACTCTATTCTGCCTCGTTAGTTAGATTAGATTTATTTTTATGTACTCTAAGACTTTCTACTTGTTTCTAGCTTTCTGTATGTAATGATAACAGTACGATTAAGATGAACGTTTTTTTTGTAAAGACAACTCCTGCATTAGGAATACATCCCGTGTCGCGGGGGACTTACAAACATACATGAAACGGACACAAAGAACACCCAGACTCAGAACAACAATTTGTGGATCACACAAGGTGTCGTAGTAGTGATTGGCGTGGCGACCACTTAAACCACTACGCCATCCGTGCAGTCTTCTTAATCCGTCACCACTCGGACAATGTAAATAATACTGTGATTGTTTTATCTATTAATAACGGTCTCTTTTCAAAAGGTTAAGCTTTGTGAACCCTACTATGCCTCGTTAGTTAGATTAGAGTTTGCGTGTAAGGCATTCTACTCGTTTCTGGTTTTCTGTATGTGATGATAGGCCGCTTAGAGTACGATTAGGGTGTCCCGAGGTATGTAAGTGATATTTGCTATTAGATATTTATTGCCATATGAAATGAAAATATTTTTGTGCAAATTATTAAAACAGGTCGTTGACTTACCCATTCGTGTATTTTTAATTTCTCCGGATCCATGGTTTGGGCCATTTCTTCTTTGCGCATAGCGTTCATCGTCTTAGGTCCTGTCTCTCTCTTCGCGAAGTCATAGCCTTGGCTACCGAGCAGATCGCCGAATACGTCGCCAGTTTTTTTGGGTTTATCCTCACCGGGCGTTTTTGCAGGTTCGAAGTGTGCTCGACTATAAAAAAGCAATATCAGGGTCCATTGTATTCCTAAACAGATATTAAACACGATACCACACTTCGTTTTCTAAATTAAGGTTAAACGAAAACTTATCGACAAGATCGGTGATGACCCAGCGGCTTGCACTAGATGGCGATATTTGTAAATGGACGACGTTACAAAGGAACAACTTATAAGCTAGTAATTACTAAAAAACAATCTTACAAAATAATTTAGACATTATGTACTTTCTTCGTATTACGTAAACGACATCTGTCAAGTGTGTCAAATTACATTGACGTTAGACTCGTATCGTATTATACAAACAGTGTCGACAGAAGTGAAAACTTGAAAATTATATTATTTTTATTTTAACACGAAAAATCTATGTTGTACGTATATATACACAATATGTTTATTTCATATATGGTTATATTATTAAAGTATTTCAACCCAAACTCAAACTCTCGTGTTTACGGGGCCATTATATGTTGTAGATACTTATATACAGAGGTGTCGGTAACGGTAACAGTGTCGCGAGTTCAATGGTTTTAAAAAAATACATTGTTTTGTTCGTTGTTAAAAGATGGCCAACACGCCTAAGGAAGTTTTGTCTTCAAAAAAGAAACGAGATGATGTGTCACCTGTAGTCGGGCTGGTGCGCGGGCGAGCGGGTGTGGACGGGCGGCTGCTGCGGGCTGGCGCGGTGCGCGGGCGAGGCGCGCGGCGTGGTGCCGGCGCTGAGCGCGGCGCCGCCCAGCGCGCCCAGCGCCGCCAGCGGCTCCGCACCCCCCGCGCCACCGCCCGCGCGCTCCAGCGGCACGCTCGACGGACGACCTGGCGGCGGCAACATCACACACACCGATGAGATTACGATTCGTTCACTCCTACTGAGAGCCCCTTCACAAAGCATGCGCCGCGAGCGCATACCTTCATCGAACGCCTACGGACTACGCTAGTATAAAGGAACCCTTAAAGTGAAGCAATAATATATATCTACAGGGTGTAAGGGACGTCGTAACGAATACTAAAATAGTGTATTCAGACCATCATTCTGAGTCGAAAATCATTAGAATTTTATGCCGGCAACTTAAACGTTTGATAAACTTAACCTGAAAAAAAAAAAGATATCGCAAAAGAGTAATAACTATATTTGTATTCCGTGCAAACAGAAAAGATACCATTTGTCGTATCACCTCACATAAACACAAAATGGTGGCCAGTGGCTGTTAGAATAATTAGATTGCCGTTTTTGACCGTACGCGGTATTTACATAATTATTTTGGGTAAAATGTTCTGTTTACTCATTATGATATCATTTTTAACCAAATACCTGTAAATAAAAAAAAAATGATAAATTTTACGGCAGAAAATTCATACGATTTTCAACTCAGAATGATGGTCTAAATACACTATTTCAGTATTCGTTACGACGTCCCTTACATCTTGAATAAAATCGAAATCGTACACGATATACATACAAACTCATTGCGGGTATCGTATATAAATCAAAAAATTAAGTTAGCGGTTGGAACGAAAGTCAATTTTTCTATGGCATGAAAAAATACTTTTTTCTGAATAATAGAAATTAACATTGCCTCGGTCGATTTGAGGCAGGCCATAAATAAAAATATTATAAAGTTATCTGCTGTGAAAAAAATTATGGGAACATGTCAGTTACGTAGGTGTATTTAACACACAATTAAATAGCATCTAATAAAACTTAAAAATAATAATTCACAATTAATATCAATCTTACTTATATCGCCTGGAATCAATTGAGATGCTAAAAGCGGCTCCTGCTTAACAGGTATAGGATCGTTCAGACCGAAGGGGTCGAAGTTGAGAGGGTCGCTCGAGTTCACATTGCTAGGTTGTGTTTGTTCCGTCGGCGGTGGTGGTAGATCACCAAATATGGATTCCGTTGCAAGTGTCTGAAAGAAATATTATTATTCTAGATATTATTTACGAGTCATTATTTTAAGTACAATACAGTATCTTTATTAAATCTTTTTAAACGACGAGAATGCGCCCAAATCATGTCATTTCTAATATATTAAAATCTGTAGGCAATATATTCTATTGAGCAATGTATCCCTGTATTTATTTGCAGAAACTTGTACATACAGAAATAAAAATCAACATCTAGCGTACATTTAACTACTAAGTCACTATGATATTTATCAGTAGACTCCACAATACACACCTGAGCGTTATCCTTAGCTTGTCCACTTAGGAAATCCCCAAAATTATCATCAGTCGTCGGCTTCTCCATTAATCCGAAGAAATCGAACGAGTCTTGATTGCCCAGCTTTTTCTCAGTTCGTTGCTCTTGAACTGGTGCAGCTCCGGATAAGTTGAGATTGAGAAGATCTATGTTGTCTGCGTCAGCATCGTTTGGGAGAGTTGTTGTTGCGAGTTGGGTATGAGGAGGGGGTGGCCGGTGGGGAGGAGCTGGAGAAGGTGGCGCGGGGCGTGCCGGACGAGGTCGTTCACGTTCTGCTTCACGTGGTGGGTAATCTGCGGTGACTGATTATAAAACATTTTTCATTAATAAGTATAAATTTAGAGTAAATATAATGGGATTGAATCAACATACGATTAACCAGGAAATGATGTAGTGACGCATTGTTCTTATTTCATGCACTAGTTTTGTACCACACATTCTAACCGCATTATGAATATATTAACATGCGAACACGAAATATCAACTTATGCAGACCAGCGGTCAGTTTCGATCTACATACAAGTAAGTACATAACATGATTAGTGAACATAACAGTGATAAAGTGCATTCAACTTTAATCTTGCTGAACTAAAAATCTTGCTTATGGAGGATTTTGGTAGATGCACTAATTATTATACATTATTATGATTAATATAATAATATCATCATAATCGTAGAAGTGTCGGATCTGATTTATTGAACTTTACAGAGCAGCCATTTCAAATAATTATGTTAAATTTTTGACATAACTTTTTTAAATTCTAAATTTGTCATACAAGTGAAAATAGGGTAACTAATAATATACAGTTTTCTAGAAAAATCACATGCTTTATTTTGCTTTGAACGCCTATCAAACAAATACTGAATAATTAAAAATCTAAAATACATATAATTTTTTCTTGAATGTCTTAATAATATTTAGATAATGTAGTATCCAAATACGGTACAGACTGTTTTTTTTTTAACCGACATTATGGTACGATTATGACGATATAATAATAAAAATAAAACTTTATTTTGATTTATGTATTTTAATCTATTTTAGATCACTTCAGTATCCAATAACATAGGTTTGAGAGAAATTTGGAGCCTCGTAAATAAGTACCCATTGGCACGATAACTTAATAAACTAACTTTTGTCACTCAGGTGGTCTAATGATTTTTGTAAGTGTAAAACGGTGCATCGTACATGTAACTTTATTATGGAAGCGTGTAGACTTAATATATTTAATTATAAAGTCAGCTTGATGAAAGGTTATTAATGCCTGATTTATAAGGATAGTTATTGATATATATTCGATACTATTTACACTCTTGGACTCAGATATGGAGCCTGTAGAACGCTTGACGAACTAAGGCCCGTATTTTAAAAGACGTCTCAAGTGTCGGTTGAACTCTGATTGCCTGAAACTAGTTTTAAGTGCAGATCAAATCTTAAGTATCGATCTTATTATAGAACGCGTTTTAAGTTTTACTCAGTTAAAACTAGTTTCAGGTATTGATTTGAACTTACAGTCTGTTCTCAATTACGTTTCCGCGTGATTGACACTATTATTTCACATTACGCAGCTAATTATTTAAAAAATAATTTTCTTTTACAAAAATAATTTCTGTGAATTTGTATATAATATACTATTGCCTAGTGTAGCAATGTTAATATATTAACAAGGTTGTTGTTCGTTCAAAATTAAGTATAATAAATATTAAAATAAAAATGACTAGCTGTATGAATAGGCTATAACGGAATGTTCAAGTTATTTATCAACACTGGTCATGTTGAAATGTCAAACGTTGTTTTATTTGATATTTCTAAAATTTAAATTACTATACTTTTAACATAAACCAAAAGGTTGTGGTAATTAAAACTGGTATTGTGTGTGTAAAATGTGAATTTTGGTGAATTTCATATCAATTAAGGTAAAGGAAAGTGAAATTGATGATAGTATGCCAAGTAATTCTTTCGTAAATAAAGTAAAGTAAATCTTTCGTAATTATTCAAAAAGAAATCATCGTAAAACACATTCATTTCCCCTAAATGCCTTAGAAATCACCTCTTGAGACTAGTTTCAGCTTGTCTCACGTAAACAAAGATCACAGCTGTCAAAATCTATACCTGAGTAATGATTTCGACATAAACATCGTTCTAAAATAAGCTATCACTCACTTGAGTATGGATCGGTGAATCTCGTTTTAAGTGACGTTCAATAATAAAATCTCTACTTAAAATTAGTTTTAAGACTAGATTCACGACTGAGACACCTTTTAAAATACGGGCCTAAGTTTACAATACATGGTTTAATAATAATCATTCTATAAAAAACTTGTAAAATGTCAAATATTATCGTAATAATAATATATTCTGCACTGTCTGTCTGCATTTGACTACTTGGATGGATAGTTTGTGTGATCCACAAACTGTAGTTCCGCGTCTGGATGTTCTTTATGTCCGTCTCATGAAGGAATTTTTGGTCTTTTTAAAAATCGTATAAATTGAAAAGACAGATTGAGTCTGAGACTTTTAAAAACACGCAAATATTCTGGCCTTTAACTGTAAAAACTAGCCGTAATTGTTGTCATACAACTGAGGTATTCGAAATTAAAGACCTAAGTAAAGACGCTTACCTGGTAAATATTATAACACTAATAGACTAATAATAGTTTCTAGAAACTATCCTCTGATAAATCAAGCACTAACAAGAACTACGATATACACACAACACTACGACATACTTGGACGCGGCACTGCAGTTGGGTTGTTTCGAAGATTTGCTGTGTAAATAGATACAATTGACAATAATACTGTATAGGTAAATATAATTCTACATAATAAAGTTTAAATTAGGTTCATATATTATCTTGAGAATTTTAATGAGACAAGCTTAGACTTTGAGTACTTATGTTTAAAAGTTTTAAAGGAATCATTAGTTTAGGTTTTTATATACCTAAATACTATGCAGCTTGCTGTAAAAGGACCAATCCGGTAACTTGATAAAAATGTTATGAAACCAGTGTCAACAATTCGTGGTACAAACGTCATATAATGATTACCACCATTGTTAACTTAACGCTAGCAATATTAAGTAAAAATCTAAATTAACTCTTTTTAACTCAAACAAATATAGTGTGTTCTAACTAGTTTACTCTGTTTTAAATTAATTTAAAGATACATATTTCATGCTAAATACTCACCAAAATTGTCGATAGTTTCGTCTCTTTCCAGATTAGTGGAGAATAATACATCGGGTGTGCGTATAGCAAACGAATGGTCTTCCTCCCACAGGTCCGAGCGGGGTTTGCGTCTCTCCCCGTTTTGTACCACCAGACTTATTACTGCATGCGTATTATTAGAGAAATGATCATTCACTGGACTTATTTCGTCTATCCCGTCAATTTCAGACCTGGGAATGGCGAAAGTTTATAGGTTAGTAATATAAACTTAAAAGCATACATAGAATTTGACTACTTGTGACGTCATTGTTCGCGACAAAATTCCATTTATTCAAATTATCAATATCAATTGTAGTTCAATCGTCTTATCGTTTATATAGCATTTAATTTCACTATGAGCATTAAATAATCTATTTTACTCATAGGAAACTACCTTATTCGTTTCTTAGGTGGCTTAATTGAAAAAAAACTTACAGCAAAACACACAGAAAACACGAGGTTCTGCGGTTGTGTCCACAATTTTTTTTATATATTTTTTATCGGAGATAAAAATGAATCTCTGTTTCACTAAATTAATCTGCTAACCTGGTGAACTTGATAGCATGCTGGTTGGGTGAGAGGAAGCCAGTGTGGAAGTGCAGCGACAGTACCGGCACAGAGTGCACGCGCCCGAGTTGCTGTCGCGCGTGGTACACGCACACGCACACGTCACCCACCACCGTCGTGTCTAACGGCAACGTCACCTACGGAAACCACAAAACTGTACCTTATACCTTTTTTACACGCTTTATATTAGCTTCACTTGTATGTTTGTTTGTAACCGACTCCTTTGGGCGTGATTTTGACTGACTTTAAACGGTCAGAATTCCTTCAAACTTTGTAGATATGTCGAGGACCGATAACAATACACTAATTAATTTAAAAAAAATGGTTTTATAAAACTAAAAAACACGCTTTTTATAGAAAACCAAACTGAAAAAGAGAAAATAAATTTGAAAAAACCGTTGGATGCCTGTTGTCAATAGTAAAAAGCACCCCATTTTTTAGTTTTTTAAAACTCATTATTTTAGGGTTGCCATAGCAAACTGTTCCTAAACGATTGTTTTCATAAGTAGCTAGCCCCTTACTATACTAAGAAAAAAATTAAAAACTTTTCTAACAGAAGTAAGCTAGTTCCTTTTAAATATACCATATTATGATTATTTTTCACATACACAAAGAGGTTTAAAAATTACTACTTAAGTAATAGAAATACGGAAGAACCAGCGTCGATTGACAGCACATCAGTCATCGTCCAGGTCTACCATATTGGAGGGAGTTGAAATATATTAGTTTTACACACACGACACCACCAACACTCATAGTCCGGCAATGCCAAGCAACTTAATAAAGGTAAATGTACTTACTTTCCCTTCTGCCATAGTGTAAAGATGCAATCTGTCATAATCTTGTAAAGTAGATAACAGCATTCTGTCTTCATTATATATTTCTATGTATGGACGACAACCATCTCTAAACAAATCAACACAAATGTTTTTATTTTCATTGTTGTTACTAATCTTAATATATTTTTACAATTAAAGCTTTTTGTTATGATAAATTTTAAGTAGCATAATTTACATGTTGTAATTGGTTGTACCGATTCTCTAACATGAGGACAATTAAGAGAAAGAAGTTTAACATCACCATGAGTTACCTTGCTTTTGTGAAAAGTGGAACTGGCTGGATTGTTAGTGACACTAAACTCACTGGTCTGAAGTGAGGCAGTATTGGTTCCGGTCTGAAACAAACAGAAACCGATGACTTAGTGGACAGTACGCATTTCTATTAAGTATAATATGTGTCATGTGCATATTATGTATGTTCACAATATACACTTATGCAAAAAATTAAGGGAGCAAAACAAATTGAGAATTCATTCATGTTTCATTTTCCTTTTTTTTTGTCTCTACGATGATTTGTGGCGGAGGTATCCGACTTTAAATGCAAAAGGATCCTTTTGGCTTTAGCCATCGATATTTCAACAACCAATCATGGGGCAGATAATTGAAGGACAGTTCCAAAATCTGCAATAAATTGCCTACAAGGTTGGCTTATGGCTATCGGCCGTTCGACAGCCCGGGGGGCGATCTTCCAAGAGGCGGCGCGCCTGGCCACAAGGGGAGTCTCCCTGGTGGTCGGGCGCATTGAGGCGCTGGGCTTACGGGTGGCCCTAGATAAGACGGAGGCTCTCTTATTTCATGGGCCCCGTCGTGGTCCACCCCCTGGCGCCTCAATCGTGGTCAACTCGGTCCTCGTACCGGTTCGGGCCCAGATGAAATATCTGGGCCTGATCCTCGACGGGAGGTGGCTCTTCGACGAGCACTTCCGACAGCTTGCTCCAAAGCTGGTCGGCGCTGCGTCTGGCCTAGGGCGACTTTTGCCCAATTTGAGTGGATCCAGTGTCGCGACAAGACGGCTGTACACGGGGGTTGTCCGGTCAATGGCACTATACGGTGCACCGGTGTGGGCGGCGGCTCTGACCGCCCAGAATAGGGCATGCCTCTGGCGCCCTCAGAGGGTAATGGCGGTCAGAGCCATACGCGGTTACCGCACCGTTTTGACGGAGGTGGCTTGCGCGTTGGCCGGAACTCCCCCGTGGGATTTGGAGGCGGAAGTGCTCGCCGAAGTTTATCGGCGAGTGGCTGACTCCCGGGCGGAGAGCGGATTTCGCCCTCCGCCCGAAGACGTGCGCGAGTGGCGCGAAGCCGCTCGCCGAGCCACGATGGCTCGTTGGTCGTTCCGGCTCGAGACTCCACGCGCTGGCTTCGCCGCCGTGGAGGCTCTCCAGCCGGTCATCGCCGAGTGGGCAGGGCGGCAGCACGGGACCCTTACCTTCCGGCTGAGGCAGGTGCTTTCCGGGCACGGTTGCTTCGGAAAGTACCTGCACTCGGTCGCTAGGAGGGAACTGAGTCCCACCTGCCACCACTGCGACTGCAGTGAGGACTCGGCCCAGCACACGCTCGCGGTCTGCCCCGCAGCGCCGGGCCCTCACTGCAGTCATCGGAGTGGATCTCTCGCTACCGGCCGTAGTACGCTCCATGGCCGGTAGCGACAGTTGTTTTACCGCGGTCGCAACCTTCTGCGAGGAAGTAATCTCGCAGAAGGAGGCGGCGGAGAAGGCCCGGGAGGACGACCTCCACTCGGACCCGATCCGCCGCCGGCGAACCGGGCGGCGGAGGCGCGCCTATCACCGCCTCATGCCGCCCTGAGTGTGGCCGCGGGTGGACGGGGTGGGTTTCCCCTCCACCCGCATTAGTTTGGCCAGCCGCGAGGGCTGGACGTCGCCTATAAAGAGAGGAAAAACATTGAGACGGAGCCCGCAACAGGAGCAGGCCGGCGCTAGGAGGGGTCCGGATATCTTAATAACAGCTGTTCCCGGATCCCTCCTATTACAGGCGCAGAGTGGCACACCGTGTGGTTTTAGTCGGTCCGAGTCCGACACACCAAGGTTTTGTTTTGGTTTTCCAAATTCAATGGATAAAAATGTCTGAGTGTGGAAAAACTTATTAATATTTCATTTTTACCAGGGTTACAATGTAATTTTTTTCAGAAATTTTGATCAACCAACAATAGAAAAACCATTAGATTGATCGATCTGTTGATTTGCAAGATTTTTGGGGGTATATCGGGCTATAAAAATTCAAACATTAGACCCCCTTATCAACATTTGCAAAGATGCGGACGATTTTTCAAGTTAAAAATGGAGGATTTAAAAAAATCTTAACGGCCATAACCTAACCTTGTAGGAAATTTTTGACCAAGAGATCTAAAAACTAGAATTTTTGAACTTCGAAATGCTTTTTTTACGAGCTCGAAACGACCATTTTCCACGGAAATAAGGGCCTTCAAAAATCACTTGCTCGCTTAATTTTTTGCATAAGTGTATTTTATTATTGTTATTCTTCTGCGGCTACTATACACACACCAACAACTATTCAGATAAGACAAAGCTGGATAATCGGGGTTTCGCTTACATATTAGAGAGAACGTTATGTTGTGTAACGCCAACGCTGCACAACATAACGTTGTTATCTTTGACTGCACGGATGGCGTAGTGGTTTAAGTGGTTGCCACGCCGCTTTCTACTACGCCGAGTGTTGTGGGTTCAAACCCCACATGGGACAACACTTTGTGTGATCCACAAATTGTTGTTCTGAGTCTGGGTGTTCTTTGTGTCCGTTTCATGTATGTTTGTAAAGTCCCCCGCGACACAGGAATATATATTCCTAATGCGGGCGTTGTCTTTTTTTAAGAATAAAAAAAAAAAAAAAAAAAAAACTGAAATAAACAGTGAACAATTTAGTTATAAATATATAACCTACCTAATTATATTACTGAGATAATAGAGGTATCTGAGTTGACTAGGCGGAATGTTGATAGGAGATCGTTTCACTGCGAATATCTGCAGTGCGTCTTCTGGTACCGTTACTAGCTTCGCGTAGAGTAGGAGACCGCATACCAGCATGCATGACATTTGCTTCCCATCCTGGAATTACAATTTAAAGTTTTAATAATAAATGTACATATTATTTACAGTTGAAATGAAAACTATCATATGACTATGATCATAAGTTCATGACACTTGTCTGTCGCTTATAATCTGCCACCCCTTCCCCTCCATAGAGCCTAAGCACTCTTTTCTTTTTTGTTTTTGTGGATGACTACGAAAGTCCTTAGCAGAAAAGAAACAACTCTAACTAGTGCTGTGGAACTTTAAAATCTTTCGTAGGACTTTAATTACATTTTAGCATAAGTAAATATGATGCCCTACTAAATTAACCATAATCATTGGAGCAAATAAAGAGTATAAGTGGAAGAGTAAAAATGGGAGAGACCAAAACATTTCAAGGTTATTCATTTTCATGAAATACAGTCTCGATACTTATCAGTTTACGTTCAATTACTCGATATTTATTACACCTATATATCTCTAGAGATTTGGTTTTGTTAGATCAACAATCCTGATGAACAATAGGGAATTAGAATTAATTAACCTATTTAACAATTCCAATAGATGTCAAATGAACGTTGAATTGGTGTACTGTAACTCTAATGGTTTCTTTGATGAACTGAAATGAAAATGTTACTCACAACATGACATATCAATTGTAAGGTTTAAACTCTTTTGATGTCTTCGAATAGTAATATTTAGATTAGTCTAGAATTCTAAATAATAAGTTTTTGTTCTTATGGATATCTCTCGACTTGTTGCATTAATGTGTTTAAGCAGAGTTTAGTTCGATTGATAAAAGTATTGTATTTATAGTCAGGTTATTATTGAACGCTGTATGATCAATTTATGTCATTAGATCTCAGGTTACAATGATAAAATTGTGTCAGAACCTTTTTTCTTAGGAGGCCTATGTCCAGCAGTGGACTGTTGTAGACTGTGGATGATGATGATGAATCGTAAAATAACATATAGCCCACTTACTTGGCACGTGATTACACAAGCTGCTCTTTCATCCTTCCCAAGATAGTGGTACATATGCTGTAGAAGACTATATAATGGTGCTAATAGGGGCGCTCGGTGCACTGGTGTCGGCCATAGTGCGCGGCAAGCGTCAGTGATTATAACGTGTCTCGGGAAAGTTAGCCGACCACCGCGCCAAGCGTTGTACACGCAGTATTTGCCGCCTGGATGACGACTTTCTAGGTAAGCCTACACAGAAAGAAACAAGGACCTGACGTTTTGGTATGTTCATAGCATACGAAGATTTTCTGCGCCCAATCGATGCATTCAAAGCTCGCAATCTAATGTTATTCTTAAAAATGTCGTTCTATTCACAAGGTTTAGCTCGACATCCTTAGTCATTGTCACAGTGGTTTTCACTGGCTTGACGTTTGGCGTGGTGAACCGTATACACTTCATGCAAAAGCAAATTGTTAACGTCAAATCAACCACTTTCGAGATGCCGTTGTTTACGTCTGTGAAATTAGTAAGTGTGCGTTTGAGTCTAAATAATAGTGATGTATCGTCTGCAAAGAACACAATCTCGTGATTATCCTTGACAAGGTGAGGTAAGTCGGTAATATAAACTAAAAACAAAAATGGGCCAAGAATAGAACCTTGTGGAACGCCCATTTCTACCACAGAACCCGGAGATCGCTCACCGTTAATATCAACTTTCTGAATTCATTGAATGAATTAATTAGATTTGAAGCACGAAGTTCCAGTGTTTTAGTTTTGGTACCATAGTGCTGTAATTTCCTGATGAGCGTTTCTTGAACAACACAATCTAAAAAAGCTTTTATGAACGAAAGGCGCGGAATTCAAATAAACATTTTTTCTAATGGCCCCGGGCGGTTGCCCTGCTCGTCACACACAAAGGCCGCCCCTGATACCCTATCCTGCCTTTTATGTGTCACTGGCAATGTAAATACGAAATTTCATGATAAACGGATGAAAGGCACGAAAGGCAGCAATCAAATATAAATTGTTATTTACCTACTGGTCTTATCGCATATTATGTTTTGATTATGTATTCTCCACTTAATAAAAAATATAAACTTTTGTTTGATGATAGAAACCATAATTTTATTGTAAAAAATTATGAATTAAACTGACTATTAATATACACACCCATTCACGTCAGGAACAAAATCGAAGCGTAAATAATAACAATTAAGTTGTTATGACAAACAATATTACTAATTAAAGTTTATTCTGTAAGAGAAAGAGGTTGAATATTAGCGCACGACAATTTAAGGAAAATGTCTTACCCTGACGTCATCAATGTGGTTGGTTTTATATGCGCTCTCTAATCCTTCAGACGGATAAGGCATCACGATTAGGCGACTAGTGATATAACTTATATCCAAATCTGTTCTGGCTATAGACCTGAAAATTACCCTTAAGTTAGTACTATCGGCATGAATAATTTCTGTCAGATTGAACATGTTCGGACGAGTGACTAAATATGGATAAATAGACATACTTAACAGCTACCTTAAGGACATAATTGTGTAGGTGTGTATGAATCACGATAAGCGGCTATTATCACATATCTGCGCACCACACAACACGTCAGTTGCGCGATAATTTCATCAACTAGTCAGCACAGAATTTTTGTACAGAGCGGTAGTGTTTGTTATATTTTATGTATAATGCGAAGGTCAATTCTTTCAATAAAGTGAATAAAAAATTGCACTTCATTGTATTTTACAAATAATTAAATATATATGTCGACTAAAATAATAGGAAAAATAAGAATCGTGTTGTCCAGTAACAGCCACAAACAAGTTAAATTATTAATACCAATTAACTGTCCAGAATTATCTGTTTCATATAAACTCATTTATCACAATAATTCTAATTATATTTATGCTCTTTTACTGGTAATCAAGCAAGGGGCCATTGTTAACATTTGGAAGTGGCAGTTACAGTGCAGTGTGCACAATCGAATAATACATTTTTAAGGGACCTTCTTTTAAAAGGCTTTAATGCAAACAATTGTAGGTACCACTAGTTTATTGATATTAGAAAATACCTACTCCCATTTAACTGTGTGGCATTATATTAATAAAAATTAACGTTCTGTACTTACTGTTGGACAGTCTGCATAACCTTCGAAGAAGTATCCTTTAAATTCTTAAGAAAGCTGCCGGCGCCTCCTTTAATAGAGGAGAACAGTCCCCCCGAGTTGACCGGCTGTTGCGGCAAAGGTGGTTGGTAGTGAGGCGCCGCGGGAGGGCGCGCGGGCGGAGGGGGGCGCGCCGGCTCCGGCGGCCGGGAGTTCGGCACCTCCTGACTGTTTGACACCGGATCCTTGTTAGCTAGAAGAAAAAAATATGCTGCACTACACAGTTCTAAGAATTTTAGTGGAGCTTTGAATGAGATAGTTACAGCTCATACAACGTTTGGCAATAAGTTAGTAGTGATATAAAGGCAATTTATACAGCTGTAGTGTGTATCTTTATTTATCTAAGTGTTATGGGCAATCTTGTTCTCTTAAGTTTTCATCTTGATAGGATATTATATGATAATGTTCTGGTGTTCGTTAATTGTTAGTATATTATTAAAACGTACCTATGTTTTTTTTTTATATATTAAAATGGATCTGATAATCACATCACATTAATATGTATAATCTAGCAGAACACTGAGAACATCCATTGTGAGGTATTAAGATTCTGTTCATATTTTTAAGGAATAAAAATTTGACGAAAACCACATCATAGATTACTTGACATTTATTTCTAACATTAAATAACTTACAGGTTTACACTTACATAGCTAATAGTAACAAAAATATTGCTCATCTAAAACTACACGTCCTTTAACTAAAAACTATTTCAGTATTACATAAAACGAATCATCACTTTTGTCAAAAATCACATGTGTAATCAATCATATTGAAAATTATATAAAGTAAATCATTCACAAATATTGGCGAACTTATTAAAATACTAAATATCACAACAATATAAGTATATCTTCACAACATACTATTGCTGAACAAGTTATAAAATTATATAAGTGAAACGTACTTACCTACTGGTAATACACGTTTAATAATTCAAAGATTATAAAAGAGAAAATCGATTCAAAATATTTTTACATATATTATGAAGTACTTTCGTGACTAATTAGTTAAATATCAGTAACCAAATCTATTAAATTCGAGTGATTTACAGGGTTTCAGACACAAATTTGGGGCATATACTTCTTTTACTAAATTTAAAAAAGATAACCGCAATTATACATATATAAGCACCTTTTTCGACATCAGTTACTCTAGACCAGCACGTTGTTTATCTTATTGAATTTTTGTAACTGTTTAAAAGGGGTTTGTATAATTGCAGATTTGCTTTGACATTGTTTGTTTAGAACGATGGTTCACTCGTCAAAAACACAAAGTTTTACAACCGATTTGTGAAAGGCTGATAAATATTTTCTTAAACTAACAGAGCCACCAACAGTAGTGTTAAATCAATTCTAAGAGACTTTTTGAAACGTTGATCAACAAAAAAAAAACTTACAGACAACAAACAATAACAAACAGAAAAAACAAAACTTCCGAATATTTCTAAATTATAAAAGTTTGACATCTCTGTTTACTAATCCTAATCATATTTTCAGCCAAAACAATATTTAATTGACAAGATATTTACAATCGTAGGTGTGCCTTTCAAAAACCGCTTACAAAAAGATTCGTGCGTTTAAAAACAACTATTTGATACTCGGTTAAGAGTTTAAAAAGAAGTATGCCAATACACATTAAATTGTCATTATTTTTGAAATTATTTAATTTCAAATTTTTGGAATTATTAAATTATTATATATTCTCCGACATTTAGTATCGGTGTTCACAGCGCGCGGTTTGATTCATTTTTTAAAATAAAGATTCACCGAATCCATAATATTTTCTAAAGTTAATGGATAAGAGAAATTTATTTCCCTTCATAGTTTGTTTTTTTTTTTAACGGTAAAAGCACAATGGAATGCAATAAACTAATGGAAGGACAAGATTTTTAGCAGGTAATTCTACAATAATGAAAAAGAAATACCTAATGGAAAATTCTAATTTTTTTACATGATTTTTGTGGTTTTGAGAATCACTCTTAAGGAAGCTTAATCACGTTGGTAAGGAAGACATTTTTTAATCAGTGCTGAATCGTTTTCATTCATTTTGAGCTTGAGCTACAGCAAAAACTCTATATATAAAAATAAGTAAAAAAAACTTGTACAACTGCGACTGTAAGATTGAGCGTTAAGATTATTTAGCACAAAATGCATTAAAAAGGTGAAGAAAGTTCTTTATCGAACACGTAATTCAATATACAACTTTTTGCAAAAAGAGAAGTTTGAAATTTCTATAAAAAATCTAGGAAATTGTCCGTTAGCCGTCATGCTTTTTTAGTAAAAAACTTACCCTGTCCAGTGTGAGTACCTACTCGTATAATAGAACCAAGAAACAATAATACGATAACTGATAACAGAAACCCTAAAAATTGTAATATCATTTAACAATATGGTAACTAAGTAATACTATCGACCAATAACTGGGCTTTGTACATTTCCATGGAATGTGGTGTACATAAATGTATATTAACCATTCCCACTTAATAGGACGCATTGTTAACTATATTCATACTGAAAAGCAGTAAAAATAAATACTTTAGACGGCAGTTAGTAACTAAACGATTACACTTAAGGATACATCTAGCCGCCTTGGTTACTATTTAGAGCATTCTAACTGGATTGTTTTCTTTTTTTAACTTATATTGGATGACATAAAGGAATGATAGCACTCGGTATCTTAAAAAGAGTAAGAGGGGTTAAAATAGGACGGCCCTATATATTAATAAACTTGAGTTAGATACTAATAGGAATGTATAGAGAATATTGGAATTATTGTCATCGAAGTATAAATTTATTCTAAAATATACTTGTAAAATGGTAGTCTTTATTACGTACGGTAAAAATATAATCCTCATAAATAATATTCTCTTGTTAAGTAAGATATAATTTTACAACAACCTTCAGAGCATAAACCGATATTATTAATTTACATACTTATTAATCGCTGCACAAGAAAAAAACGAACAAATTTTCATAATTTAAATCTACAGGCTTTAACAACATTAAACTTTTATAATAATAGTTAAACATTAATAAATAAAAACAATGAATACTCATCATTGCGAGCATATCCGATCGTTCTAGCAAGCGTCAAGTGTGAGTGGTGTCCGATGCAAGGATTCATGCTCAGCGGGTCATTTAAACGAGAAAACTATTGGGCACCCGAAAAAGTTGAAAACACCTAAAATGAAAAAGAAAATGTGATATGTTTAGCATACAAATATACGTTTATGACAAGCCCTTCGCCTCTTATTAATTATTTCACCTTTAAAAAGCATTTTATGGTAAATCGGATAGTGATTACCAAACATGGGTATTGTAAATACATCCACTATTTCAATATCTCTAAACGTTATCTATACTCTATTTTATCTTTACATTAATTTAGATTATCTTTAGTCTCTTGTAACAATAATATTAGTATCCTCTAATTACAAATCCTAGTTTTGTTGGGGCTATTTCTGCTCTACTTATCAAATACGATATCGATTCCCGGTTTTACGTATCAGTTTATTGAGATGACCTTTTAATAATATCAAAGTATTGGCTAATTTAGTTTACAAAAAAATAAAAAGAGGCGAAGGACTTCAGTCGCTACAAACAAGTACATGCAATGTGTTATAATCATTCAAAATAAAATTTAAGCACTGGCCCATGTTGTAATAGGCTAACATGCATGGCAGAGGGTCTAAGAAGAAACGCCTTTTAAGTAAACAGTTTCTGCATAATCATGCCGTTTTATTAGTACCTAATGAGTAACAACATATAACAGAAACGGGCTCGTAGATAATTGTATCATAATAAGTAATTTTATATTTTATAAGATTAGATAATTAGTTATCAATTCATACACTGAATTGATTAACAGTTTAGACGTAGGACAGTAAAGCTTGAAAAGGTTGTGAACAGTTGACTAAGTCTCTTTTTTTTAATTTTTTTTCTTTTGTTACAGGTTTTTTTATATCGGATATAAAATTAAAAGTTTTGTGAATTATGTATATTTCCTATACACTATGTTTGTCAGGAAAATTAAGTTTAAATATTTTTGTAAATTAAGGTGTAAGAGAATAAAATAAAATTTATAAATATTTAAAAATTGTTAGTAGGTGTAAATATTTGTACCAACCGATAAGTTACACAATATTAAGCCATTTTTAATTATTTAGTTGGTTTGTAGTTAGGTATTATTCACAAGTACTTTTTTTAATTCAACACTTTGTATTAGACTCGTCTACACACTTGACGCTAATGATTTAGTTTAACAAACACACACTAATGTATTTACGGATAATGAAAAACACTACAAGTGCAGTAAAAGACGCAGAACTCTTTCCTCAATTAAATATGTATGAAATCGTGTTATGAGTTATAAACACCACAATTAAATACAAGGACTAATAACTAAATTAGCGTTGTGTTAGTATGTAACGTATTTAAACGTAGGCTGTACAACCCGTGTGTAATAACGTGCAACCAGATCTACAGTGCCAATCAATCATGTTAGTTGAAAGCAAACGTGACATCAGATCAATAACAGAATAATTTATGTACAAATTATACCCACGTGTTCGTACTACGGAGCTCCACTATGCGACAATCTCTCACTTTCGTTATCTGTGCCACTCAGAATACATTAGAAATAAAATCAAACCACGGCTGTGAAGAATATACTCATTTATTTCTGTATAAAGCTCCCACATGACTAAATAATAATATGCACAACAGAAATAACGATTTATGACAAAATGTAGTGCAAGCTGTTTATAAAACACTCGCTCTTCAGCTCATATGAACTAATGCAGAAGTATGAACGTTAAACATTGTGTATTCTAATATATCATAATAATTCTACTGTAATTCAATACTTGTACCTCAGTTAACTTTCCATTTCCTCATATTGTCTGGAAAAAATTTGGACTGTTCCATGATTTTGAACATAGTGTTTGATTGTATCAACACAAATATAATTATAAGATGTGATAACAAGCAGTGTAGTTATATACACTGATAATATAATAGACTAGTTTATATACACACAAATAACTTATTATATAAGAGCCAATGTAACTACGTGACAAGTGTGCGTAGGTGCCGAGACCAAGCCACCGTTACCGTTAATGCGTACACACTGTGAGGAGTCACACCACAACCCAACAATGTTAGTTCACATACACAACACTCTCATGTTATTATTAAGCCAATTTTTTTTTTTTTTTTTTTTTTTTTTTTTTTTTTTTTTAAAAAAGACAACTCCCGCATTAGGAATATATCCTGTGTCGCAGGGGACTTTACAAACATACATGAAACGGACACAAAGAACACCCAGACTCAGAACAACAATTTGTGGATCACACAAAGTGTCGTCCCATGTGGGGTTTGAACCCACAACACTCGGCGCAGTAGGAAGCGGCGTGGCGACCGCTTAAACCACTACGCCATCTGTGAAGTCTTTTTAAAAAAAAAAAAAAAAAAAAAAAAAAAAAAATATTAAGCCAATATATAGTGTACAGCTATATTCAGTTTTAGTGCCAGAGTACATAAGTTTATATCACTGGCATACTCATTACTATATCCATATAATTACTATATAGAAAAATAATATCCCTAAATAGTAAGGGGTTTAGACATTGGTGTGAAAGATTTATATATAGCCCAATAATGTTACAGGAATGTATAGAAATTATAATCATTACACCTAAATATAGTACTTTACTAGCGACAAATATCTTATATAGCTACAAAGGTATGCATTTTATAAATGCACACTGACTTTTTGGTAATAATTACATTCAATAATAATGTAAGGAAACAATTTGCGACTGGTTAATCATTTTCGAATATATTTCAATGAAAATCTTATTTTTCTATCACTGCGATACCTTTGTTCAAGTCTCTTTTTATAATCAGACTTAAATATCAAATTAAAGCTTATTGACTTCACTGTTCATAATACATCCTTGCTAATATTGCACTTGATAAATGCAGTCTGAGCCTCTTAAATCGACATAAATATAAAAGTTTTGACTTTACCAACATCATGTTAACGCATTTCAGCATTGAAGCAACATAAATAATCAATTTTGATCCAAGTCAAATAAATGCTATACTACCTTATTTCATTCAGAAAACAATTTATTCAACATTGCCTTACCTTTGGTGATGTTTAATTTTTGGTGATAATCAACATTGGAATGTAAATAATTCTCACATTTTGTTTTTAGTAACCTTTCTAAGGAACTCAAAATAAATATATGGAAAAAAAAATTTGAGTGTAAAAAGTCAAAAAATACTTGACCATTTTTAGCTCGAGTATTTAATGCAACAGAACAGAACGATGCAATGGTCCGAATGGCAAAGGGATTATATGAATAAACGATGCGCGCGATCGCAACTCATTGCAAACGATTAGGCAATTCTTTCGAATTTATCACAAAATGTTGAACGTGCCGCGCCACGATTTGTATCTTAGGATATGGTAGTGTAATATTTACTTGACTTCTTATTACCTGGCGAGCTAGTGGCCACAGATTGTTCAACTTTTTTACGCTCAAATTTGAGTGGTTGCTTGAGATTGACATTATTGGACTCCGCTATTGCCGCCAGCCGCTCCAGTATACTACTTATTGTTAATCGCTCCTCAGGATTCACTGTTAGACAACCATCTGTGAACAAACATGTTAGCATCACACATTGTTATTGAAAATACAAAGACTGTTCCTGTATCTCCAGCAAATGACAAATATTCCGATTTTTTTATTCTCTGCAAATTACGAAATGCTTAATATTATCTTATGATGATGAACGTGTGGTGAAGTGTGGTGTGAATAAATATTCTAAATTATATTCTAAAAAAATTTTATGGACCTTGCAATTTGTTTTAACCTCGGTAAAGTAGTGCAGAATGCAAAGCGGATTCCTGTTTGAATAGTAAGTGTTCCAGGTGTCCCTACAGAAAATCATGGTCAGACAGCGTTATTTACTTAGTGCTTGTCTGCTGTGTGCACTCATGAGTTCTGAGGGAAGGTAATTGAGAATTTAAGACAAACAACCTCGTAAAATAACAACTTGTACTACAGGAACTGGTGACATCACTATTATAAGATTTAATAGGGCAATTATGATTTTCTTATGACTGTTCCATTATACAATAACTTGCTTGGTTTAATTGTTAAAAGGAAACAAATAATTTAAAGACTATTATAACTTATAAATAAATAAATAAGAATTTTACACATCTCACACATGGGAATATGACAACAGACAATGGTCTTATTTATAATATTACTTAAGATATTATTTATACATTTAACATGAAATACTTACTTATGATTTCATGAAAACATTTGTAGCGTTGATCATTTGGGTTGAGGTTGTAATTTCCATTAAGTATTGCAAGTTTAGCAGAATCTTCAAATGGATGTTGCATATAGCACAGAGTATAAAGTATGCACCCAAGAGCCCACACATCAACACTGTGATCTATTTTACGATTGTCCCATGTATCCAACATTTCTGGAGCTCGGTACATAGGTGTGGTGAATTGGGCCAGCTAGAATAACATTACATAACACATTATTCTCTACTGGGTGTTAACTGAGTGCTAAATAATAATAACTTTACAAATCACATAATACAGAAGACATTTATCCCATCAGTCCACATCAGAATATTTTGAATTATGTTTTTGATTTAAAAGTCACATTAAAATGCAACAGAAATTATGATAAAGTGAAATTGTAAATGTAAAGAATTTGCATGTACCAAACAAGCACACAGTGTTGTATCCTTGGTGTAATACTTACCGTTTCTTCTAACATATTTCGCTGATTTGCACTCCAAGATGGATTTGGTGCATAAGTGTCAGTAGTAGCAGAACCAAAATCACACAGTTTTATTGTACCTACAAAATAAAGTTCAAATACATTGATGAATCTTACGGACAGCACCTTTAATTTATTACACTTAGCCTTTTTCTTACCTTCATTAGATATTAAGAAATTTTCTAACTTAAGATCACGATGTGCGATTGGCGGCACTTGAGCATGCATATGCTGCACAGCTCGGCATGTTTGGTAGAATACCCTAAGTATAGTAGATAATGGGAAGGCCTGCCCTCTGTTTTGTAAGGCTTCCATCAAACTGCCTCCACTGCACAGGTCAGTCAACAACAAATACTCTCCCATTCCATGTGATGTCTTTGCCTTATCAATAAAAGATGCAGCTATATATTTGATAATGTTAGGGTGTCCTGATAATTTTTTTAGTAGGCTAATTTCTTGTATAATATTTTTGTTGGCCTGCTCATCAGCTGCCATGAGTCTTTTCAGAGCATATTCGGTGCCTGTAGATACATCTTGGGCAACAAATACAAAAGCAAAACCACCTGTAATGGAAATCACTTTAACAAAATCAACATTCTAAAATATATCTTCCTACTGAAGACACACTATCAGCTGCAAGTGCTATTAAATAGAAAGTAGTAAATAAAATTCACTTAAGCTATTGATCGCTCTTGATGGTCAAAGTAATTTTTTCAAAACTATCCAACTTATTTCCTATACTGTAGTATTGGAATATATACTACTTTCTAATTAGAATGTATGCCAACACACCGAGTTGAACATATTTTCTGTTAATAAAAAATAAGTTCTTGTAAAGACCACAAAAGTGTTGAACATAACATTTATTCTATAATTTACCTTAAAAAGGTAAATTTTCCAACATATTATTTATGTAATAGCATGTGTATACTGTGTACTCCAAGCCAAATAATAATTAAGTTGGTACTATATAATATGTCTCTTATCAGTCTTATAGGAAAATATAAAATATTGACAATCTGCCCATTTCCATATGAATTTATAAAACAATATAAAATAGTTTAACCAAACTAAGACATTTATGAAACTCAATATCATGCCTTTCAGAACAAACCCAAGAGACTATTCGCTTATGTTGATTTATAAGTGAATTTTCTCTTAATGTAAAATTATTTAAGATGTGCTTTGATATAAATAATCGAACAACTTTGACAACAAATTTGATATGGGCTTAATAATGCTCTTTATAGAAAATTAAACAATTATAAAGGGATAAAGTCTCATACATCCACATACATCATTTCATCGGACGTACCGCCCCCAATTCCTGTGACGTTAATACGTGGTTACAAACAGCCCACACAAATTGTATTGACTACTTATAAATCGAGAAATCACGTACTTTAACTGATACTGGATACTGTAATAAGATTATGGTATTGACTTACCTTCTGCGATCACCTTTTTGACTCGTAATTTCATATTTCCTATTTCAACAAACTGACCAACAAAATCATTATCACTACCACCGTTAGCGCCTCCTGAGCTAAAATAGCCCATGGCAGATTTAAAGACGCTCATTTTGATATCAAAATTTTGTGTTTTTTTAAGTAAATTAAAAGAGAAAACTGAATTTTCAGCACCCTTAGCCCAGATCCATTTTACAACAATGGCAGAAAAAAAGAATAGGCAGATTTGTTGGCAAATGGCAGGAATTGAACAATGTTGCCCACTTAGTTTCTACTAAGTTTTCCAAGACTGTATACTGACATTTTATGAAAATAGAAATCAAGGAAACTCGTTAACCTAATATACTTAACCCTGGATAAAAGTGAAAATGCAAAATAAAATGCAAGAAGAATAGCATAAATATTAATAATCCGTATCTTATTAGCCCATATTCTAAGGCATTTTTTCGTCTAATGAATGTCCAGGGTCAGCCAGATGAACGGATTAACCTTTCGATTTTAAGGATTTCTCGTCTAACAGTCGATTTGCACAGGAGTTTCTCAAGTTTTGAAAATTAGAGTTGGACGAGAACAGTTAATTGTATTTGAGCCTTTCTAGTGTTTTAATTTTCTTGATTTTAAATTTTTCTAGATAATTTCAAGACTGGTGACAATATAGTGTAACAATTTAGTTTAGGTTACTAGTATTTTAATCTTAACATGGGAACTATGTTTAAAGAAATCATGCCTCATAATTTGCATTCACAATTTTTGTCTTCTTTTGTTGTCAGTACTAAATCCTAAATGTTATTCATATAAAACTTTCTTCTTATTTTTATTAACTTTAAATTGTATGTATAAAATTTATTTTAGATGAATAGAATAAAATATATATTGAGTACAGAACATTTAATTTACATTTAATTCTACCATATTTAACACTGATTTTGTACCTACTTGTTTAATAGTATAGATCTTTAAGCATGATTTTTTTAGTGTACTAGTTCATAATGTTTCAGGACCTCAATTTCATCAGTTTATTATTCTTAATTTAATCAAATAGGCATTATTGTACTACTTAAATATGTAAACAAATCTCTAAGCTCATTTCAATCTCGGCTCAGCTCATGTCCCTGTGGCACAGTGAACACGAATACTCGATTTAGTATAAATACAACTTACTCAACAATTGAATTAAACAAGTATTTTAGTAAGTGAATGTTGTATCTCTATTTTCGGCTGAATCACTTTACTCTACTCTGTGTCTGTAGTCTGTACTAATATGTATTTAGTCTGTACGTCTTTAGGTACTTCACCAGCAGGGATGTTAGACGTACCAATTTCTTGGTATACGTACCAATTTTCAGGGTCTTGTACCATTTATCAACCAAAAATTGTAAAATGATACCAACTTTCTACATTGATCATACACTAACTTTTTTTATTGTATTTAACAAAATAAAAGTTCTTCTTGTACGTCTTAGTTACAATTTTGATTATTATAAAAAATTACTGTTCAAAATGCTATTTATTTTTGACCCATTGTTTAACTTACTTCAGATTAACTTTATCAATCCAGCGAATTATCTATGGATGACGGGTATGATTTTGTCAGAAAATAATGCAAAAACCGATCAATGTAACTCTCGGCATTCAAGCATTTCTTCGATAATTCAAAATTTTATTTAAAATAACACAAAATAAAAGACTTAATATTATTATTTTAACGTTAATGTGACTGTACCAACTTTATTTTCAAATACCAGCTTTACATCTGTACCAGCTTTGGCTCACCACAATCTAACATCCCTGTACACTAATGACAAACAGTCTGTGGGAAATAATCAATCAGATTCACAGAACATATATACCCCTAATCAGATTGGAATCAGTTTTGATGAAAGCAAACTGGGTACTGTTTCTTATAATTTGTTTATTTGATTTTGTTTCACATAAAACGCAATAAATAATCTTAATTCTTAGCACAGCCACATCTGACTGATGTTTGGTAACCCTGTGTGAAACTATCGAAGATGGGATTTGAAATCAAAAGATTTCAAGGTGACGTTGATGAAGAACTCATTTGCCCTATTTGTTCAGGCGTTTTGGAAGATCCTTTACAGGTTTGTAGATCCACGTATGTTACATTTCGATGGTTATTTGCTAAGCATTTACTAAACTTGAGACTGTCAAATTAGGCACCAGCTTGCGAGCATGCTTTTTGTCGTGCCTGCATAACGGAGTGGATAAGTCGCCAGCCAACGTGCCCAGTAGACCGGCAGGCGGTCACTTCGAGCCAGCTTAGACCCGTACCACGAATACTACGCAATTTATTATCGAGGTGAAAATGTTTGTAATGGATTCATTTATAACTTGTAGGTCACTTCACAAATTATAGTGTGGTTCATATTTAATTATTTACTCGAAATACTTGTTGTTTTGAAGTATTATGTAGTTACTATAGACAGTATTATACCTTTCTTTATTTAATGGCACCACATTATACTGCTGTATTTAAACAACAACAGTATTGCATGATGTTATCATAGAAAAAATTCATGTTACAGACTGTGTACTAAATGTGACAACTCACCACATGGATGTAATGCTGTATTGAAGTTGGACTCATTGGCCTCCCACTTAGTTGAATGTGAGTTTGTGTAATATATGTTTAAATCTCCTATATGTGTCAAGGTTTTGGCATATGAACTGACTTTATGTATGTAAATGTTTAAACATATTGACTCGAGTTTTAATGTTAATATTTTAATTTGATTGTAAGATTAATTTGAAATCTTAGTGGAGTAGGACATCCCAACCAAAGTAACTTTTGTAATTTTAGAATATTTTATTTTTAAAGAATCTTGAGATGTCTAAAATGTTTATCGTTAAATTTTAAATTTGATTAATGTTTTAGCTTTCTCATAGTTTTTTTAAGACAATGATCTAATGTCTTTTATTTCTCAACACATATGGAAACACTGGATATTATTTTAATTTTTTAAAAATTAAAAAATTAAAATAATTTAAATTCATTACATATCCAAATAAGTATCTGTTCTGTTATGAGAAGAGTCTTATAATCCAGCACTCTTGACTTAAATTTCCAAAAATAACTACTGAGTATTTAATGACTGAAGTGACAAATATTCTTATTGTTCAAATTTAATGTGGAATTGTGTCAACCTTATTTATTAAATATCTATCCCACTATGAGTGGCAGTGTGTGCATAACTTAAAAACATAAAGTAATGGTTTGGATTGGTTTTAATTACACTGATTACACAGTAATAATAATACACTTTAATCATTTATATACATTAATACACAAAAAAAAGTGTGTGTCCAATAGTAATAATTATTTAGTGTCATGAAAATATTTCTAATTAATTCTTGAAATGTTAAATTACTAAAATATTACTAACATACACATGTATATGTACTGACCTTAATACCCAAAAGAATATTTTAAGCATTGAGGTCAGTAAATGTTAATGTTTATGTATTACACACAGTGCACTTGTTTTAGATATAGTTTACTATTAGCAAAATACATCTAAAATAAGTGCACTTAGCACTATCTAACATATTACACATATTTAAGATGGCATGGATAGGCAACATGTGTGATGAACATAAGTTTCAGACGCTCCAAATTTAATAGGCATATAGTATAGTTAAGTTCCTATTTTAATTAAAAAAGATAGTGATTTAAATTGTTTCACCAAAAGACAAACTTACTTAAATACTTACTAGGCTGCTTCATTATTTTGTAAACCCAAACTATGAGCCCAAATTAAAAACACACATTATTTAACAGATTTTAAATTCTTTAGTAATCAGATTCATTTTGCTTATAGGTGAATATAATCCCAAAAGGCCAATGCCATGTGAAGCTGGCTGTGGACTGGTAATACCGAAGGATGAACTTGCAGAACATAATTGTGTCCGTGAGCTACGAGCACTAATAGCAACGCATCAAGGAAAACTAAATGATTATGAACAGGAGTTAGCAGAACAGAGACTGGTTATCAATGAACATAAAAGGGAACTGGCATTGTTAAAAGTATGTCTCATTCTAATTTATGCTTAAAAAGTGAGAATTGCCGATAGTAGCACACTTATTCCTATTATTGACTTTATTATTGTTTTAACTTTTTTTTCCTGCACTTAAATTTGATTTATGGTCCTAGTGCCTTATAATTCTTAAAGTTTATAGTAACGAATATTAATTATTACAAGAGCATTGTCTGAAGACATAAATTATAGGGCATAACAAACTACAGATTTTGGAATCCCATTTGTTGCATGAACTAATTAATTTCGGTGCAAACATGTGTGGTTCAGTTCTGCAATCTTTTAATACCAATTTATAAATGGCAAATTGGTCAAAGAATTTTATAATTGATGGTAGTTCAAATTTTGTAATCTTATTGAACTTTAGCTGATTTACAATAAAAAAGAAATCACTACCAAATATTTGTCAAAATTTAACAACAATCAGAAATCGTAATAATAAGACACTAGAAGTCCCATAGACGCTTGACCATCGCCGCTATGATGTGTAGACGAACACAACTTACAGAAATTCAGACCATTCGTAATTTAGTTGCGCGGAGCGTCGTATGTGAATTTATATTGTTAAAAATTTTTAACAAAAAGAAAACCGACTTCAAAAAACACTATTCCAAAACAAATTAATATGCACTAAAAAGTAAAAAAATAAATGCATATTCTTCTACAACTTAATAATCAACTTACTTTTCCTACTCATCAATATGTAGGTACAATCCATGTGTTTATCACGCAAGAAGGTAGGTAGGTATCTACCCACTTCAAAACTAACTTAACATATACCTGTGAATAACAAACAACAATCAAAATATTTATTTGAGTAATTATTTATAAGTAAAATGAAATGAATATAATGTAGTTACAATTACTATTATTTTTGGAGTCGGTGTCAGCTGACAGCATCATAAAGAAAATTATACCGGTCAATAAACTCATTTCGTGGAGTTGCTGATAATATTTGAGATAATTGTTTATATAATTAACTATGTTTTCAAACATAGGGTTAGAAATAAGGGTATTACACAGTTGATGACTGTGTAAATATTAAAAAGGAAACTGTTTATTACTTACTTTTAAGAAACATATTTCTACATTAATATAAATGTAATTGTTATGTGAAGGAACTATTTGTTCAGTAGTAGCTTATTATTTCAATTTCTTTATTTAATATTTAAAAAAAAATAGTATATCAATGGTTTTCATTGCTACTTGTAATCCATTTTATTTTAATGTATACAAGAAAAATATCGACACCTTCGAAATTTTTTCTCAATCCCTAGCATTGTTTACAGTGATTCTCATACATCGAAAGAGATTGTAGTGGTGCCACATAATACAATAGAATAAAATGTAATGTAATTTCTGGAGATTAAGGGTCATAATAGTGTGTGCCTTATACATTTCACCGTTGTTTTGCACGTGTGTGCGAGTCTTATATCTATTTGTTTGTATTTTGTGTATGTGTTAAGATGTGGCGACATCGGTTTTGGAAGTAATCGGGCGCTAATTTATTTCTAGTATCTTATTATTACGATTTCTGTGACAACAACCATAAAATCTATAAACCTTTTTAATGTTTAAAGTGATAAGAATGTGTTGTTTGTACAATTTTAAGACAATAAGTAGATAAGATCGCAAATAACATAACTGTGCCTAAAAAGCTTTTAGAAGCCTCTCTGCTAGTTATTTCCGTGTGTCGCTTTTCTAGACATTATTCTTTTATCTCGGTACTTTACAGTAACATAAGAACATAGTTATTTGCCGTTCCAGGAGTTCATGCGCGCAATGCGACTGTCCAACCCTACAATGCGCGCTCTGGCCGATCAGATGGAGCGTGAAGAGGTAGTGCGCTGGGCAAATTCGCTCACGCGGGCCCGCGTTACTCGCTGGGGTGGTATGATATCCACGCCCGATGATGTGTTACAGGTAGTATGTTGATGCTTTTGTTATTATTTTTCTAAATTTAAGTCTTTACTCGCTAGCAAACCGTAACACCACCCTAGTGGTATTTTATGTCTTTTTACTGAGTGTGCAGAGTAAACTAATACGCAAAGTAAGTCTACAATGAAATTCCCTTTGTAATGTGGCTGAATGTTTTAAGTATGAGCGCGACAGTAAATGTAACTATATCTGTGCTAAAATGGAGTCAACTTTGAGGTTTTACTGTCTCTCAATTTGTTTTGTTCTGAGTATATTCACGGGTCTTGGTAGGTAATGGTTCAAAGAGGGAAATTTAGAGTACGTGTAGGAACAAGAAACGACACTGGTGTCACCAGTAAATTCTTCGGAACAAAAACTTCACTACAGTTCGGTAAATAGTACCTACTTAGTATTCTTTGAATGAGCATATTAAGATTGTGTGTGATTTCATTAAGTTGAACGAAATCGGAATAAATTCGAATAGCTATAAATTGCACTTCGGAATCGATCGAGGTGGCTAGCAATGGGAGAGGCCTATGTTCAGCAGTGACCTACGATAGGATGATGATGTGATTTCATTCTTATGATTATTTGTTGACTGTCTCATTCATAAAATATATGTTTGTTTGTTTATACTTGGTTTATGTTAGTTCTATAACGTATTTAATTATGACTGTACGTAAACAATTACCCTGCTGAATAAGGTTTCCAATTTTCATACAAAAGAATGTCATATTTGAAAATAGTGATATTCATATAATTAAAAATGCGTATTTAGTCAGGCCAGGAAGCTAGTTAAATACCTAGCTGGTATTCGATTAGACGTAGGACCGCCGTTGTAGACGTTATTGTTTACCTACAACAATTTCCAGTCGTTTATCTTCCTTTGTTTACCGTCGCAAAAAAGTATACAAATAGCAACGGTAGTATTCGAGCGCGTAGACACACCAGTCTATAATAAACAGCTATGTGAATCATCCATTAGGACTGCCCTGATAACGCGTGGGGGCGTGGGTTAACTTGAGGGGTGGTGGGGTAGGTAACTTGAGTTTAAAAAAAATAGTTGTTCTAAGTTCGAATTTATTTGTTTATCGTTTCTTTAAGCTCTGTACGATTTAAAACGGAGTTACGGTTACCTTTAAAAGTCTTGAATCTGGGGAAATATTTACTAACAGAAAACGGCTAATGCCATTTACAATTTTCTGTTTTGAGTTCTATTCGTAAAGTAGGATAGTCCGTACTCTTTGGATATTGAGTATTGACAAGCCTCATCCAAGATCGATGGCTTTTAATACTTACAACACTAATGTGTTGTAAGTATTAAAAGCCATCGATCTGTAATATTTAAGTTGCCTTCTTTAAAACACGATAATGTTAATTAATTAATTTTTCAGGTTTTAAGTTTAATGTTATGTTATGATTAAAAATTAACATTTAGAAGAAGTGCTATATGATTATTGTATATGTACGTGAGTAGTCTGATATCGAGGGATAGTTGATGTAAAGGCTAATTCGAAAAGATAGTTAATACTGTAAATCTTGTAAATTATGCATGTCAAGTATAAAGCAAAAGAAAAAAGAGCGGGAATAAGTACTCTGACCAAATGAATCCATGTTAATTAATTTCGATCCCTGAGACCCCTCAACATTTAAACAAATTTTTCAATGATGAGATTTTTTTCTTAACACTAGTTTAACTTAAATAAGGTCAGACATCGTATGTAAGTAGGCCTCCTTTATACATATCATGTCTAACCTTCATTATGATGTGTTGTTTATTTGCCAAGATGGGTTTGACCTTATGAACGTTGTTCGGTAGTTTTATTTGTAAAGTTATGATAATGGTTTGAATTTTTCCAGATGATGATCAAAAGAAGTTTATCAGAATCTGGCTGCCCACCTCACATAATAGATGACCTTATGGAGAACTGCCATGAAAGACGGTGGCCGCCCGGTCTGTCCTCACTCGAAACACGACAAAATAATAGAAGGTAAACTGTACCTAATATAACGTTTCTTTAAGCTATATATATTGTGTGAAATCCTGATCCTTTTCACAAATTTAATGTAAATTAAATTCGTGAAAAGTCGAGTCAAATTGAAAATAAATAAATTATGCATGTTACTTTTAGCTACAACTTGTGCCAAATCAGAAAAAATTGGCAATAGGGTGCATTCACAACACAATGATGATAACTAAAATAATTAACTCTTAAAAAAGTATCACCGACTTGAAAGTGGCTCATGCCTCAAACATCATGATGAATTGTAATAAACTATGATAAATGAGATTGTAGGTTTACACAATTTTTACGTTTAAGATAGTTTGTGTCACAATTTTATGTCTACAATAATATCTTGGTTGAGTGCTGTTCTCCCAGCTAGCATACAGAATAGCCCGTGTTTGGGATAAGACAGTCCTACACCTTAAAAAAAAGGTGGAAATTAGTGTAGCACATGTTTTTAATTTCAGTTAAGCAATTGTGCAAGTTATTGCGGTTTTATGTGTGTGTGTCGGTTATGGTATGTTGTGTATGGTAATCTGAGTAGTGCATGTGTGTTTCTGTATGAGTAATGATAAATACTATACGCTACTGTACTAGGTCACTGTCGCTGCCCATGAACATGCAATACGAATCACACGCACGTTGTCCCCCATTAAGTGCCCCCCAGAATATGGATAAGAGAGGGGAGGGGGTTGGGTGTGGTGAAAATCGATGTAAGAAGTGCTTTACTGTGAGGCTGTGGTATCACTCCAATCAAGCTGGCCCATATGTTAAACGGCATAAACTACAGTTACCATTAAATTGTCCACAGATTATACGAAAAGTATGTATGTAAACGAGTGCCAGGCAAGCAAGCAGTTCTTGTGTTACATTGTGACAATACGCATGTCGACGAGCATATGATGGTGGAACCAGGCCTCGTCATGATATTTGCCCACGGGATCGAATAGCCTATAGAAAAGTTGTGGCCAGTGTTCACAGGGGACTGTATACATGCTCTCAAAGGAGTTGTAAATATTTTGTGATGTTGGCTGTGGAGGCACTAATGCTTCCATTATTGTTTACGAATGTGGCTGTGCATCGATAATCTGAAAATTTATAAAAACTGAGTCGTAGTTGCATTTAATGAATATTGATGATACTGTGGCCTGAAATTTAAAGATTTCCTTAAACATATAACTGACTTAGATAACTTATCTTGAGAGAGATCAAGTACATAGATACCCGACTCGTCCCAAGCGGGTTCGTTCTTAGCCATTCAAAAGTTAGTTTAAGGTTTATCTGAAATCTTTGCTCATATATCATTCCCAATAACGGTATCGCCATTTACTGAACCGAAAATCTATTCTCGTGCCTTCACTAATACACAGCTTTGTTGTAAATAATAAAATGTGACATGTGGAATGAAACAAAGTTTTATTCCTTTTAACTTATTTGTAAGTATCTATTATTTTATCCGTCCTTTAGTGCCTCCACATACAATATCGCGACAGTGTGTCGCAGTTGCCATACATGAAACGAAATATAAACGGCGCAGAAGAGCCGGACTGGATCTCTGAGCGGCTGCGACAATACATTCTACATAAAAATCATATGATAGAATACAAAAATTATTACCAGATTAGCAAATATGTAAAGTGTTCATTAATCATTTCTGTGTTGGCATAAATAAAATTTTTTTTTCAGGCAACAGTAAGACCAATAAAATTGTACAATAAATATAATAATATACAAATATTTGATAACAAATGTTGAAATATTTTAGATATAGAGTAATATGTGTCGTTCTAGTATAAATAACATTGGATAGTTAAACATTCCGATAGAAAAAAAACATAATCTGCTATTTTTATAAGTTGATTCAATGTTGCTAAATTCAAAATTTATGTATTAATTTTTAATTTTACTTTTTTTTAAGTTTTTTTTTAAAATAAAGTAGTGATTGATTGCTGTGTTATGTTTAACAAGTGTGTTATTGTTTATATTATCACATCCAATCTTTGAAAATTTCAATTTAATACTTTATTGCCTGTATTTTATTTCCATTACTTTGTAATTTTTAACCTTTATTGTTTATCTACATAGCTCAATCTCTAATTAAATATACTGATCTGTAATTAACTAATATAAAGTTATTTATAAAATTTATAAAAATAATTCCTCAAATTACAATTCTACTTGAAGTAAAAAATATTAAACTGATTATGGACTACCTACATAATATACACGGTGGAAAAGAAAATTTTGAGTTATTTTGTCAGTAACAGAAGCTATATATAACGTTAATTTAATAAAATATATATATTTTTTATCATCAAAGTCGATATTCATATCGATTACAGAGAAAAGGTGAGAACCAGTAGTAGGGCTTTTCAATCGCAAGTAGGTAAATACTACGAATAGAAATACTATACTCACGCGCAAGGTCAAGGACGTTTAAATTATTATTCGCCGGAGTGTAGTGCGTGCATACCTGGACAATGCGTTTAGTGATCGGTGGATAGGTCGAGGAGGGCCAGTGCCTTGGCCACGCAGAAGCCCGGACTTAACGCCCCTGGATTTTTTCTTATGGTCGGAAATAAAAATACTTGTTTATACACGGGAATATGAAAGCCGTGATAATTTACGCATTGCGATAGTGGACGCTTTTGATAAAGTGAAAAGTGATAGAGACACATTAAGAAAATTAAAAAACAATTGCATTAAACGTGGACGTTTGTGTATTGAATGCAGCGGACTCCATTTTGAGCAGTTGCTTCGATACAGAGAAGTGTAAATAGTGTAAATAGGTATGTAAGTTAATTATTCTGTAGATAGCGCCGATTTTTTAAATACGCTTGAAATATTTATACCTACAGTCCGTTGATAAATTGATTTGTTGTGAACAGAACAATCGTGGTTAATAATCGAAAAGAAGTTTAAATAAAATAGGTATTTCCGACGGTCCTAAGCCCGTGTAAAGTATGAAGGACAAATTGGAGTCTATCTACGTAAGTACTCGCTAGCTCGCGCCTATAGGTATACTTTTATCAGCTGCTGTTAGCGTCAACGGTGCGCAGCGGCCGCCGAAACGCCCACGGACGTGTTTCATTCATATAAGATACTGAATGAATGATCAGTCCATTACTACTTTCCAAGTCGATCAAGTAAAAATGAATATTAAAACTGAAACTTTTTTTTAGACAACATTACAATTGATTTAATCATTTTTATTGGTACTATAGATGATTCCATATTAAAATGTTTCGTTTCCAAAACATCTAAAAAATCACCGTGTATATGAGATATCCTCGATCGAAATATAAAATATATGTCGCACACGACGCACAACGCATGTCTCGGCTGAGAAATTGAACTTATTCGAGTTATTCGTCCCATGCTAGTCTAGCCCACATACAATAATCATAATTGCACCACCGCATCACGTACACGTACCCGCTGCTGCTTTTATAATAATTCATTCAATTATTGAGAAAAGAAAAGGGCGGTTCGATTCGCTGACTCTCCTCGTGAGTAGGATATACCTTGGCCGCAATTGAAGGTACGCACATTCAAGCAAGCGTTCAGATCCGCCCGAGCATTAGTTCGTCGACCTGTGCGCATGCGCTGGTTTTATTTTTACTCGAGTCAAATTTATATCGAGGCATGAGTAGTATGATCGGATCATTGACAAATGACCATAGTTTAAACTGCTGGGATTTAAAAATGTCATCAACTTGAAGAAACAATAAATATATTTTGATGTTTTGATATTACGTATTATTCATACTTTTCTTTTAAACAAACTCTTAAACACTTGTTTAAAAGAGAATTTTTTTTTTATTTAATTATATTTAATAAATTATAAAATTAAAATATATTCCAATTATATTTTAATTTTATAATTTATATTTTTTACAATTTAATTATATTTAAATTAGAATGATATACTTATATAATAGAGGTCAATGATTTGCTCGGATTGATATTTTCTTCAATATAATAGAGGTTAAAGTATGAAATTGCCGTTGTATAAGTAGTAATAGATACTTTGAATTGACATAAAACCTTCATGGTGTGAGATTTTCGTGTGAAACTTTTTTCACATGATACCTATGAGGTTCTTCTTTTTAAAACTGTGCAACATTCGATTTTCAACTTTACTTTTTTTTTATTCAGCTTAGTCGTGAAAGATGGATACTTCGAAAATCCTAGTCATTTTTGAATACGAGTCGGAACTCGTATTCAAAAATGCTGCGCAACGTTTCAGCCGTTTCTGCCGCCTTAGTTCCCGGAACTAAGGCGGCAGAAACGGCTCGCTATATCAACACTGCGTTTGGAGAGGATACTGCTAATGAACGCATCGTGCGTTTTTGGTTTAAGAGCTTTCGTAATAGAAAGTTGAACTTGAAAAACTAACCACGTGGAAGACCGCCCACACAAGTAAATAACGCTAAATTGCAGGACATGGTGGAAGTCGATCCGAGTCAAACTACCCAACAGTTAGCGGTATGGTTTAAAGTTACCCTACCTACAATATTGACTCATTTGTATCAAATCAATAAGATAAAAAAAATATGAAAAATGGGTGTCTCATAATTTGACTGATGTGCAAAAAGAAATGCGTGTTGAAACTTATGTAGCCTTGTTGAATCAGTACAGAAAGGAAGGAATATTGGATGGAATTGTGACATTTGACGAAAAATGGATTGTTAACGATAACCGTAAGCGAAAAATGCAATGGCTGACCCCAGATCAAACGCCGCAACAGTGCTTTAAAGCAAATACCAATAAAAAGGTAATGGCTGTTAATAAACGCTGTTTGGTGGTCTCTTCATAGTGTTATTCACTATAGCTTTCTCAGGTTTGGTCAGGCAATAACAGCAGATGTTTATTTATTCTTTATTGTACACACTGAACACACATATATATATATATATATAAGTAACACGGATTTGTCATGTACAAAGGCGAGCTTAACACAAAACTGAGTTTTCTTCTAGCAAAGCTTGAGCGAATAGAGGACAACAGAGAAACGTAAGGGCACAGTCATGCGTCCTTAGGAATCAACACAGAAAAGCATAAAAATTAAACAAATACCGACATTAATTAGGATAGTAAAATATATTATACTACTACTACTACTACTACTAAATATAATATATATATACACATATGCACTTATGTCAGTGAGGTGAGGTGTGGTAATAACGAGATGATGTGACCCTTACGTTTTAAGGCTTAGGACCTAAGCGACAGGTTATAAGAGTCACATAAATACAATAATATCCCTTTTGCATGGTGTAGCATAGTTAACTGCCATTCCTGAGTGAAAGATGGAAAACCTGTGTGGCGACTTCCACATACAGTAAAACAAAGAAACACTACAGCGCTATCTAACGAAGACACACCGAACTATAGAGCACCTACTAATAATACATACAACTTCCCAATCAAGGCCTTGTTAGGGCTCTTGGGCCCGGAACGATAATATGTCAGGGCCCTGTTGGACAGTAAAACAAAATGAATAGCAAAAATATCTTTCAGCTCATAATCAAATTTACACATGGTATTAATTAGATAAGTATGCTGATGGTTTGAATCGGTTACGAGTGTTTTTGGCTGGTATTCGTAAGAAATCAAATATGAACATATTCCTCGTACGTATAGGTTATCATATCCAACACTATCGGAAGCACAAATCAAAGTCCAGTTAGAAATAGCTAATCACGAACAGAAAAAGAAAGGGTCTAAAAATACAAGCCAAGTTTTAAACTAGGTACTACCGGGTTGTACGCTAATTCTTAATACTCAATCTCTGCCACATCTAGAATAATGATAAATACTGCTTAAAACGGAGTGTAGGTTTCACTGGCAAAAAGTTAATGTCAAAATCATGTCATCCAAGTGCTGCCAACCTTAATTTCTTTCCCTAAAATTTAAGGGAATAAAGGATAAAAAGGATAAAGGAAATAAAGACATATATTTTATTAAAGGATTTTTAAGGAAAGTAAAATCTTGAGTTGTTTTTTAAGCGGTCAGAAACCTTTAAGGGGGCTTCTATGGGGGGTTCCAAATGGACCTATTTAAATCGATTATGAGTTTACGAATGAGGACAAATCTAATAATAATCTAACTAATGATGGTCTTTCGTTCCTTTCATATGAAAAAAATATAATTTCATCCAAATCGATTGCAACCATTTTAAGGAGTTCATCGTTCAAGATTTGGCAGCACCTTCACATATTTCTGTTTGTCATCTTGCTTCAACACAAACTTATTGAAGTTATTGTGAATTAAAACCTTAAAAATGTCTGAAATGGAAGTGATAGAGAGTGGGAACGATTGTTCCAATGATTTACGTAAGTGCTTCGATATTACTGACCAGGGAAGATGGGTGAAATGCTTGTAACCTAGGAATATTCGACCGGCTGTTTTATTGCTGTTATTCAGGCTCGTTGTGTTTATGTAGTTCTCCTGGACCGCGTGTTCCTGCGTTTGGGGAGTACGGACAGTGATGAGCAGCTGGAGAGTTGCCTGACTCGATTCCTGCCGCCTGTAATCCTCAAACTGTCATCGCCTCATGAACAGGTATATTTTCTCATTTCTTATTAGAAAATACAAAAGTTGTTCAATTGCTTTTGTTAAAACAAAAACAAATAACTCGTATTGAAGTTCTTCGATGTTTTAGCGAACAACTAGCATCTTCTATTTTGATGCAACTAGGCTTTGTTAATGAGTATCATGTAATTAATCTGATAAATATATACCACAAAATGTGTGATAGATCAAAATAATTAATAAATCATTAAAAAGCCACTCTTCATATTGTCCACTTCAAATTAAAAAAGGTCTAAATCAATGTCTTCTCTCCTAGTTATATCTTTCAAACCATGATAGCAAGCCAAACAAATATGAATAGCAATGTCATACCTACATATATAAATATCAAAAAAAGAAAAATAAATAAAAAAAATCACTAAAAGTTATAATTTTAATAAAATAGACAGCATTCTCTAAAAGATATATACTGATACCCCAAAATACAGAAATAGAAAACCATCTAAAGTCAATGAAAGTCTTTTATTAAATAAAATATGCTGTATTTGTTTGAGTACAGAACTTTAACTTCAACCCATAAGGAGAGAACTGAAGACTCTGATAAATTTTCAATATAATAGGAGCCTTTTTTTTTTTAACATGTAAAAGTATTTTTGCCAATAAAGTCATAATCTATACTAATGTAATAAAGGTAAAGAGTTTGTTTATTTTGTTGAAGACCTAGATCTCAGTAACTGCTGGTTCAACCAGAAAAAAGGTTTAGTGTTGGATAGCCTATTTATTGAGGAAGGCCATAGGCTGTATAACACCATGCTACTGCCAACAGGAACTGAGCATCAATAAAAATTTAGCAAAATGGGCTAAAAAATTATTCCTTTTGAGATAAGCAGACAGTAAGTGGTGTGGTTCAGCTAGTTTAAAATATATCAAAAAAGTAGACCTATTTCTTTAGAGTTCCATGGATTCCGGGTCAATTACGTGATAGATGAGGGCACACACATACAACTTTAACAGTGCCTGTGCAACGCATCAGTGCTCACCTCCACTGTCTGCAGTGTTAACCCTCCACCTAACCATATTTGATACGAGCTTAGCAATGCTGCTTTGGATATTCGTTCTAGAAAAGAGCTTACTGAAGCTCGTGGCAATCCAAGGTCTTTAAGCAGGTTATAGAGTGATTTAGCTGGTATACCCCTTGCACCCACTTCCATGGCATACAACGCAAAAAAAAAACCATTTTGTTGAAGTTGTCCTTGAAGATTTTTTGTAGGCATGTTTTGTGAGTCTCCATAGATCCCTTAAAGAACCTTGAAGAACCTGGTTTCTAAAAGAACCTTGATTGATTCACCTGGCCAAATACCTTGACACATTAAGGACTGTTTTTGAGGCTAAATGCGGCAATCACCAATACTACTCAACTGATGATCATGAAATTTGTCAAACACATCACACATCACATCACATCAACAGCCTTTAATAGTCCACTGCTGGACATAGGCTTCTCCTTAGAAAGAAAGTTTTGGCCTACTATACCACGCTGGCCAGGCGGGTTGGTATAGGGTTTGTGTCAAGTTTTCCGTCTTTTTGCAGTTTTGTCAAACACAAATGGAGTGAATTTGAATACAGGGTAATTTTACTTAATTAAAAAAAAGACACGGTATCTTAAGAATATTTATATTTTCTCTATCGCTAAAAAATGCTAAAAAATAAATGCTAAAAGTCGTGATATTAAATTCTTTTCTGAACAGGTTCGCACCAAAGTTATGGAGTTACTAGTACATGTAAATAAAAGAGTTAAGTGCCGCACCTCTGTTCAGCTGCCAGTGCAGACTCTGCTGGAATTATATAAAGATACTACATCCAACAGTTTTATTATTGTAAGTGTGTGTTTGTATGTGTTTTTTATTTCAATTCAGACTATTATTAACCACTGAACGCGAAATGATAGCCAGTGTTCTTGAGAACTTGACTGTAAAAAAAATGTTTTTCAGAACTTCTCAGTAATCTACATTACGATGGGTTTTCCAAGACTGCCCCGTGATAAACAGATAAGCCTAGCCCCATCTTTGTTAGAAGCCATGGAGAACAAACCACAGGGCCAACAAGACAGGTAACATGTTAACCACTTTGATCAAATACAATGAATTTTGATACAATTGAAATTTGGACCAAAACCCTAAGAATCAGTTTCTTAATTAAAAAAATAAAAACAGCAAACTGTAATTTTTTTTGTAATTAATGTGTGATCTACACTTTGTTTCAGTATTCTCATGATAGTGATGCCTCTGCTTGGTGACATCAAGGAGACAGATTTGAATTTAAAGGGAAAACCTAAAGTTGCTAATTTAATTCTGAAGTTTGCAACTGATGTTCTTCTTCTACCATATAGGTACGAGAAAAATTATGTACTAGGAATTAATTCCTGGTGAACTGTAATCATTGATCATTCATACTGATTGATCATATTCCTTCCCTTATTCCTAACTTATTCCTAACTTATTTTATAAAATATTATGTAATATTGAATTATATTAAGGGCGCAATATATTTCCATTCTGCACTGTCGTTCGTAATTTCCTAACTGTCTTTTCATAAATCACTAATGTGTTAAACATACGTGTAGGATATACTTGTATACATACGAGTATATCCTACACTACGTAATGTATAATACTTACAACGGGCAATTTTTATTTAATACACAAACGTAAATATCTATAACGTACATTGAGATCATTCATTATCATTATTTTATTTTTTTTCATATATAGAGCACTGCCGAATCCAGGAGAGAGTGAATTTCAAGTCCCGCCCGGTATGAGTATGAGGACATACAAACGTATTGTAGATAAAAATCAGTTGAACCCAAACCAGCTTGAAGAGGTAAGCAGCTTGCTAAATTATAATATAGCTTAATATATGAATTAGTAGACTGCTACGAAACATTTAAATGAAATTTAAAATAAACAATTATTTAACTTTGAACATAAAGCTTGGAACAAATGGAATTGTAATCTTATCGTAATCGAGACACTATCAGTGTGTCTATTAGTAGTAAAAGCTTTACTGTACTATTTTCGCTCTATAATATACAGAACGCTCTAGAATAAACAAACAACAAAAAATATGTCACCAACTTCAACTCTCCTAAGTCATTATAAATTCTATAAAGTGTGTCGTCTTCATTCCTTAAGTTTTCCCCCTTAATGGTAGTATATTTTCTTCAAATCCTAATGAGACCAAAAGAGGATGATGTCCTTCCAAATAAAAAAAATGAGCTGTCACGGGACGAAAAATCATTTTGTAAAAATAATGAGTCTTAAATTACTTTGATAATTTAATTAGGCGATGCGTCGCTAGGCCAACAGCCGCATGTTGCCCATTAAAATATACAAATCGGTCCACAAATGATAAAGTTCTGAAGTAACAAACTAAAAGAAATGCAACCGAATTGAGAACCTTCTCGTTCTTTTGGAGTCGGTTAAAATACTAGACATTAAATGAAATAATTTAAATAAATAAATAATAGTTTACTAAAACCCACAAGTAGGCAATCAGCTTGTAAAGCAGACTAATTTTTACAAAAAAGTAGGTATATAAGTATTCTATCACTCAATCTAACTTTCATAGTACTACTCGACCAAGCGAACTAGACGACTGTCAAACGTGATGTCATTGACTTCGGGTACGGATAGCAGAAGAATCAGGATGATCGATAGGTGTTATTTTTTCCTATATAAAATACTAAGTACTAAGCGCGCGTATTAAGTTTACGCTTTGTTTATTATTAGTTCAACTAATGTTCCAAGTGAGCGCTAATCTTTATAAGCATTTGGTATAAAGAATTAGAGTGTTACATGAGAAAATATTTTTATAAACATTTAGTTATTTGCGTTATCTACAGATATTTAATTATTACGGGTCTGGGTACTTCTATGTATTATAATAAAGTATATATCTATAAATCAAAAGTATAAAAGTATGTTTATCCGTTGTCTAGTAACCATAGTATAAGGTCAGCTTAGTTTGGGATTAGATGGCGCAGTGTCAATCATCATTATCAGAGCGTAGTGTTGTATACAAAAATGTGAATGATATTTAATGATATATAAAAACGTCATTGGACAGGGTGAGGACTGCTGAAATTCAGGACTCTTAATATTTTTTCTCACTGTCCACTATGTATTGTTTTATTTTACACACAACAAAATACTAACAGTTTTAATAAGTAACAAAAATTTAAAGAATTAAAACAAACTTAACAACATACGAATGAAAGCTAAGAGAAAAAAAATCAAACACGTGCTAGCGGTAGCAACCTTGCGGACGGTACTAAGACGATCGCAGTACCTGCAGCGAGGTGCGGGCGGGGAGGCCGCATTCCACGCATTGGTGTAAAACGCTTGGTCGAGTAGTACAAACTCTGCTTAGTTTGAAACTAGATGGCGTTGTGTGTCAGATGTTTAAATTCGATTTCCACTTTACTTGTAAGATACACAAGTAAGAAATGTAATTTAATACAAATATTATTGCAAGTATTATTTCAAATTCGAGCAATGTCAGTTTGTTAAGCAATTTTTTTTGGCCCAAATTGAAAAGATCTAGGAGTTTGTATACCAGTCTGTATAAAAGAACTGGGTAGTTAACGAACATATACTAATAATGTATGTAATTCTAATTTGTATTAATACAATAATTTACTTTCAGATGAAGCTATCGATAGTGAACTTTATAAGTAAGGACATATTCAACATGAACGACATTCTTGTCACACTGATTGTGGCGGCTGCGGATTCGCGATTTAGTGTTGCCAACCATGCAAATAGCCCACTTATTAGGTGTAACAGGTAAATATTATACTTTATTTAGACAGACTGTACTAACATTTCTATTTCTGGCAATTTAAAGTAGTCGCTGTTTTGTCTCATATGTAAATGCAAATTGTGTAATGTGTTATAATTATCCTACATTTGATTTATGTCATAACACAACATCTTTTTTTTTACAGCTCAGTTGATTGGTCGCAACCTTCAGTGGTTGCACCATTATACTCTCTATACCTAGGCACTTGGGGTGGTATGAAGGTGCCGCCTGATGACCGCAAGGTAATTCTTGTTTCATGCCTTTTTATCTGTCTTTATTTCAGACTAGCTGACCCGCGCAACTTCGTCTGCGTCTCTCAATAGTAATAAATTTTCTCCGTTTTTGAAACATTATTCATTGGTGCTCCGCTCCTATTGCTCTTAGCGTGATGATATATAGCCTATAGCCTTCCTCGATAAATGGGCTATCTAACACTGAAATAATTTTTCAAATCGGACTAGTAGTTCCTGAGATTAGCGCGTTCAAACAAACAAACAAACTCTTCAGCTTTATAATATTAGTATAGATTGTGTTATATTACACAGGTATTCAAATTTACAGGTTGCGGCATGTACGAGACTGCGATTAAAATTGATACAGTATTTGAACAAAGCAACAGGTCCCGCAATAATGTTTCCTCATTGTGTACAGGTAATTCTTTAAATAGTTTATTAGAATCATAGTATTATTTTATAAATATTATTAGAAAGTGACTATTACTTCTTAATAATTTACACTAAGCGTCATTTTCAGGTGGTATTTTCATCTCTGTTTGACCCGAACACAAATTTACGGTTACGAAACCAAGCGTTGGTGTTTCTCCTTAACGTAATCAATGGGTAAGTTCCACTAATTTTTGGTGTATTTTAACTTTTATTATTAAATTTACTTTTAATGGCTCACGAATTGTCGAATCACTTAAAATACATTATAATATTGATGGCTTAAAAATGTAAGTGAATTTAAAAATAACAAGGTGATTACCTACTACACTACAAATATAATAATATATCATCATCATCATCAACAGCCTTTAACAGTCCACTGGTGGACATAGGCCATAGGACATAGGAACCGCACTGCAGAGAGAAGGAAAACTTGAAACAAACCCTATACCAACCCGTCTGGCCAGCGTGGTATAGTAGGCCAAAACCTCCTTTCTAAGGAGAGGCCTATGTCCAGCAGTGGACTATTAAAGGCTGTTGATGTGATGTGTGTGATGTATGTATGTGTTTAGAAATATTTCATTGTTTATCAGCAGTCTTTTTACCATAGCATAGGATCTGCCTAGTTTGGGATCACGTGTGAGATGTGTAAAGTTAATATTGTTTAGTAATTTTGTCTACCAAGAAAGGTAAACGTAAACTGGTCATTACTGCCTACAGAGGTGATCAAAACCAACTGAAAAAGGTGGCAACAGTGTTCCTACAAGGCTTACTGAAACTCATAAGGACCGAGGATCATGTGGAACTGCACCCTAAAGCCTATTCGTGTCTGGGTTCGTATCTTTATTGCATATACATATGTTTACAAACATGATGATTTGTTAAAATTATTTTAGAAAACGAAGGCTTAACAATTTTATAAAAAAATGAGCTTACAGTATTCTGAACACCAATTCTCTTAAAAAAGTTCGGTCACAATTCAGTTCCGATCAACTTTCGATCTCACAACTGTCTTAAAAGTTATTTTCGTCGTAAAATGCCTTCTGATGACTAGAAGTAGACCGATAAATACTTCATATGATGTGTCATTACATTACAACATTTGATCACTGTAGTTAAACCGCCGTAAGCTTGGCCCTCCTGATGGTTTGCGGGACGCGGGGCGGGTGATGCGCTCGGCTATACATGACACGATGTACTAACTCGATATCTTCAGATTTATTTGTTTGAGATTTAATCTACTCACGATGTAATAAAAATCTAATTTATTTCCATGTATTATAATGTATTATAGTGTATTGTAAGTTTTATGATTAATTGTAAAATTTAATACTGTAAAATAATTTTAATAAAATCACCTTATCTTCATCATGTGAATTATATTCAGATACAATTTAAAAATTAAGTAAAATAATAAATATTCTTTATTAGAACTTTAACAGTAGAACCTCTGTAAGCCGAACTTCTTTAAATCTTTTTGTGACACAGAGTCGGCAGGTTATCCATGTTGCAAAATAATACCGTGTGTAGCAGTTTTAAGAAAAATAACACGTACAGCCACGCTTTCACGTCAGTCACTGCCGGCGGACAGCGACGCACTACCTAATTGGTTGAATGCACCCCCGCCCCGCGTCCCCCAAACCATCAGGATAGCCAAGCTTACGGCGGTTTAACTATAACTACGCTTGGTGTCATTGGTCAGATGGAATACTGAGTGTTTCACTGGTTTCTTCTGGCACACTTCCACCCCTGTTCCCACGGATTGGGAGAGGAACGCTAGATGAAAAATATTACACGTCAATAACTTATTGCTTGAAAAGTTATTAAAGTTATTAAAATATTTAAACGAATAACTGACCTAAATTTACGTACTATCCTTACTTTTTATTACTATAATTAATGATTAAGCATACCTTTTTGCAATACTACTAGAAAAAAATAAAGAAAAAAGAATGCGAAGTGATAATGAACTCTCTACATTCCTACTTCTAGTTTTGACATTTCTTATCCTTATTAGCCTCAACTGTATTATGAAGCTAAAGTTAATAATAATTATTTTTAGTTTTGATTTGATGTTAGTATAAATTTGAACAAACGAATGGCAACTCTTAAGAACGCAATCCCAATAAAAAAATTAAAATGTTTATTTATTTTTAAAGGGCGTTTGGCAATGAAATGTCCAGATAGCATAAACAACCAATTTACGTTATTGGAAGAACTCGTGAAAAAAATTCCTGAAGCGACACCTGAGATGAAGACCGCACTCAGGGATGCCCTGCTTGAGATGTCTGCCGCTTACAAGATTAATAACGAAGGTAGACTATTTATATAAATTAACAATGATCTTTAGTCAGATTTGATTCAAAGTAATTATTGCTGGAAGTAATTTTTAAACTATTTTTATTATTAGTTGTGTGATTTCTTGACTGAGAATGAATAAACTCAGATATTTGTCTAAATAGACTATAGAGTTCTGTAGAAATATTCAATAGGTACTGTGTCATTAAATAATATGGAGCGATACATCTCTGAGTCCATGTATTTTAATAGTGCAAATGGTTCCAGTAACTTATGCGAACATTATTGTAAGATGTGGTAGCCTATTATCATTATTGGTAATGTTAATGCAAATATTTATGACAGTGAAAGCCGAAGTAGCTGCTTCTCAGGAGCCTGGAACATCAAAAGCTGATGAAGGAAAGAGAGCATTTGACGAGCCTCAAGCTTTGGCGTTATTCGCATTATTAGATCAGTAAGTATTGTTTTTAGTTCAGAATTTGCACCATTTACTTCTTTTTTTTAGGTGATCCTAACTAATATCATAAATTTGAAAGAGAGATTTTTTGTTACGCTTAATAACATATAGATCGTCATGACATGTTGGCCGAGATACCGAACAAGTCGAAGAGTATGCGCTCGTGGGAGAGCTATGGCTCTCTACTTCGGCATATTCGGGCCCACTCGACCGGCGTGATACCACGGTATCACAGAAAACCGGCATTTAGCAATTCTTTCCTTGCTTTTCACCGAATGGGTGAGGTTACCAGAGCCTAAACCCTATCTCCCCCTGTTTTTGACGAGAGGGCTCAAAGGGCGGCAGCGCTTCGACTCTTGAGTTGCAGGTGTCCATGCGTGGTGATAGTTGTTTATCATCAAGACGTCTGCTCGTTTGCCTACACAATAACAAAAATACTGTTAATGAGGGATACTTGAATTGTTTTGTGAAGGAACGGGTATCATGACGATTTCAAACAATTTTGATTTTTTTATAAAATAGAGAGTTTGAGTTTGTCCCTCCAACACAAAGGGAGGATCGCCGGGCCGCGGCCCAACGATTGATGTTGTTGTATATATGCTAATCGGTGTTAGAATTATTTATATCGCGATACAGGCTTAGCAGTTATTACGTAGTTCGGTGTTTCTTTGAAAATGGGAACTGTAGTGTGTTTTTGTTTCTCTGAATATGGAAGTTATAGTTTAATAAAATCGACTAGTAGAAAACGACTAGTTTCCAATATGACAGAAAATATTTTCATTAACTGATTATTATTTGTACAGTTACATGCACAATGGTGAATCTATGATCCGGTATATCGCTATGCGTTATTCGGCAGCTGTGTTTCCGCAAAATTATGTGCCATCTCGATATCTGTTATTGCTCGCCAGTGGAGATAGGTAAGAGCTACTTATTTATATAGCTTTCTAATATGTCGGTAAAACAAATTTGAGTATATGTTAGATATATTATTAGATTTAATTGATATTAGAATTGTTGTTATATTGAATAAAACCTATTACTATTTCTATTCACGAATTTTATACGTAACATCATTTCAGCCAAGACGATATCTCAACTGAAGCTTTAAAATGCCTTTACGGCACATCACGTCCGAGCGAAATAGAAGATATTGTGAACAACGTGTCCAAGAAAGAGGCAACAACAGTGAACATAGATGAGGATTCATCCAAAAGAGACAAGGACCAAAAGAGTGAAGAGTTAATAGTGCCAAAGTTTCGTGATGTAGTGATTTATGTGTGGGACCAAATGCAGAAAAGGAAGAAGGGGTCAAATGCTAAGCATCGGTTTGTGATTGGCAACAACGTATTGCAGTTTCATCCGGTCACATATCAGGAGGTAATAATGTCATATTTGATTAAAAAACTTTTCTTACATATTGTAAGTCTATATAATGATAAATGTAAGTTATTTTGTCTAAAAAGCGATAGAAGCCGCAATTGTATGTGTGTCATAAAACTTAAAACAATTGATGTAATGAGAGTGAAATTGATTTATTTACGATTATTTTATTCGCATTCCACAACTGTCAAACAGTATCTGTAAACAAACTAAACACTGATAAACATATAGAAGTTCGCACAGCCTCATATTCTTTTGTCTGTATAATAATAAAATACTATAATCTTTTTGTAAAACAAGCCAATCGCAACTTTATGACTGCAACGCTAAAACTCAAAGTAATATTACTTGTATTCTTGTTTAAAAAATGTTTTAGATGTGTCTAGGACCCTCGTCGCAATAATAATGTGCTCTCCTTACAGATCTTACGATACATGCGAATGTGTCTGAATAGGGATGCGAATCTTCAAGATTGTTCGAATCACCCCAACGCGACGTCACCACTCCTTACTGAATATTGTCGAAAGCACCTCGTGGGAACTACAATATTGGAGCAGTACCTTAATTTGATCACGACCTTGTTGAACTCTAATCCAGGTATTTATTAAAATAAAAACACAAAAGTGGGTCGCACCACAGTCAAAGACATATACAATGTATGTGTATGATATACCTATATAAGACACAATGAAACTTTAATACTCTAATAATCAATTGAATATACTAAGGTACGCTCACTAAGATATATAATTATTATTATTTTTTTTTTTTTTTTTATAAATATTATATATGTATACGAACCGCGATCCCGTAAAATTCATAATGACAACAATGCTTGAAGCGTGAGACAATGCTTGATAAATACCCATATCTTACTGTTGGTATTATTTCAATTTTTTTAATGAGCATCAATTGCAGCCATAAACTAATTCAATATTTACAGAACTGATGCCTTTAACGTGCTTTTTGGATATCGTGGGCTGCAACCCCCAAGAAATGGCTCCCAAATACACCAGTTTATTACCTTTCTTAAAAAATATATACATGACCAGTACCAAGGAAGACGTTCGAGATGTAGCTGGAATGATTTACGCTATCATCTTTGTTACGACCAGTGATAAAAATACGATAGAAAATGAAATAATGGCCGCGAAAGAACTTTATAAGAAACCGCATGAACTACGCAATTTGGAGACTCGTTGTGGAATATTAGCGGCGCTGTCTAACGTATGTGAACGGTGTCTTGCATACGCTAAAAGAGGAATGTTCGGTGGTCAACACTTCGATGCTAAGAATTGGGCGAGTTATAAAATAGTTGCAGCTGCAATAGGTAAGTATTTCCTTTAATATACATTTAATAAAAATCTTTGTATTTGAAGTAAATAATTTAAAAACAAGTAAGAGCTGACTTATGGATCGTTAAGATAATAAGACCATTTTAGTTCATTGATTCATTTTAAAAATACTGATAAGATGCTTAAGTCTTTAAAATGTGTAACTGATATAGCTGCTTAATTATTGCTTACTTAAATAAGTCATGTAAATATTATTAACAAGAAAAACATATGTTTTTCTTGTTAATAATATTTTAAAATCATTTACATGACTTATATAAGTCATGTAAATGATTTTACATGACTTATATAGTTACATGGCTTATATAAGTCATGTAAATGATTTTAAAATATTATTTTAACTACTTACAGTTTTTTATTCATGTGGTCTTCAGTTTTTTAGCGGCGATGTCGTCACACATGTAAAGTTAGTATATTTACTTTAGTAAGTACCATGCCTGATATCTGCTATTTATTTCAGCAAACTTTCTCGAAAGTGCTGACTCAATGATGATCAGCACTGCCGTAACCGCCATTGCGTTGCTCGTTCGATCCAACGGACTACCTGTACTTGATGCGACTGAGGACCAACGGAAATTATTATCATCCGAGGACCCCTTCGATCTCAATATCAATCATCCATGGACTGAGGACAACGAAGTCACGAAGTATATCATCGTCCAAGATCTGTTTAGGATAGTGGCAAATGCGAAGTTGCCGTCGAAAGTAAGAGAGAGGGCGCTTTTATCGATAGGACTTATGTGCTGCGGTGAACAGCTTCAGTTCTCTAAAGAAATCATTAAGGCATTCTTGCGGATGGCAAAAGATGTAAGTTATATGATTTATTTATATTATTCAGTAGAAGTAGGAGCTTTTTAAATTATCACAATTGTTTTTATCAATTTTTTTATGATATAGGGGGCACACTGGTCATCATCCTTTAATAGTCCACTGCTGGACATAGGCCTCTCCTTAGTAAAGAGGTTTTGGCCACGCTGGCCAGACGGATTTTTCTAGGGTTTGTTTCAAGTTTTCCTTCTCTTTGCAGTGCTGTTGTCCTGCGTAGTTTGCTCCCTTAGTCGGCTCTTACGACATCCATGGGATGAATTGGGTTGGTGACACTCTGTATTCTTAATCCGTCACCACAGTGGTCAATTATGGCGTTACCACCCTGCAAATGTCCCCGAATTAGAGAGGAGAAAGAAGGTTGGTCCCTGTTAGGGATGGAATAAAATCACAATACTTAATTATTATTATTACGCTAGCGCAAGACACAAAAACAATAAAAAAGGTCGTAATCTTTGATAAAAAGAATTTTGATCGACTTTAATGCCATTTAACTTTGTCTCTGAGGAGATCACAATCACGTGTGAAATCGCTGTGATTGAAAGAAATCATTTTATCAAATGAATATGATGTAAAAGTAGCAATAATTTCCATGTCTAGTCCCCGTTAATCTACTTAGCGAAATGCAACGAAAGAAACGAGACTTAACAGCGGTTTTCTGTGAAGCCGTAGTATTGTTACGGTCGAGCAGGACGATATGAGCCGAAGAAGTCTCACGAACGATATTTTACTTATCCATATAACACAAGCACAGCTATTTCTTGCTAAGAACATTTTTAAATATAAATTACTTGTATATATATATAATTTGTTATAATATAATTAACTTTTTTTAGACGAAGGAATTCGAAATTCATCTACAAATAGGCGAGTCCTTGGTGTTGTGCGTTGAAGGCGTTAACTCCAATGAAAACAGAGACTTTTGGACGGAATTACCAAAAGAGGTACTTTTAAATTTTTTATCCACAGTTACTCAATTCTAACCACGACGTAAAAAACATACATTACATAACTACTTAACAGGTAGGTATATTACTATAAAAACCTACCGAAAACTCTGTTAAATGTAAATGAAAGTACTATTGTCTCAAAGTTCAATAACATGAGTAAAGTTATTATATTTCTTTAACAAAAATCGAATAAATATAATCTGTTATAGCGTGTTGCTTTAAAACGCTCATTTTAGATTACAGCTGTTCATTTTATCTCTTAGTGTTTATTATTCTATTGGAATATTGTTTGTATAAAACGTCTATACCGGTTTTTATGAAGCTTGATAGTCTGATCCATTCATATAAAAAAGATATTTGGAGCTAAGACAATTATATAAGTATGAATTAGTTTAAACTATGCATAATTACTATTATATGTTGTATTTTATCGATTGCTTGTTATGCAGGGTGCAGACAAGATAAAAGACCATGATGCATTGAAACAGAATGATGAGATACTGGAGTGGCTCCTGCAGCAGTTGTTCACATTATCTAGGCATCCACATCCACACTCCAGACAGGTATTATTTTTAAATTCATCTTATGAATATCAACGTAGAAAAAAAAATACAGGCGAATTGAGAAAATTATCTTTTGTTTTTGAAGTCGGTAAAAAATGAGGCGTTCCTACATATTATATTTAAAGAAAACTAGCGAGTGTTATTGTACTTGCATATGATGTGTTATATTCAACATCTCAACCGCCATGTGGCGTCCAACTCAACCAACGCGCCCATTGGTCAAAATAGAGCGTACTTCCCCGGCTTCCTGTTACACACTTCCGTCCCTTTTCACGAAATCACTATCACAGATTGCAGGGACTAAACGAGGGATTTCGATGCTGGCTTATATCAACCTTCAACATACATTTTGAAGATAGGTAGGTTAATGACAATCTGTTCTTACGATTGCCACTTAGAACAAATATTTCTGTTTGGGTGTTTCTAAATAAATATCACATATGGGCCAAACGTACAGATGGGTCACTTGATGGCAAGTGACTTCTGCGGCGCTATCATTTGTTGGGCCACTCACTCGGTAAATATTCATCGCATCTTCCGGTCGAGCCGGCCTGTTTGTGCTAAAGCATGACTCTCCCACGAATGGTGTCTTTGCTCTAGAATCCACATACAAGCTTCGTGTAGTTTTGTCTGGATCGCGATGTGAATTGTCCCAGGATATTGTAGAATAACAAAATGTAACAAGTATAATTTTAATTTTGTGCAGGCTACAAGCATTTGGTTTTTAGCATTGCTAAAAAATTGTCCTGAACGACAACCTATTAAGAAGAAGTTACAAGAATTGCAGAACGTTTTTATGGACTTATTGTCTGAAAATAGCGGTAAGTGTTAAATTAAGTGCTCCTTTATTTTCTCGTGTTTTTAAATTGGGATTTAAGAAAACAACTATTTACTTACTTGATAAATATTTTACAGGAACTTAGTGTTCCTTTGACAAGTTTCACAACTTAATTACGGAATAAATAAATATGTTGTTTAATATGAAATAATGTTCGTTAGGTGCTTATGTTTTTACATAGATTAAGTGTAACTAGACGTGTCTCACTTTACTGTGTACTTACTAAGTAGTGGATTAATTCATATGTTTTAATTGCTTTTACGTTTTTTTTTCTGAATCTTTAGGCAGTATTTAATATGAATTTTTTAGTTTGTTGTCTCACTTTACTGTGTACTTACGAAGTAGTGGATTAATTCATATGTTTTAATTGCTTTTACGTTTTTTTTTCTGAATCTTTAGGCAGTATTTAATATGAATTAGTTAGTTTTTTTAATTTAGTTACTACCTGGTGTTTAAATAACATATAACATTATTTTAAATACAGATATAGTGCAAGATGTGGCTAGCAAAGGTCTAAGCTTGGTGTATCAGAACTCCGAGGAGAGCCAGAAGCAAGAGCTAGTGGCACAGATCATAGACCAGCTAACGAGCGGCAAGCGTTCCGTAGCACAAGTCACTGAGGATACCAAGATTTTCGAAGAAGGACAACTTGGGAAGGCGCCTACAGGGTACGTTGTTATTTTCACATAAATGAAGTATAAGCCTTATTATGAACAATCTGTTTTAGAAGTCTCTATGTCCTTGGCAAGGTGTGTTCAAAATTTAATGATGATCGTACGGCAACGCATAAAATACAAACATAGATTGTTTTATTGAGTTAAAAGGAGTATTGGTTCACCATTTTCTTTTATGCAACTGTGTCTCAAATGTTATTGTGTGCAAAAATATGTGGGTAATCCCCAGGTCGATTCCGACAAAACCCGTTTTTCACTGATACCATAGTGCAGGAGTTGACTTTGAATTATTTTTTTCAGTGGAAATCTTTCAACTTACAAGGAATTATGTTCACTTGCGTCCGATCTCAATCAACCAGATTTGTTGTACAAGTTCATGCATCTCGCTCATCACAACTCTGTGTGGAATTCTAAAAAGGGTTAGTAAAAACGAGGATTAAAGAGTTTGAACAGAAAAGATGATTTACATATTTCAAAGTATTTATATAGTGTATTAGACTGTCACCACAGAGAGTGGTATACGTTATTATTGTAAATTTTTTTTAAAGAAGTAAGTCTCAATCATAAAAACAGCCATTTAAATGTAACAATAAAACTGATTTTCATAAATTATATCGTATAGGTGCTGCCTTCGGTTTTCACTCAATAGCATTACAAGCAGGTGCCCAGTTGTCCGAGCATCTACCCAAGATAGTGCCGCGACTGTATCGCTACAGGTTCGACCCCACGCCGCGCATTCAAAACTCCATGCAGAGCATCTGGCACGCCATAGTGCCTAATACACAAGCCACAGTAAGACTATTAGATTAAGCCACAATAAGGGAACGAACCCATACCATGTGACCCTTCAAAATACCACGTGTGGTCACTGGGGCGAGGGGAGGTCTTAGGTTTTCGTCATGTAATCAATATCATTTACAACTCTGTGTAAAAAGTATCGGGAATATGTCAATAAAAAGACCCGCGTAAAAGAGGTCGTTCTAATTTTTTTACTGCATGTTGGTAGCACTGTACTGATTAAGCGCGCAAAATTTGAGCGGGATCTGTCATTTAATTTGTTTTAAACTACACTTTTTGTTGGTGATAGTTTTGAGTCCTCGGCGATTTTTACAATGGAAAATATTGTTGAACAAAGAGTGCCTTAAATTTTGTGTTTCGAATGATATTTCTTGTGGTGAATCACTAAAAATGTTGCGAAATACCTACGGCGAATTGTGTATATCGAAAACAAGGGCTTATGAATGGTATAAGGCTTTTAAAGAAGGCCGAGAAGTAGCAGTAGACTTGCCTCGTTCTGGTAGACCTTCAACCGCTACGACCAAAGAAAACATCGACAGAATCAAGAAGCTAGTGCTCGAAAATCGACGTATGAGTCTGAGAGAGTTGGCTAGTGAGGTGAACATATCTTTTAAGTCCGGTCACAACATTCTCATTGACAATTTAGGCATGAAACGCATCGCCGCTCGACTAGTTCCAAAAGAGCTTAATTTTGTTCAAAAAGCGCAGCGAAAGCATCTCGCTGAAGACATGGTTTCCCGAGCTTCTACGGATCCGACCTTTATGAAACGTATAATAACTGGCGACGAGACATGGGTTTATGAGTACGACATGCAAACAAGCCAACAGTCTTCAGAATGGCGTCTCGAAAACGAGCCGAAACCAAAAAAAACCGCGGCAAAGTCGCTCCAAAATCAAGGTGATGCTGACAGTTTTTTTTGACTACCGTGGTTTGGTTCACTCCGAATTCCTTCCAGAGGGAGAAACAGTGAATAAAGAATATTATTTAGGCGTCATGAAGCGTTTGCGTGAGAGTATCCGCCGAAAACGTCCAGATTTGTGGCAACACAACTCATGGATGCTGCACCATGATAATGCACCATCACACACAGCCATTATAGTGAAAGAGTTTGTTCAAGTAGCATTAAGTTAGATATATTATTTGTTGTATTCAGTCAGGGGTTACTGACTAGTCCTTGAGGAGAACGGCGCCGACACAGTGGTGGATTGCTGCTGATGGCGCTAGGGTGCTGGTGAAGGCACCCGGTATTGAAGATCAAGCTGAGGTCAACGGTGGGCGAAAGTGGAATTCAGAACACGGAACCCTGCGACCACATAGTGAGAGAGGCGCAACCGGCAGTGGGAGCGGATCCACAAATACAAGGGAATTTAAACTTAGTGCAGACAAGTGTGAGTGCATTGGACAACTGTGAGTACTTTTATTTTATTTTATTATGAAAAGTTCACAAGTGAGTGGAAATTTAGAAGTACTTGGACTTAGAAAAATCAGAAGTATTTTGGACTTAGAATAATTTAGAGTTTAGTTTAGACTTAGAATAGTTTTAAGAAAAGTGCTCATACGGGGAACCTATGCCCGATTTTTTGTCAAAGTTTATGAAGTTCAAACACTTAGAAAAATTTCTTTTTTGTAAGCTTAGAATGTTTTGTAGCCTTTTGGACTTAAAATAAATTCAGTAGATTAGCACTTTGTATAGTTTAAGTGTGTTTACGGGGAATCCATACCCAAATTTAAAGCTTTTTAATTTAACACATAGAATAATTTGAGATAGGTAACGGGATTTAGAATATTTTTTGTTAAGTAGTTTGTAGTGTAGTGTGTACCTGTACACATACTTAGAACAATGTTGTAATTAGTTATGTTATGTTAATCGATGTAGTGCAAACTCTTAAAAGAATTTTTAGGGTAATAAATTTAGTAAACCAAGTTAAATATTTTATATCGTTTGTAACTTATATATACTTGTTGTTTGGTCTAATATATTGTGTTGTTGTGGTTTAGTACATAATATTTTATATACAGAATGGAGTCATTATTAAATTTGCAAACTGATACAAGAAATAGAATTGAGAAAGCTAAAACTAATTTTAAAAAATCCCCAAAGGATAGAATTACACAAGGTTATATAGAAACCAGATTAGAGGCATTAGAAGAGCATTGGACTAAGTTTAATAATACACATAGAGAAATAGTTAAACAAGCGACAGCACAGGATATGAAAGGTATATATTTTACGTCAGAGATTTACGAAAAAACAGAAGAAATATATATTATTTACAAGTCTGAATTAAAGGATATTAAATCAAGTATAGTAGTAGTATACGATACCCAGCAGCAGGTATCTCCCATTGTGAGTACATCACGTAATGTTAAATTACCAAAGATTAATCTTCCAACTTTTTCGGGCAAATACGCAGAGTGGATAAGTTTCAGGGATCTTTTTACATCACTCGTACATAATAACAAGGATATAGATAAAGTACAAAAATTGCACTATTTAAAGGCATCTTTAAGGGAGGAAGCTGAGCAATTACTACGTCAAATACCTATTACCGCATCTAATTATGATATTTGTTGGGCTCAGTTAGAGAACAGGTACAATAACAAGCGTCATTTGGCTAATAGTATTTTACAACGTCTGTTCAATGAAAAACGTATTAGTGCAGAGTCATCGGTAGCTCTCAAACATTTATTAGATACTACAACAGATTGTATGAATGCCTTAGCTAATTTAGGAATTGATGTGACTACCTGGGATATTATTGTTATTCATATAGTGTCATCCAAGCTCGATCAGGAAACTCGCAAGCAGTGGGAGTTGAAAGCTGCAACTGATAGTTCGACCGAATTACCTACTTTAAATCAGTTCAAATCGTTTATAGAAAGTCGTTTTAGGGCACTAGAGTTTATGGAGCCTCAAAGGGATCTAGGACAGTCACGTGGCACCAATTTATCAAGGCAAAGGGTTATGCTAGCGACCGATGAAACAGACTTTGACGCTAAATTATGTTGTGAGTACTGTACAGAACGACACAAAATGTGTTTTTGCAAAAAGTTTAGAGAGTTAGATGTAGATCAACGAAGGCAATTTGTGTTTGAGAATAGAATATGTTTTAATTGTCTAGGGGGTAACCATGTCGTAAGTCAATGTAACATTCAAAGGTCATGTCGTGTGTGTGACAAGAGACACCACACTCTTTTGCATAAATATGTTCCAACTAACATGTCAAAGGATCATTCAGTTAACCGGGGTAACCCTTCTGATGAAGTTAAGTCTTTGGACAAGGATATGTCCTTAGTATCTTGTCTATCTACAAAAAATGCACAGCTTCGTCAAGTTCTACTAGCAACCGCGCTAGTAAAAGCTCAGACAGTGTCGCACAATTTTCAGGTAGTTAGAGCGTTATTGGATCAAGGCTCTCAAGCTTCTTTTGTAACAGAAGCTGTAGTTCAGTTGTTGCGATTGAAGAGGCGTCCAATCCGAAGTATCAGCTCTGGTATCGGCAATGAAAAAACGTCTGTTGCCAATTATATGGTGACGGTAGTACTACAGTCTTTGGCCGATTCTAGTTTTGAGATACAGGTTGAAGCTTATGTTTTAAAGAACATAACCTCGTATCTTCCAGAGAGACAGTTCGAACCACTGAAATGGGTAGATCTGGAAACATTAGTATTGGCAGATCCACAGTACAATAAGCCCAACAAAATTGATATTTTGTTGGGTGCTGAAGTGTTCAGCAAAGTATTAAAGGACGGGGTAAAAAGGTCTCCAACTGGATCTATCGTAGCTCAGTGTACCAGCTTAGGTTGGATCCTTTCTGGTACAGTTTGTCGAAAGGGTGAGGTAAATAATACAAATAAGATCACGGCAATGCATGTACAAATGGGTGAATCCGATGTCTTGAAAAGGTTCTGGGAAATCGAAGATAATTTGCCAAATGAGAGAAAGATATTGACCGAAGAGGAACAAAAATGTGAAGAGTTGTTTGCATCTACAACCAAAAGGGCAGCAGATGGTCGTTACATTGTAAAACTACCATTTAAAGAACAAAATCCCTCGTGTGTAGGTGGTAATAGTAGAGAAATAGCAGTAAAAAGATTTAAGTTACTAGAAAGGAAATTTAGTAAAGACAAAGATTTTAAGGAAAAATATACACAGGTTATTAAGGGATATTTACAATTAGAACACATGAAGAAAATAGAAAGGAATGACAATAATTTTGACAAAGCTGTGTACTTACCGCATCATGCAGTTGTTAGAAATGATAAGTCTACAACGAAGGTACGTGTAGTGTTTGATGCTTCCTGTAAGAACGAGAATGATGTGTCGCTAAACGATACGCTTATGATAGGTCCTGCATTACAGTCAGATCTTCGTCATATTGTTCTTCGTTGGAGAACGAATAGCATAGCACTCGTAGCGGATATTGTCAAAATGTATCGTCAGGTCCGAATCGCCAAGGAAGACTTTATATATCAAAGAATCGTATGGCGAGATGATCCTAAGGAAGAGATACAAGATTACTGTCTGACAACAGTAACCTTTGGTACCGCATCGGCTCCTTACTTGGCGGTAAAGGCGTTAAATCAGGTTGCAGTGGATAATGGTGAACAGTTTCCAGTAGCAGCCGAAAGGGTGTCTAGTTGTTTTTATATGGATGACATGATGACAGGCTGTTCAACAGTAGAAGAAGGAAAAAAATTGTGTAGTGAAATGAAAGATTTATTGGGAAAAGCTGGATTTGAGTTACAAAAATGGAACAGCAATAATATCAACATTCTAAAGGAATTAAGGTGCTACGAGGATAGTGATAATAAAAATACAAAACAGGATAACAAACAGGAAGAAATGGAAATATTCGAAAGTACGAAAATATTGGGACTCACCTGGTGTCGTTGTGAAGATGAGTTCAGATACACAGTACAGCTAGCTCCAATAACTGGTAAAGTATCCAAACGGAATATTATATCGGATATTGCGCGTTTATTTGACCCATTAGGTTGGTTAGCTCCGAGTATAATATTAGCAAAGGTCTTAATTCAAAAACTTTGGTTGGCAGGAGTTAATTGGGATGAAGATGTGCCAAACCTTTTAAGGACAGAATGGCAGATCTACCGTCAAGAATTGTTAGAGTTATCTAAGGTAAGGGTTCCTAGATGGCTAGGAATTACCGGCAATGATAACTGCGTGGAGTTACATGGATTCAGCGATGCCTCGAAGACAGCATACTCAGCAGTTGTCTATACTAGAACGGTTAATTGCGAAAACAGAGTACGTGTTTCCTTGTTAGTAGCGAAGACAAAGGTCGCACCTATCAAGCAGATCAGTATTCCTCGTCTCGAGCTTTGTGGTGCAGTCTTACTAGCTCGATTGTTAGCAGACGTGTCTAAAGCCATGAATATTCCGAAAAGCAAGGTCCATGCCTGGACAGACTCGACGGTGGTGCTTTCTTGGTTGAACAGTCATCCGAGTAGGTGGAAAACCTTTGTGGCGAACCGAGTGTCGGAAATTTTAACCACTCTCGATTCGGATCATCTAAAGACAACCCTGCAGATTGCGCATCGCGAGGAGTTCAACCACGTTTGCTGTCAGAGACACAGCTTTGGTTTGGTGGACCACATTTCCTGCATAATCTGAACATAGTTTATACCCGACAAATTAATGAGAATATTGTTTTAGAAGAGTCTGTGAAATCTCACGTCGTCATAGCAGAGGAAGGGTTCCCCTGGACAAAGTTCAGTTCTATATGGCGGTTACTGAGAGTTTTAGCATTGTGCAGAAGATTGATTAAATTTAAGCATAGAAGCGATAGACCGAATTATTTACAGAAAATAGAATTAGAAGAGTCTTTAAAGTGCTGTATAAGACATTTTCAGCAGGTAGAATTTCAAATTGAGTACATGCAAATAAAGAATAAGAAGCAAATTAAATTCAAGGGTAGTAAAATCAGATCCTTATGCCCATATTTAGATAGTGATGACATACTTCGTGTAGGTGGCAGATTAAATGAAGCTCCTCTGTCAGATCAAATGAAACACCCTATAATACTACCTCATAACACGCATCTCACAAAGTTATTAGTTGCAGATGCTCATGAGAGAACTTTACATGGGGGTCCTCAACTTATGATTCAATATTTAAGGTCAGCCTATTGGATTGTCGGAGTGAAGAGCATGGTCAGACAACATGTGCGCAAATGTGTGACGTGTGTCAAACACAACGCTAAGGCTAATAACCAATTAATGGGCTCACTGCCTCCGGCGCGATGTACTCCAACAAGAGCATTTCTTCACAGTGGGTTGGATTATGCTGGTCCAATTCATCTAAGGACGACCAAGGGTCGAGGGCATAAGGCATATAAGGGGTATATTTGTGTATTTGTTTGTATGGCTACTAGAGCCGTACATTTGGAGGTCGTAAGTGATTTAAGTACTGAAGGTTTCCTGGCGGCCTTTCGACGTTTTGTAGCCCGGCGAGGACATTGTGCTCAGATATGGAGCGACAACGGAACAAATTTTGTGGGAGCTGCTAGAGAACTAAAGGAACTTATTACTACACAACGGAATATTGCAGAATTTATAGAAAGTAAGGGCACAGTATGGCACTTCATACCGCCTCATGCTCTGAATTTCGGTGGATTATGGGAGGCGGCTGTGAAGTCCACTAAATTTCATTTAAAGAGGGTTATAGGAGAATCAACTCTGACTTATGAAGAGATGAGTACATTGCTTAGTCAGATCGAAGCTTGTCTTAATTCTAGACCCATGACGGTTATTAATGGTGAAGGAGTCGATGAACCAATGCCGTTGACACCGGGTCATTTTCTAGTAGGTGAACCTTTAGTGACAGTCCCTGAACCCAACTATGAGACGTTATACATTAGTCCTCTTAAACGTTGGCAATTAATTCAGAAAATGTTGCAGAACTTTTGGCGGCGTTGGTCTGCAGAATATCTTACCACGCTGTTTCATAGATAATAAATGTACTTATCTTGAATGGTCTTTTCAAAATCCTGAACCAGAGATCGGTGATGTGGTTCTGGTCAAGGAAACAGATTTACCGCCTGCTCGTTGGTTACTTGGTCGAATAATTAAAAAACATCCAGGGCCTGACAATATAACCCGCGTAGTCACCTTGAAGGTTAAGGGGAATAATTTGAAACGACCTACATCAAAGTTATGTGTTTTGCCGGTCAATGAATAAGTCCCGTTATATACTTGTTGTCTAGTTCTTGTGACTTGCTCACAAACATAATTAGGATAAATAATTTAAGCTTATAGCCCGTGCTATATACGAACAATAGTTCTCGAGTAAGTTCATTTCATTTGTAAGTTCATTGAAGATATAATAAGTTTAGTTTTTGAGTTTATTGATGTGTATAGATGTGTATAGTGCATAAGTTCATATTGTAATGTTCAAACCTCATCAATGACATTATTGTTTAGTTCATTTTCGATCAATTGTTAAGGTTAAGGACATACTCTTCGATAATGTCCTTGGTGGGCGGTATGTTCAAGTAGCATTAAGTTAGATATATTATTTGTTGTATTCTGCATGTTTCGCTAGATGGCGTTGTACAATTTTATAAGTCGATGTTAAGATTCTCAAGAGGTCAGTGACCTCATGTGTTATTTGTACATTTGGTGAGATTTGAGGGGACAGAGATCATTAGTGCTATCTCTTAGTTCCGATCCAATATAGGTCAGATATATATCCTACCAGGTTTTTTATTTAGTATCCTGTAGGAGTATATCCCGCCCAGTTCATCCCGACCTCGGTCAATAAACAGAGTTTTTAGCGAAAAATTCAACAAAAGTTCTCGACCAAGCACCGTATTCACCTGATATGGCTCCGTCTGACTTTTTTTTATTTCCCAAGTTAAAATTACGACTTCGAGGAAAACGTTTTGAGTCGATAGAAGCCATAAAAGAAAATTCGCTGAATGAGCTAAAGGCCATACCGCAAATAGCCTATGAAAAATGTATGGAAGACTGGGTGAAGCGGTGGAGATGTTGTATTGCAAGCGATGGGGCCTACTTTGAAGGCGATAAAATAAATTTAGATGAATAATTTGTATTTTTTGTTTTATTGACAAATTCCCGATACTTAGTATACAGAATGTATGGTCATCGCTGTATTAATAAAGATAAATTTGAGCGAAACTATTATTTTTACCTGTCTGTATGTAATTAATTATTTTAAATTAATTACTATCTGAAAACTAGAGGGAGGGTGTCCTTGCACGTACTACGGGTGGTCACTGTGGGTGGGGGTAAAAAAAGGTGTAGTATGGATATGCTTGCTTAGTGGCAGAGGTAAAAACAGACGAAGTATGAAAGTTTGTAGATCAAATTATACTAGTAAACAGGTGCTCGTGTAATGTTCCAGTTTACAAGATAATTCACACGGTTTTACAGACAGATCCAAAACATTTTACTCAATACTGATACACTTATAGTATGATCATAATCAAAGTAGGTATATTCGGAATAATATTACACACTGAAATTAAAGTAGGCACTCTATAATTTGCCGTCGTATTGTTTTAGTTTTTCGTTGCAAATTGCGTCCCTTTAAGAATTAAACTTACTTTATTGGGGTGGACTATGCTATTGCAAGTATGTGTATGTGTAGACAATGTATCTGAGATACGTCTGAATCCACATTGAGATACGTCTCAAAGTTTGACAATGGATTCCCAAATCCAAAAGAAGACCGTTTCTTCTTCCGATGATATTATCTCGTTCATTAGGAAATTCGTACTTCCGACCTTATTCTTGTCATTATTTATATTTATTTGTTACACAAGTTTTTAGTGAACTGTGTCTTATCTTATTACAGTATCTTAATTAAACACTGTTAAGTCAACAACATCTGTGTAGGTGGGCAGTTAATTAATTGTTATTTTTCCTCAGGTACATAAATATCACAAAGAGATCCTAGATGACCTCGTGACGAATCTCACTTCAAATCAATGGCGCGTGCGCATGTCGTGTTGTAACGGCCTCGCCGATTTATTAAGGTAACTTTTATACAGTGCCTAAACTTACACTTCTGAGTTTTGCATCTCACTTTCTTTGCGTTTATAGAATTGCTGAGGTTAAATTCAATTCAATAATGTTCTAATAAGGTTTAAAATGTTATGTTATTGATACAGGGGTGCCAACAGTTTACATGACTCTCTACATCAGCTGCCAACGATATGGGCTCAGTTGTTCCGAGTTATGGACGACGTACACGAGGGCACCAGGCAGGCTGCCACATCTACTGCTAACGTCTTATCTAAAGTAAGTGATCATTAAAAGCAATGAACCAATCGTAGGTTTGTATTTTTATTTTATTTAATAGGTACAGTAACAGACAACAGATCAGAACGTACACAATTACGTTGACAATATACATTACTTAAATCTGAAGTTCAATTATAACTATACACAACATTCTATTACAAAGCTTATATGAGTATGTTAACAGACTAAAGTAATCTCATAATAATCTTAAGTTCCATTATTTATTACAAAATAATTGGTTTAAAATTTAATTAAAAAAGTATGTAAGTTGTAAGTATGTAAGTTTTCTAGACCTAGTTCATGTTAATTAGCATTTTATTTTTGCGTTCTCTATAAAATAAATGTATCATAATAATGATAAGATCGTAAATTATACCTTATATGAGATAAGGTATAATTTAACATTCTATTACAAAGCTTATATGAGTATGTTAACAGACTAAAGTAATCTCATAATAATCTTAAGTTCCATTATTTATTACAAAATAATTGGTTTAAAATTTAATTAAAAAAGTATGTAAGTTGTAAGTATGTAAGTTTTCTAGACCTAGTTCATGTTAATTAGCATTTTATTTTTGCGTTCTCTATAAAATAAATGTATCATAATAATGATAAGATCGTAAATTATACCTTATATGAGATAAGGTATAATTTAACATTCTATTACAAAGCTTATATGAGTATGTTAACAGACTAAAGTAATCTCATAATAATCTTAAGTTCCATTATTTATTACAAAATAATTGGTTTAAAATTTAATTAAAAAAGTATGTAAGTTGTAAGTATGTAAGTTTTCTAGACCTAGTTCATGTTAATTAGCATTTTATTTTTGCGTTCTCTATAAAATAAATGTATCATAATAATGATAAGATCGTAAATTATACCTTATATGAGATAAGGTATAATTTAGAAGTAATATTTACATAAGTTATGTACATTTCATGGTTGTATTATTTCAGCTATGCATACGAGCTTCAGACGTGAACCAAGGCAAAAACGGCAAGGAAATTGTATCGGCCATACTGCCGATTTTACTGGAAAGCGGTATCACTAATCTAGTCAGAGAAGTTAGGAGCGTAAGGTATTTTTTTTTTATATTTAGGCGGAAATAGCTTAGTTTTTAAGTTTGTAGGATGCTTTCTCTTTGGTTTGGGGGGTGTATACATCATAGTTCTGATTGAATTCAATAATGAAATTAAGTAGTGCTTGTTGTAAATCCAGAACGGCATAATAAAGAGAATGAAAAGTATCGACAAAAGTTCGCCAGTGAACATGTCAGTTTAATATTAAATACTAACTTCCACCGATCTATATAAATATATTTTCAATTCCTACCTTCACAGCGCGATCCCATTGTAAAGAAATTTATTTTGCATTTGATTTGCAAACTGTTATAAAAATGTCTAAGTGCCGAAAGTTTAAGAACAACAGGTTAAATAACCTTTCAAACCTCACTAGTAAGTTCATACTATTTTATGTACTTTTACAGACTAATTAATGACTCATTAAAAAAAATGTTTAAGGACTCCCGAGAGTCTAAAACATTCAAACGTTCGGTACTTTCCGAAATAAAATACGAAATATGTATCACCTGTGTAAGTATGTATAAATGTAATATGGTTGTATGAACAGGCTGACTCAAAACTGTGGCCCCTTCTTCAAAAGGCCTATCCATACCCTATACTGTATTAGCAGTGTTCTGTTTCGGCGCTTTTTCCCAGAGTGAGTCTTAATGTCCGACTTGTAAAAATATCTGATAAGATTCACTTACAGAAATAAATATCATTTACCATTAATAATAAATTATAACGAAATATTTTTATTCCAGCCTTCAAACAGTATCAGCGTTGGTAACAGCTGCTGGAGAGAGTCTCAAACCTTTTCTGTCTCGTCTGATCCCGGCGCTGGCCGGAGCGGCCGGAGATCTCGAGAACGTTAAATTGTCGTACCTTAGCACCGTACTGGCGGACTCGTCTAGTCGAGATCTGTTAGATGACATGAGGGCGAATGCAGCAAGACATCACTATACTACTGACACTGTTGTTAAAGTAAGAATTGAATTCAGCTTCGTTTTATTTTTAAAGTCATCAGAACATTAACCTCTTCACATATCACTATCGTTTACGTTGAAGTGTCAATCATCAGAACTTGGCCAGTTAAACTATCAAAGTTTTTAGAAAAACACCTTTTTATTATATTAACTTCTTTGCAGTGCTGTTGCTCCCTTAGACGGCTCTTACGACACCCAGATTTCTTTTCCATTACAATCACAATTTTTTCTCGACAAAGTACTATTTAAACAGCTAATTGGCATTATTTATTTGATCTGTTTGTGAAGTCATTTTCGTTTGTGCTCAACACGGATCTCTTTTCTTAGGAGACCTCTTATATGTGTAGAGTACTAACCATACCTCGTCAAACAAACTACTCGTAACTATATGTTTTATTCGACACTATGTGTACCCACCCACACTTCGCTGTGGCACATTGTGTTTGCAAAAAAATAGATAAAAACCATCTTTGAAGTGTGTTGTATATCATGTCAACATTTGAACTTAATCAGTGCAGAACTTTTTGAGTTTTTGAAGCGTACACAATTCGACATTGTCTTAGGATGTATGTAGTTTGGTGGTCTTGAAAATAACTTTGATTATTCTAATATCCAAATATTGTTATTCAATAGTGCATGCCGTACATCGATATTGAAGTGATGAAAGAGATGCTTCCTAAACTCCTCGAGCTGATGAAGTCTCCTCAGCTTGGCACCAAAGTCGCATGTTGCCATTTCATAGTACTGGCTGCTCACTATCTTAGGAGTGACTTGGAACCCATTGCTGGCAAGATCATGAGCAACCTGCTGAACGGAACGTTTGATAGAAACGCAACAGTCAGAAAGAATTATGCGGAAGCTCTTGGGCAAGTGTCGGCTCATGCTAAGGTAAAGTAAAAATATACATGTCTAATACTAGCTGACCCGGCAAACGTTGTATTGCAAAACAAAAAAAAAAATTAGGGATGGGTCACCCTTACCGTTTAGGGGTATGAAAAATAGATGTTGGCCGATTCTCAGACCTACCCGATGTGCACACAAAATTTCATGAGAATCAGTCAAGCCGTTTCGGAAGAGTACGGGAACGAACATTGTGACACGAGAATTTTATATATAAGATTAGTTTCTAATATATTTAAGAGTATGATGGTTGTGGCCTAAATTAGTTTGCTAGTTAATTTGAAGGTTTGTTAGTCGTTTAGGTGGACTACACCTAAATGAGGCTCTAGGCTGAAACGGCTCAACTAAGATTTTTACTACATTTGGAGATATAATATGCTTTATTTTCTTTTATAATATTTATCCATTAATCTAATTACAAAAAAAAACGCGCAAACTTTAAAGTTCGACAGACAGCTTTCAATTCTTTCGTTGCCTTTCACTGAGTGAGTGAGGTTACCGGATCCCTAATCTCCCCTCCCGCTGACTCGAGCAGGAGGGACTCCAAGTGTAGCAACGCACTTGTAACTTTTGAGCTGCAGGTGTCCATGGGTGGCGGTCGTTGCTTACCATCAGGTGACCCGTCTGCTAGTATGCCCCTATATGCCATAAAAAACAACTCAAGAACTTATTGATTTGACCAAAGAGCGCACCTTATGTAATTTTTTATTATACCCTTATTCCTAAAATTTTTAGTCTTTAATACTAATCTATTTAAACTATACAACAACAAACTTTAACCCGAATTTACAATTTCAGTCAACATCTGTGGAGAAACTGATGAAGAAACTAGTAACATTGTACGAAACCAAGGAAGATGACACCTCGCGGCAAGCGATCGGCCTAACGCTTAAGGCCATAGCTAAAGCCAAAATAGAGCATATTAAGGACAACGAAAACATCCTTGCTGCTATGGTGTTCCTGGCCATGCACGGTCCTAAAGATGATGGTAAGTTTGAGCGGAATAACGCCATAGCCTCACAGTAAACTTTTGTACCTAACTGTACCATGTCACACGACACGTGACTTGGCGGGACGGCGGGACCGGCGGGGAGTAACGCAGTGCCGCCAGTGCGGTATTGTTAGTGTGTCGAACGTGAATAATTGTGTGCTACAATTATTTAACATTTTTCTTTCATACGAAGAGTACCGATAATAATAATAGTAGCAGTTAACATACTTTTTTTTTTTTTTTTTAACGTGTGGAAATCCCCTCGGACCGTCACCCCTCCGGGGTTTGCGGCGGGGTGGTGTGTCGGACTCGGACCGACTAAAACCACACGGTGTGCCACTCTGCGCCTGTAACAGGAGGGATCCGGGAACAGCTGTTGTTAAGACATCCGGACCCCTCCTAGCGCCAGCCCGCTCCTGGTGCGGGCTCCGTCTCAATATAGATGTTCCTCTCTTTAGGCGACGTCCGGCACACGCGGACGCCGCCCCCTCGCGGCTGGCCAACTAATGCGGGTGGAGGGGAAACCCACCCCGTCCACCCGCGGCCACACTCAGGGCGGCATGAGGCTGTGGTAGGCGGGCCTCCGCCGCCCGGTTCGCCGGCGGCGGATCGGGTCCGAGTGGAGGTCGTCCTCCCGGGCCCTTTCCGCCGCCTCCTTCCGCGAGATTACTACCTCGCAGAAGGTTGCGACCGCGGTAAAACAACTGTCGCTACCGGCCATGGAGCGTACTACGGCCGGTAGCGAGAGATCCACTCCGATGACTGCAGTGAGGGCCCGGCGCTGCGCCGCCCATGCGGGGCAGACCGCCAGCGTGTGCTGGGCCGAGTCCTCACTGCAGTCGCAGTGGTGGCAGGCGGGACTCAGTTCCCTCCTAGCGACCGTGTGCAGGTACTTTCCGAAGCAACCGTGCCCGGAAAGCACCTGCGTCAGTCGGAAGGAAAGGGTCCCGTGCTGCCGCCCTGCCCACTCGGCGATGACCGGCTGGAGAGCCTCCACGGCGGCGAAGCCAGCGCGTGGAGTCTCCAGCCGGAACGACCAACGAGCCATCGTGGCTCGGCGAGCGGCTTCGCGCCACTCGCGCACATCCTCGGGCGGAGGGCGAAATCCGCTCTCCGCCCCGGTAGTCAGCCACTCGCCGATAAACTTCGGCGAGCACTTCCGCCTCCAAATCCCACGGGGGAGTTCCGGCCAACGCGCACGCCACCTCCGTCGAAACGGTGCGGTAACCGCGTATGGCTCTGACCGCCATTACCCTCTGAGGGCGCCAGAGGCGTACCCTATTCTGGGCGGTCAGAGCCGCCGCCCACACCGGTGCACCGTACAGTGCCATTGACCGGACAACCCCCGTGTACAGCCGTCTTGTCGCGACGCTGGGTCCACCCATATTGGGCAAAAGTCGCCCTAGGGCAGACGCAGCGCCGACCAGCTTTGGAGCAAGCTGTCGGAAGTGCTCGTCGAAGAGCCACCTCCCGTCGAGGATCAGGCCCAGATATTTCATCTGGGCCCGAACCGGTACGAGGACCGAGTTGACCACGATGGAGGCGCCAGGGGGTGGACCACGACGGGGCCCATGAAATAACAGGGCCTCCGTCTTATCTAGGGCCACCCGTAAGCCCAGCGCCTCAATGCGCCCGACCACCAGGGAGACTCCCCCTGTGGCCAGGCGCGCCGCCTCTTGGAAGTTTGCCCCCCGGGCTGTCACCAGGGTATCGTCTGCGTAACAGATTACACCCAGCCCGGGGGGGAAATCGGCGCGAAGGGCCCAGTCGTACCCTATGTTCCACAAGAGGGGTCCAAGAACAGACCCCTGTGGAACACCGCACGACATGGGCCGACACCTCAAATTACCTTCTCGGTCCTCGTACACGACGGTACGCTCCTCTAAATAGTCTGCCACTAGCCGCCTCAGGTACTTTGGCACCCCATGATAGTGGAGTGCTTCCCTGATGCAGCTGAATGGCAGACTATTGAATGCGGTTGGCGATGTCCAGTGACACCGCCAACAGCACGCCGCCACAGCTCACGGCCTCTTCGGTCACGGCCCTCAGGCGCAACACGGCGTCGACTGTCGAACGCCCCGCCCGAAAACCAAACTGGGCGTCCGACAGATCGGGGCCCACCTCGCAGAGGTGCCGGACGATGCGGGCAGAAAGAACCCTCTCAAACAATTTGCCCGCCTCGTCCAGCAGCACGATGGGCCTATAGGCCGCGACCGAATCGGCTGGCCGTCGCCGCTTTTCCAGCACTCAGGGAAGCGTCCCGACGCCAAGCTAGCGTCGAACACCTCCCCGAGGCGGTCTGCCATGTGGTTGAGGGCCAGGGCCAGCACTCGGGCCGGTACCCCGTCTGGCCCAGGGGCGGTGTTCTTGGAACGGATCCGTAGAACAGCCGCCCCTACCTCCGAATCCCGGACGGGCGGAACATTGTCCTCCCCGTGCTCCCCGTCGTCTCCGGCCAGGGAGGCCATCGACGGGGGAGTGTGTTCCGCTCGTTGTGGGAAAAGGCCCTCAACCACTTCTCGCAGGAAGCTGGGCTGGAGAGTCTCCGTAAGGGGGGGGCCCGACGCGCGGAGCTTTTGTCGCACCGCGCGGTAAGGGCGACCCCAGGGGTCACGATTAAGACCCTCCAGCATCTCCTGTCTCTTTTCCTCTTTGGCGCGGCTAATGGCCAGCTTCAGAGTTTTCCGCGCCCGCCGGTACTCCTCATGAAGCCGGTCCTCCTCACCGTCTCCACGGTGACGCCGCCCCGACTGCGTTGTGTAGGACCTCCGGGCACGTGTACAGGCCGCACGGAGGTCCGCCAGCTCCTGGGACCACCAGTAGACCTCCTTCCTTGGAGGCCGACGACCTCGAACGCGGGGCATGGCCGCATCGCATACATGCGTAATCGCATCGCGAAAGCGGCCAGCCCCCACGTCGACCTCCTCGGTCGGAGCCTGCGGAGACAGCCACGAGTGAATTATGGCTGCCTCCTCTAGTAGGTCCCGGTTCAGTCTGGCAACAGCCCACCGCGGAAAGCGGGATAAACGCCGCGCCACGTGACCCCTACTGGAGTCCTGGGTCCGGGAGAGCTCAAATCGGATATACAGGTGATCCGAGAGCGTCTCAACCTCTTCCAGGACACGCCAGTTCCTTACTCGTGCGGCGAGGGCAGGGGTAGCGAACGAGAGGTCCACTATCGACCCCCCCTGCTGTCGCACGCACGTGTTGGTGGAGCCTCTGTTTAGAAGACAGAGGCCCACCGAGGCCGCCCACTCCTCTACGGCCTCGCCCCTGGCGTCCGTCCTGGGGGAACCCCACGCAATGGACTTTGCGTTGAAGTCCCCCAGCACAAGGACGTGCCCAGACGCTAGTCGCCGTATCGAGGTCTCCAAACTGGTCAGGAAAACCTCGAAGTCGTTCAAACTCCGGTTGGGGGAGAAATAGACACCATATATGGTGATCCCCCCCCACTCGACGGCAACATATCCAGTGCCCTTGTCTCTTAGCGACAAGGGCGGGGAATGAGCCGTCGTGGAACCGACGACTGCCACGGAGCCGTCCCAGTCACCCATCCAGTTTGGACGGGGAGGGACAGAATAGGGCTCCGCGACTACGGCAACACCTATCGACCACTGTGCCATGGTTTGCAGGAAGAGATCCTGCGCCGCGGCACAGTGGTTCAGGTTCGTCTGGACCAGGAGGTTGGAGACTTGATCCATTACTGGATCGTCTCTACAACCTCCTCCATGGGCGACGACGTCGACGCACGAACTATATCGGAGGCAGCCTGGGTCGACTGGCTAACCCCCGACGTCTGCCGAGAACTGCGGGGAGGCTTGCAGCCTCTCTGCCCCATCTGGTGATTGGCGGGCTTATTGCCCGCCGCACACACTGGGCAGTGAGGGGCGGCAGAGCATTCTGCGGCCTTATGCCCCGGTTGACCGCAGCGGAAACACAGTCCGCCGCAGTCAAAACAACTGTCGCACTTGACGCGCGTGTGTCCCGATGCTAGGCATTTGTAGCATCTCATCGGTCTCGCCGCCAGGACTGTGATCCTGGCGCTCACGAAACCGATGAGCAGCCTGCCGGCGTCGGCCAATACTTTGGCCGACGCTACGGGACAGCTGACCCACACGGCGCCAAGCCCTCCTGGACCGGGGCGGATGGTGCCGACCCTGACGTTGTCCGCGCTGCACCCCGTCTTCTCCCGGATTACAGCGCGGACATCTTCGGCCGTCACTGAGTCGTCCAGGCCCGAGATGCGCAGTTCCGCGCACTTGGTAGGCCTGGCGACCCTGACACCATCAGTGGCCGCAAATATTCCCCGCAGCCTCTCGGCGAAGGAGTCCGCCGTCTTTGCGCCTTCAGCCCCAGGGAACTCGAGGACTCGAGCTCCCGTCTGGGCGAGGCGCATCCTGACCCCCACCGTTCCAAAGTCGTTAGCGAGGCTGTCCCGGGCCTTTTTAAACACGGCCGCGTAGGACAGCCCGCCGTCCGCCGCCTCCGGGGACACGGTCACCACTACAGCCGCGGTTTTGGGCGGCTGCAGCTTCCGCGGCCTCTTTGTGGAGGCCGTTGCCACCGGTGGCGAAGGCTGGGCCTGGGCTGCTTTTTTGGCAGCCTTTTTGGCCCGCCTTCGGGACTTCTTGGAGCCCCTCGCCTCCTGCCAGCCCTCGTTGGAGGGGGCAGGTGCGGAGGGGCCCGGCAGGGGTGTCGGAGTGGGGAGCGGAGGGAATGCCACTCCGCTCCTCGGCGCCGTTTTAGGCCCCGTCTTGGCCGGCACTTTGGCCTGCGCCTTGGCCGGCGCCTGGGACGGTGCCTTGGCCGGCGCCTGGGCCGGTGCCTTGGCCCCCCTCCTCGGCTTTTGGGGAACCGATGGAGTCGGGGCAGACGCCGCCGCCGCGTAGGAGACGCGGCCTCCCACTACGGGGAGCGCGGTCGGAGCGGCGGCCTTAGGCCGCTGTGCCGACGCGAGCGGGGGGCGCACAACCGGCGCAGGGGGCAGTCTCGCCTCCAGCCCCGCCAGGCGTCCGTCCAGCATATTCCCAACTGCGATGAGGATTTCACGCAGTTGGGAGTCAAATGCCCCTGAGTTGGTGGTAGGGGCAGGCTGGGACGCGGACGGGGCTTCCCGCTCGGGGAGGTTCGCCTGGAAGCGGGCGAACTGAGCGCTCAGCTCGTTCACCCGCTCCGTCAGCCTCTCGTTGGCCACCTGCAGGCGAGAGACGTCGCCCGCTAGGCCCTCCACGACCTCCGACAAAGCGGAGGAGGAGTCCTTAAGGGCCCTCACAAACGAGCCCTTAAGGTTCACGGACTTGGTGGCCACCTTGTGAATGACGGCCACCGCCGCTTTCGCCCTCTCCTGCACGGACACGGGAGCCTGGGGGGCATTTCCCCCCACCGGCTCCCGAACCTTGAGCAGGAGATCCGCGATCTCCTCCTCCGCTACGGCCTCGCCGTCCACCCGTACGTTCCTGTACGACTCCGCGTTTGAGAACGCGGAGCCTGACGGGGTCGAGACCGGGGCCGAGGCAGGTTTGCGTGCCCTCCCTCTGCGGCTGCTTGCCACCTTTGGTGGCATCATCTCCTGGGACGTGTCGGTTTCCTCGTCCCTGGAGCGTCCTCGTTTCCGGCTGTCGCTTCGCTCCGCCTCCATGGCGTCAGCGCCATCCGACGAAACGGCGGATCCGGAGCGCAGCCGATCTGATGCTCTTCGGCTCCCAGAGACCAGCGTCAGACTGACTTCTGGGAGCCCCATCGAGATAGGCGTTCCCGACGCTATCTCACCCTCCGTGGATGACCCATCCACTCCACTTTTCCTCTTCTCCTTAGTTTCAGAGTCCGTTTTGCTTGCCTGTTTCTGTTTTTGTGTTGGTTGCCGTTTCTTTATATTTGAGTTAATGGTTTCCATATTAAATCCCACGAGTGGGGGAGAACTAAAGGTCCACCCGGGCAGAGATCCCCCATTACCCGGGCAAGCGTAAGTTTTTAACCCAACCGAGGGGTCCGCAGGTACCTCGGCTTGGAGTGCGCTCGCGACTGAACTTCCCATCAGCCATGCATCCCCTGGCCACGCACCAGAACACGGGATTCGGGGAATTTTTTAGAGAGGTTATCTTCCTCGCGGTCCGGGCGGTTAAGCCAAGACCCTCGTCCCCGATCAGAGCCGCGAGACTTAACCACAGCGCTCTTCTCGGGATTACGATATGCCGACGGTTGACAGGGAGACTACGTCCCCCTGCCTGCTCGGTGGTAGTGTGAGTACACGCCGAGCCCGTCCTCCTTTCTCCACCGCTATCAGCGGAGAAAACTGTGGCCCCTACAGGGCCCCGCCATCAGGTTTTTTACCGAGGTTTCCTCCTCCATGCTCCGAAGAGCGAAGAGCCAGCAGGGCAACCGGCAGACACGCCCACCCTGCTGGACCAGGCCTTGCCCGAGAGCCGATGAACGGCTGCCTCTTCTGCTAGAATATTGGCCGCTGGCGATAATCCTCTCCTCCAAGAGGACAAGGAGGAAACAGTACCATCGCCAGCGTTTCCAGGGTGCACCACGAGGAGGTTTTCTAGCCCAGCACCCCTTCTAGCCCAGCACCCCAAAGCCCAAAGCAGTTAACATACTGAAGTAACCCTGTACACACTGAGTCATTGACGTTGCGGCGCCGCGCTGCACCGTCAACGCATCGTGTGGCCTTGCTCTTACTGGGCCCAACCGCCCTTATGTACGTGTGGTGGATGAGGGGTGGTCAGCATAAGGCCGGCCACGTATTTGTAACTCTCGAGTCACAGTCACAGGTGTCCATGGGATAGGTAGTGATTTACCATTACCCGTTGACCCGTCTACTCATTATCCCTATTTAAAAAAAACTCAGTTCTCGACAGCAGGGGTTTTGTAGGATCATAAGTTTTGGGTACTTGGTTTTGAAGACCTGCAACGGGGTTTGCATCACGAGTGTTCGAAGACTAACCGTATTTATTTGTATGAGCAGATGCGACTACTGTGGAGATATTCGAAGAGATATGGACGGACATTAGCCCATCAAAAGAGAGCGGCATCAAGCAGCACTTGCCGTCCATTCGGGAGGAGATCGAAAAAGCACTTAATTCCAGCAGTTGGACAAAGAAGACACAGGTGATTGTTTACTTTATATTTTTTCTAGAACTTCAGCCTTTTGCTGGATGTTTTTTGAGACACGATAAGTTAATAATCAAGACTTAGGTGGCAAATTATTATTAGTTGTCTTAAAATAAAATCAGTTTTTTAAAGATTTTTCTTACGGTATCAGACTGCTATCTTTGAAAAACTGTTCGATTTGCGAATGTCTGGACTGATTGTGCTAAATTACTTTTTAAAATAAGTGTATTGGTACGAACTGGGTTTTGATATAAGTAAAGATTTTAAAGTTTGAAATACGGAAAAAATATTTTCCAAAGAATAAGTAAATTAATAAAAGTATTTTATTACCTAAGTACTGTATTTTTATTTAGGCAGCGATGGCAATAAAAACAATCTGCAAAGAGTTATCATCGGGCTTGGGAGATCAACGCGAACAACTGATCCGGTCGCTCCTGGCGGCAGTGCACGGGAAAACATTTGACGGCAAACAACACGTTCTGGATGCGTTAGCTGAATTATGCACGTAAGTTATTCAATAAGATTGTGTTTCTTCTATAGTTTATAACTTATATCGTTAAGTGACGTACACTCACACACACAAACACATACAAACGCGTTACTACACAAAAAGATTAACTTCACCGCGCCGGTGTGAATCCTGGAGTCCTGAATGAAATACAGGTGACCTATTTTAAGTTCCAGTCCACCCCAAACTACAACTTTAATCTTTGCACTCATTTATATAAATAAATATAAATAAAAGTTATTGTACATTGTGTTGTTTGTGGTGTAGATAAACATATCTTTATTTTATTTTTATAGTTTATAACTTCTATACACTGTAGTACTGAATAAATAAATAATAAATTTAATATAAATCATCAAATTTTCTACCTACCGCATCGGTTTCCTACATGACCCGAAGGTCGCCAGTGTCCAACTCGCGCATCAAGTGTAGTGTGTGCGCAGGGTGAAGGCGGGCGAGGCGAGCGTGGGCGCGGCGCTGGCGGGCGCGTGCGTGGGCGCGCTGCTGGCGGAGGCGCGCAAGCAGGACATGCTGTACCGCCGCCACGCCATCGCCGCGCTCGCCAAGGCGCTCTCCGCCACCAGCCTCGACAGCTTCCACCAGCTCTACGACATCGTCAAGGGGATCTTGTCCAAGGTCATTATTTACTTTTATTCGCTACCGTCTTCACCATAGGACTAGTCGTAACGGTAGTATGGAACATGAATCGAGACTGCATAAGTAGACTATCATCGCGGCAACGAAACGAGCCATGCATCATGGTTATGTAAACTGAGAAGAGCGACTCGAATCGTCGATGGCCCAAATATCTCCGATCGGCTCGATCACTTGGCGTTACATAGAGATGTAGCTTCCCTTGGCATTTTCTATCACACATGTAATGGAGATTGCTCCGAGAAATTGTTTGCATTGGCAAAATTTTTATCCCCCTACTTGGATAATTGGCACTCCACCACTGTGCATTTTAAGACACTTTTTGCCTCGCACTATCAACCTGTGAATCAAGTTATCGTCTGCAGTATTTTCGGACCAATACGTGTGGTTTGGTGACCTGTCTACTCATTTACCCCTATTGCCCTCTTGCCCTCATTGCTCATTTGCCCTCTCTTCCATAAAAACTGACTGATAATGCTAACGCTAGATGCTGAGGCTCAGGCTTAGGCTTTCTGTTCACATAGAATCTTCTATGCCATTTCTTTACACCTCAATCTTTTGCATCTCTATTATTGTACACTAGTCAAAATCAAGTAAAGTACGTTTAAAACTTGTAGGTCTAATAACAATAACATTTTCTCATTCAATTGTTTATAGTCCGAACTATCAATGAGTAAGGAATCCGATGAGGAAGACAACGAAGGCGCTAGACAGAGACAGGAACAACTCACAGCATTGAAGGAAGCCGCCTATGAGTTACTTGGCAAAGCGTGGCCTAAGGAAGCCGAGACACAAGGTAAGATTTAGAATAAGGAATTTTTAGAGGATAAGCGTTTATTCATGACTACAACATTTATTATTATTACTTTTTAATTGGTGATTACGTTCGATGTGAAATAACTAATGCGGAGGGCAGACCGGCTATTGGCGTATGTGTGGCTGTTTCCTTAAAAAAATTTGAATATTATACATATATTTAATTATTCTATATTTCCTTTCATAAGCTATGCTTTAACAATAGGGACTTTATTCACATTATTTCTACAAAATAATTTCGATGTTTCACATTTGCCAGACGCCTCGCGACGGTTTAGTTTTGTTCTATATAAACTTTAATATAAGTACTTTACTATACTTTTTTTTAAACTTTAGTATTGATATTGTAGGTTATATTATAAACATATACACTCTTTAGGCTCAAACAAAGCATAGCTCGCATTAAAAGTCTTGTACTTGGGGTTCTAAAATACCGGTAGTAGCTTTTTTCACTGTAATGTTCAGGTTACACCACCCGTTACATTATACAAACTTGTTAGATTCCACGTACTTACCTACTCTGTAAAGATCCTGGTAAAAATCCAAAGGTATCTCTGTATCCATGATATTAGTTACTAAAGGGTTCGCAAATGTTGTAAATGTAGTAAAATTGAAAAAGTATGAATCAGTTCCCTAAACGTGAAAATTAAAAAAAAAACTTTTTAACTAAAAATTGAAGTTCCCTTAACTTATGTTGGAAAGACAACACAAAAAAATTCCACATACTTTAAACTAGCTTAGGTATGGGTTCTCACTGTGTTTACAATTTTACAGAAAAATATCAAGACGTATTCTTCGAGCATTGCGTCACAGCGTACCCATCGAGTTCACGATCGACACAACTCGCTATTTTAGGATCTGTAGCGCGCGTGTTGGAAAGGCTGGCGGTATTGAGCAACGCAGGCGAGCCCATGGAGACAGACAACAATGCGTCTTCGAATACCGACAAGTCGATAGCCAGTGTCACTGGCCAAGTCTCAACTATAATTGATTACACGCTCAGTAAGAGGCATTTTTTAATCTCTGGCTTCAAAATGTTCCAAATATGAATTTGGCGTCAGCATTAAATGGAAATGTAATTTCGTGACGGCCATAGTTGCAAAATGTTTATTTATAATTTATTATCATTAGAAAAAAAAAAGGAATTAGAATTTACTCTTTCGCTTTCAACAAAAATAAAAAATGATAAGTTTTCATATTAATAAAATCAAATAAATTTTTGATTCGTTCATTTTAGAAAACAGCAATCAAGTACGCCACCGAAGGGACGCACTCAACATAATGGAAATTCTAGTGAAAAAACTAAAAGGTAATAATTATAATAAGATTTAAAAATCTTGAAATATATTAAAAAACTATATTTACACTACTATACTATAAATACATACATTAAACACTTTCTTTCGAACATTCAAAGTAAACCTAACAAGCTATCATTCATTGCCTTAACTTGTGTGTGAAAGTGACAAAATCAAAGATTATTTTTTTGTCTACTAAGAGTTGTGTACTTGTTTTATACTCTATGCGCATATCATACTTTTTAAAAATAAAATTACTAAAAATGTCCTGAGCAACATTTTGGTTAATAATGCAATTTTGTTGCTACTTGCAGATCTCAACAAAGTAGAGGAATTAGAAAAGCTTAGAAACATTTACCAGTTGTACGTACAAGAGCTGTCGAAAGAGCCGTCGCACGAAATAAGGACCAAAGTGGACAGTATTAAGGTTCTTTTTAAATAGCCTGTATGTTTATTTATTCTTCAAAGTAAATGAATAAAAATGTTATCATAGTTTTATTTTATTTAAATGTGATGTTACTTACTTCGCTGGGTTAGCGTCCCAAAATGTGTCTTGGCCCACGACATTAAAATGCGCCATTCTTTTCTATTCCGCGCCAGTTCAGACCAATCGGGGCATTTGATCTCGTCGTCGATCGGGTCGTCCCGCCGACCGATAGGTTGCCCGATCTTCTCCGATTTTTGCCATGTGGCCAAGCCAGCGAAGTCGGGCAGCTTTTATTTCCCCAATTATATCCTGGATTAAATCTCCGCTCTCCATTATCTCCTAATGTTGGTCCCAGAATCTTAGCGTAATATCTTACGTTCGGCAACTAAGACTTTCTCCTCCTCCTTCATCGTTAGTGTCCCAAGTCTCGCATCCATACATCAGAATCTGCCTAGTTACAGTTTTGTAGACGCGGATTTTAGTAGTTCTGATAATAAACTGGGTGACTAGTACTTCGTGAAGGGCTGCGGCACATCTTAGCGCGTTGACAATGCCGATGTTTATATCCTCCTTCCTTGATTTGTGCCCGTAATCGTACACCCGAGATACTTGAATTTATTGAAACCTCTGTAAGAGACCCACCCTTTTCCCTTCTTCTTTCAATACCTGTGCCATGCCTATAACTTCCGATTCAGATTGCCCCAGTATCGCCAGATTGTCCGCATAGCCTATTATTTTGTGCCTTGTATTCAACTCCAACTCGTTATCGCAGCCCTATAGGAAGTCAAGTGGCCTGGACAAGGAGAATGTATCGTAGAAGATGGTACTTCCATAGAGTGGAACAGACTATGAAAAACAACAAAACATTGTTACTGAATTCCTGTTAAACAAGAAAGCGATTGGCAGTGTTCTCAACTTCATCTTAATATCGAAAAGAACATCTATGTTGAGGATTAAAAGGAAATTCCACAACATCTCAATATTAAACGCTAACGCTCCGACAGAACTCATCTCAGATGAAAATAAAGACCGCATCTACGAAGACCTGGAAGTGGCATTCGATAAAAACCCAAATCAACGCTAAAGTCGGATGCGAAGAATCATATTTCCCAATAATTGGAAAACACAGAAAACACTTAAATTCCATCGATAATGGAGTAAGATATCTTTCGCATCCTAAAAGTCCCTAATTGTTGCAAGCACTATGCTTCCACACAAAGACATTCACAAGCGAACGTGGAAATCATGTGACGGCAAAACTGTGAACCAATTTGAACACGTAGTGATAGATGCAAGGCACAAAAGCAATATTCAAGATGTAAAGATATACCGTGGCACCGATTGCGATAGTGGCTATTATCTGGTGGGAATAAAACTAATAGCAAAGATAAAACTGACGAGCAGCAAAGACATTCAAAGAGAACCGTCTATTAACACAGTAAAACTTAAAGACGAAAACATTGCTGCATTTAACATAAAAATAAGTAATAAAGCAGAGCTAGAGGACCTTGGTGACATAAACAATCTTTGTGAAAAAACAAAACAAATAGTTAAAGACGTAGGAATCCGAATATGTGGGACCGAGGAATGTGAAAAAGCAATGGACAGAAAGAAGGAATAATACTAGCTAAGGAAACCATGAAAGGGATCACAGTTACAAGGAGGCACACACAGAATTAAAAGAAAGTAGTAAGAGCATCAAAAAGACATCATATAGAGGGCATTATCTCAAACATAGCAACGCTAATGAGGGCTAATGAACCCCGAAAGTTTTATCAAGAAATAAGAACAGGTAAGGCGTACAAATCCTTCCGTCAACTGCTGAAAGATAAAAATGGAAATCTTGCCTTCGGCAAAACAAAAAGAGATGTGGCACCAAACAACTTCTCACCAGTCAGCAACCAATCAGAGATAAACCTGGACACCAGTCATGATTATGACCTGGAACCACTAAAGTTTGAAGAGGTGCCAAGGCAAATGAAATATTACGATTTTTTTATTAAATTACAACTCATTTAATAAGAGTTGCAGATATTTCAAAAATTTAAATAATATGTTCGCAATGCTTCTACTTTCTCTTTTTCTCCAGAAGCTTGATTGGCAGCGAATGCCCAAAGCATAAGGTTCTTCTCTGTATTGTAAGTATATTTCCTGTTTATGTAGTTTATTTCTGGCTAATATTTAAGTAACTTATTTTAGTAGGGAATAGCAGGGTAAGGGTACTTTTATTTTCGTAACAGCAAGGGTAGGAAAATGAAACTACCAAAAACAATATCACATCAGTGTTTAATGCTAATGCATTAAATAAATCTATGGAATGAAATAAAATAGATACAATAATATTAACAAAATTATTATTAGCGTAAAATATTGCCTAATCAGTATGTACACATTTATAAATAATACATTTGTATCTGTATAATACGTACCATACGTCGTTACGAAGTTCTAATAATCTCTAAAAAAAACTTATCTAATTGAAACGGCAAAATATAACCCAGGTAAGTCTAGTTCTACTGTCGCTGTCTAATCTAACCGCCTTAATAATTTAAATTAAGGTTTACGAAGACCTGGAATCCGGACTGCAATACATAACCCGTCACCAACAAGCGACAGGCTACAGACTAGACTAATGTAGCTAGCTAGTCTAAGGTGCCAATACTTATAACATAATTAAATTACATAAAGGTGTTTTAAAAATGCGGCAGTTCTAATAAAAAGAAAATGATTGGAGACGTAATAGCTTTTGCTTTGGAAGTTATAAAAGATATAGAGGAATTGAAAAGCACATTAGGAATTATAAAGAAAAGTAAAATAACTGGACTTTTCTGACTGAATTTATAATTTAAAAAAAAAAACTACTTTCTAGGACAGCCGTTCTATTCCTTAAGGATATCAAACATCGTTTTGAACGACATGTGTATCAGCAATTATCATACTTTATAACATCACCCAAGTCAAAATTTGTAAAAATAACAAACCGTCCCAATGAGTTTTTAGATATATTTTTTTATTAGTTCTAGTATTTATTGCTTTCATTCCTCTATTACAATAAATTATATTTAAAAAAAAATCCTTTAATGTAATTACAATCAAAAACAGATCGGTGATACACTAGATATTCAAAATACTAGTACAGCTGGAATAAATAATAATCTCATCTAGAAAAACAAGTTTTATTTAAAAAATAAATACAACTATTTCCTAAAAATAGTACCTACTTTAAGTCTGGTAAAGTTATTGATGGTATGGACAATTTTATTGGTTAACTTGATTTAATAAATAAAACTCATTAATGCATTTATTCTAATTGAATTCATGTGCCTAAAGCAACAAATCTGCAAATAAATTTAATTATAATTTCTTAATAGCACACTCGTACTTTGTGTGTTATGTTATCGTCCACAGTCGAAATTGGTTTCCCTAGAGATCCTCATTGACTTGATAAAAAAACAAGCAACAAATATATTTAAACTTTTTATTGACTACCGAGTTTGAACCCATAAATAGCTATCTTTTTTTTTAAACGATGTTCGAATTATAAATCCTTGAAAGGACATTAACATAATAATAAATTAGTGGTAAAGATTTTTTATTAGGTGTTAAGTTGACAATTTATATTACCGGTGTAGAACCATTTTCTACTAAGGTACTGCCGGATGGTACTAATCACACTATCAATAGCGTATATTTTATATATTCGTGCAAAATGTAAACTTCAACAAAAACAAGTGACCGTAACATACAAACCGTAAAAAATGCTTAATTAGTTATTTATACTGCTATTACCGAGCACTTGCGTGTGTGTGTGTTATAATTCGAGGAGTGTATATACAATGTTTGCGAGAGTCACTTCTACTTTCTAACATTAATTCCATTATTTTTATGAGCCCAAATTGTGCATCATTGTGGCACAGTACACTGCCACGTCACATACAAAGAGGACACACCACTGTAGTTAATTTCAACCAAAGGTAACATGTTATGAAATATTTAGCATTTTATCTTAGATCATTGATATGTGCAGATAGACTATGATGAGATGTGAAAGCGTTGAAAAAAATAGTGTCCAATTGTTGGCCGCTAAGTTCCTTTTCTCTGTCAGTGTGTATGTAAGGTGTATGATCGTTAATGCTATAAATCGATTTACACGCACATTAGCCTAATAAAGTAGGCCCTTTTGTTTTAAGTTGATTTGTAACGCGACACTATCTAGATATATAAATGATCTAAGCATTATTTAAATGGTAGAAAAGTGTCTGCTATGTCAACGCCCAAGTTGCCGTATTGTATTTATAGGGCCTAGTGATTTAAGCTATACATGAAATGAAAGTATTTTGCATGCAATCCAATCAATACATGATGTAGTGGTTCTAATCGCAAAATATTCCAGTATATTTATTTTACAATACCTATTATGTTAACACTACACAGCGATAACTTTCTACTAGCTAAAGTTGTATAAATTTACTTATACTGCATGTTATATTATTTATATATAGTACAAATATACAGACTAAGAACCGTTATGAATCAAATACTCAACTTTACTACTAAACTAAACTTTATAAATATGTTTGCGGTTAAAATCTTAACCAATCAAAAGCACATTTAGAAACAAAATCAGTTAAAAGCATTTTTGAATAAAACTAAAGTCAAATGCACTTTCGTTCAACCTGGCTGTGTGTGGCTAAAATTATTATCAGGTTATGTCAGGTCCGATATTTTTAGTTAGATTCTAATTCGTTAAAAGGCATTTTTCCTGTACCGATTATTCGTTTCAGTAAATAATAGTTTTCCATTGCACAATGGAAAGGTCGCACTACCTAATCAGTAGATTGTTGGCGTTTAGCTGGTTCGTCACTCGTCGGTAGATAGATCGATCCAGTGACTAATGTTTTGTACAAACTATCGCGTGTTTGGGGTCCTTAGGTATAAATAAATTGAATTTATTCAATTCTAGTTAGCAGAAAGATATAAGATACTACACATAGTTATAATAACTTAATTGCCACGGTCTTGAATAGGTATTACGTCTTAAAACGGTTATGCTAAAATGAAAACTTTATTTTAACAGAAAGAATATCACAGTTTTTTTTTCACGGCTCTCATAAAGTACTTGACTATAAAGTACGAATATAACCTTGTCAGACAGATAGCAGTAGACCGCTCGACGAGTATAGCTCTAAAAATCGTTTTTCCTTATCAAGTTTTAATCGATAATACCTATACGAACGTGTAAAAAACAAATAACTTAATACTACATTGCACATTATACGTCGTCGAATAGCCCCCGCGGCGGTAGCGTCATCTTGTCCCTCCTCCGGTCGTCGAAGTCCGTCCGTACGGAGGGCAGAGTGCTCTCGCCGAAGCGGTCGTCGAGCTCGTCCTCGAGCGTGAGGTGCGCGCGGTTGTAGGGCAGCTCGGCGCGCTCGTAGCCGCGCGGCGCGTGCGCACGCTGCGTCCTGTCGGGGCTGGGTTGCACGTAGTAGTCTGAATCCACGTCGTTCAAGAGCCCGGTGCGGGCTGAAACGTGTGCCAAATGACCGGTAACCGATAACATTAATGATGATCGGAAAGAAGGGTCCTGTTTATTGTAAGTTTTAAACAGTTCAAAGTTCCATACTTTGATTTTCATGCATCGATATCGCCGTAGCACAGTGTTAGTTGCGAGCGATTCGAGTGATATTTTTATAGTAATATATTCTACATACTTTGTAACTGATATTGTTTCATACTTATAATAAACAGAACACAAAAGCTGGATAGAAATGTAGAGTTTATAATGGTATTGAATGTAGATGATAACGCAAATCTGTTGAGATTAAATCATCAACAGCCTTTAATAGTCCACTGCTGGACATATGCCTCTCCTTAGAAAGGTTATGGCCTACTATACCACGCCGGCCTGACGAAGTTTGCCCGATTAAATAATTTTCCTCAATTTAGGATTCAAATAAAACGATTTTATTACAAATTAATATCGATCATCGAAATACTTTAATTGGAATCCCAAAATAAGGAAAATAGAAGAATATTTATGATATAAACGATATTTAGAACAACTAAGCATGTGTTAATATAATTTGCGTGGAGAACTCGCGGTCGCCGCGTTGAGTTTTGTCGCTGGCTATCATAAAATAAGCTCTAGTGACTACATAACGTCAAAGTAAATTTCTGTATGTTACTACTACTGCAATCTTCATTCAAACCGTTGCTCTTGTATTATTTGAGCGAACGAGTGCGGTAATCAACCGTACAGCGTCATCGCGGGCACTCGAGACGAATAGAACGTCACAGCGTAGTTAGTAGAGTTGATATTGTATACAAATGAAAACAAGTATGCGCTTAGCATGCAGCCACCGCACGCTTTAGGGTAGTTATACATTCATTGTAAATGTATACATTATAGTTTTTTATATTACAATTTAAGAGGGGGAAGCAAAAGTAATAAATATATTATATCGATTGAACATTTTGGCTCAACCGTTAAACAAATCAATTCCATTTTATGAGTAACTAAAGCACGGACAAATTACTGGAGATTCAAATGCTTTTGATGTCGGAGTCTAAAGCCGTTCAATGAATTGTAAATTTCATATTAATGGTATGAAGCAGGTGATATATGAGAGCGTGGTGTCAGAGATAGCGTAGCAAAAGAAGTTTAGTTAGTAATTAGCGCGTTACCTCCGTCCTGCGCGTCGCGCTCGCGGTAGGCGGCGAAGCGCTCGCTGTAGTCGCGCCGCCGCGACTGCGACTCCTCGGCGCGCTGGCGCTTGCGCTTCTCTGTTACACGACATGTTTATGTGTTTAATTATAAAAAAATAATAAATTATAGAACGGCAGTTAGAAGAATGACAACGAAAACGTTATTACACAAGCATATTTGAATTTTGTTAAGTACAAATTTGTTTTTTAGAAAACTGTGTTGCGTTTTACTGTGATAGATTTACCTATATAATATTTCTAACAACATAACATAAATTTTCTAATCAATATCAGAGTTTTTTTTTCTGTAGACATAGTTTCATTTGTGTAATGTGACTGACTACACGCCATATTTTTTTACATTAATCACAAAAGAAATGATAAAAAAGACATAGTAATAATAGTTTGTGTAAAAATACTACGAGTAACGTTCTGATGGCGTTTTTAAAGTTCTTTAATCGTAATTATCTAAAAGTCAAATCTTATTTTCATGGTTAGTTACTGACCTCGTTTGACAATCTCCCGGCCCTCATCCACTAAGTCGGTAGTGAGTTCGTCGTCCCCGATGAACTGCTGGAAGCCGCAGAGCGACAGTAGGCGACTACCCAGCGACAGGTACGTCGCCACGCACAGCAGCACCACCAGCATAGGGAAGTAGATGTTGAAACCCTCCGCGATAATGCCCAGCACTTCCATGTGGCCCATTATCTAAAAAGGACCAAACTAAAAATTATTTCCTGTTTTATATGCTAACGAACTCTGCTATAACGCTCAGCCATAATATACAACTGAAAAGTGTGAAAGCCAACTAGCAGGTTTTTGAGGAAACAGTAGTATTAGTTTTAAGATCCTTTGTACCCAAATTCACAACAAAAAAATTTTAGAAATAAAAAAATCAATATGTGATTACTGATACGAATATCTGCTACATATACATCGCCAATATAAGGCATCACACATCATCACATCAACAGCCTTTAATAGTCCACTGCTGGACATAGGCCTCTCCTTAGAAAGGAGGTTTTGGCCTACTATACCACGCTGGACAGACAGGTTATCATAGGCTTTTTGTCAAGCTTTCCTTCTCTGTGCAGTGCTGTTGTCCTGGGTAGTTTGCTACCTCAGTCGGCTTTTTAAACACCCACGCGGTACATAAATAGGGGTGGTGACATTCTGTATTTTTAATCCGTCACCACACGGCATGTTAGGCAAATATCTGATACTTTTTTTGGTTCCGAACTTAATATTTACCGAATTGTACCAAAGGTGTTATAACTATATAAATCGAAATAAAATTGTAATACAATAAATAATGTCTATTGCTAATTAACATTTACAAGAATAATACCTGAGTATAGTAGGTCTCCATAATCCTCTCTTTGATCACATTGGAGTCCATGTGAATGATACTGAGGAAGTTGAGACACATTGCGGGGGTGAGCCTGCAGACCATCATCCCGGAGAAGATGAGGGAGTATTCGTTGGTTAGGTGATGAGGTGCCAGGTAGTACAAGTTAAGCAGACGGATCTTGAGCACCGTGGAGTAGGCACAGTAGAACATGTACGCGATTACTATTGTCGAGATTGCCTGTAGATAAAAGGTTGAGTTAAAGAATTACCTTGTCAAGTCTTTTAAGAAATTACCTACTATTGTGTACTATAATAGCAACAAATCCATTAATGTTGGAGAAGTCAGGTGAAAACAGTTTAGACAGGAGCAATTCTAAGTACAAACCTTTTACGTTTTTCGTAGTAATAAGAGGACAAAAAGAACATCCTTTTGCTATTTCAAAACGTTGGCTAAAGAATATTCAGATAATAGGAATGTGTATACAAGATTTAATAATAAGGTATCTACGTTAAGTTGTTGACAGCCAGCTGTCATGGGTATGGACTATCAGTACAGCCAATATGTAAACTACAAACTGAAATAACTTTTGAAAAATCTGATAATGAAAACTGTAAATTGTGTATTACCAGCCAAATAAATACAACAATATTCATTACTATGAGGTTCGCAAGACGGTACAAAAGTCCCATACATGTCTGTCATTTGTATCCTCACCTCAATCGCCAAGTAGTTGTAATTGCCGGTAGCTGCTATCACAATCTGTGCGAATATAGATAGCACAGGCTTTTTGCTAAAGAAGGTCATTTCTGACCACACGACGGCTATGGACATCACGCCGGTGATCAATGCCATTGTCTTCAAGAAATACTGCTTTAAGAAACATTCCCAGTACCATTCTGAAAAATTATTGTGACAATAGTATGAGCCTGTCTAATGAACACAAAATGAAATGAAAACATTGTTTTTCTTTTTCATTTGACGAATCTTTAAACCACACATTCTGCACTTTATTTCTAGACGATTTGCAAAATATAAACAGAAAATATTCCGGGGTTAAGAAACCGTTTTTTTTTTTGTTTTAGTTATTTGCAACATCATTTGTAAATGCAGTCATAATATATTGACCTCAGGCGGCGATCAGCCGTATACGTTGCGCGTTAACATCACACGTTGCCGCTTTTACTACACTCGAATCGAACGAAATATGTTGATTATTGTGTCATCAGGATGAAGGACACGCTTTTTTAATTAGTTCATCCAGTAAGTACAGACCCTTAGCCACCGTGCTGATTGTTATGCTGTTCTGTGTCCTTGTAGATGCGCTCACGACAAATTATTGTAATAATAATATTGTGGTTGTTCGTGAGATATTTGCTTAGAAAAGTTTTGTTATGTTCATAATTGTTTAGTCTTATTGCGTTCGTCATAATAAGAGTACACAGCAATGGTGTGAACAATGAATGTGATCGTGTGCGCAAGACATAGTGTTGTAACGAGTACCGCTAATTTTGTTTTGAAAAGTGTCAATATTAGTTTGTGTGTGTAGTGTAATAAGTGTGAAACTAAGTGCATTATCAGTCTTTTAATTTTATTGGGTTATCGGTATCGACATCCATAATACCGCGAGTGACCTTTGCAGCCGCGGAATATCCTAAGATGATATTAATTTACGGGGAACTCTATCAACTAAACCGAGGTATGGAATCAATCATGTATGTCCTACAGACAGCCCAATTTTTGTAAGGGCAAAACAAAGGTTACGAGACAACCAAAGTACCCACTTTTTCAAGGAGTAACACGTACTGCCGAGCCCGACGCTGGTCGAGCATTCTCGAAATAAACACGATTTTATTATCGTATTTTTAATAAATTCATTTTAAAAAGCAAGTGAAGTAAGTGACTAGTAGGTAATAAGAATGTAAAGTTCGCCGGCTCGTCGCAGCGGCGGCGTCGCTTTGATGTAGCCGACATAGCTACGCTGCCGTGTACAGTTCACTGACTCATGTTTAACAATAGTGTTCTAATTGGACATTATTTTATTGTATTTATTTAATTTTAAATTTGCATTTCTGTATTTTCGTACTATTTTTTTTTAAATTTTAATCGACGTATATTGCCGTGTTATCTATTATTTATTTTTGTGATAAGCTTTAAACCAGACCGTATATCACAGTTTATTCGTCCCGCATTAGGAATCTATCCCGTGTTGCGGGGGACTTTAAAAACATACATAAAACGGACACAAAGAACATCGGGACTCAGAACAACAATTTGTGGATCAAACAAAGTATCGTCCCATGTGGGGATTGAACCCACTCAGCGTAGTAGTAAGCGACCGCCTAAACCACTACGCCATCCGTGCAGTCAAATTCATTCATGGTGATCGATCTTTGCTTCAAGAAAAGATGCCTAGAAATATAATATGCCTAATAATACTCCCTGTATTAGCAGTAAATTGACGAGTAACAGGAGAATGGAAGTATAAAATATAAATTTAGGAAAAGGACAAGAATGTTTTGTTGAAAGAGTTAACTGGCAAAATAGTTTAAAAGACGTTACTAAATACTTATAATATTACAATTCCTACAAAGGTAACAAATTTTACTATTTAGTGACTGATTAAAGTAAAAAACAAAAATATTAATTAATTAATTACTTAAATGGAGGTAGTTTTTTTTAAAGTCTCGTAAACACTATCCCTTTAACATTATAAAAGAGTTTTTGTTCACAATCAAAGCTGATTATTCAGTCCCTTAAAATTATTGTTAACATAAAACCGAAATACAATTTAGGTAAAGCCGTTCGTTGTTTTACAGTTGAAAAAGAGGCGCTCAATGACCATTTCGCCGCCTGATAAAAGGCTGAGACTATTTGTAAACAATATTTACCAAAGATAGGCGGGTACAGTATACGTGTGAGCCGCGGCCTTGCTGTTTGGAACGTGTGTTGGAAGCGCCGATCGGGCGAACGCTGGTTCGCCGCAACGTCCTCAAGGTGGAATATTCTTTCTAGCATCAAACCCCATTGGGTCTCCGTCCGCTGCAGTCCATGGAGTGCTTTGATTGTCTGTGAAATTGAGACTTGGAGTGTAACAGTTGTTTTATGATAGTTACGTCCAAAGGGAGGTCTATGTATTTGCATTGTGGAATTTTTTGTCGTGACTATTAAATGGGTAAACCGTTTTTGATAATGACGACATAAAAGTTTTTTTACCTTTTTTCATTTGCAGTTTCTTAACCCTTGGGGTCTTTTGTACTAGCTTTTTCATTACTTTACATTAAGTAGAGGTTTTGCAGTCATAGTGTATTACTTTGTATATATATATATATATATGTACTGTTTGATATGGCATTCAAATTTATTCAATTCTAGCTTTTGCCCGCATCTCCGCAAGCTTGTATGTCCGTTATTGCGGTAAAAAGTAGTCTATATTACTCGCTGATAATTGCTTTAGCTTTAGCTTTCCATTAGAGAAAGAATTTATAAAATACGTTTAGTCAAGTAAACAAACTCACTTCCACATAGGCGTAGTGCACAATAAACTCCTATTACTAATTTTCTTTTTTTTTTATGTATAATGCTATCATTTATAATAGGCCTTGAAATATTACTTCGACGGGCAGTCTGTGTTTAATGAGACAATTACAATCATGGCGCATTAGTTTAATATTACCTTCTTATGTAAATTGACAAGTGACTTGGGTGAAGGCGGAGTGGCTCGCTCTGGCGCAGTTCGGCCATTCAGTCGGTCACGGAGTTCTATTGGTAACTTCTGTACAATGATTTCCACATGACGTTGTAACGGATGGCCTGGGCCGACAGCCGCTATCACTGCTTTTAAACTCTGCAAGTCAGATTAACCGTAAAGTACACAACTTATGTTTTAAATTTATAAAATAATTAAGTTTTTAACATTCAAATATTGGAAATCCTTGCGTAAATAAGGAAATATTATTTTAATGTTTTCATTCCGATCGAACTAGTGATACAAGTTTCTCTTATACCTGGGAACAGTTTATATACAATGATCTGAGAAGTGGAGGTACAAGACATAATCTGTTGAACATCATCATCAGCCTATCGCAGTCGACTGCTGGATATAGGCTTCCCCTATTGCACACCACTTAGCTTGATTTTGGGCTTCTCGCATCCAGCTCCTGCCAGCCATCTTTCGCAAATCGTCACTCCACCTGGCCTGTGGGTGTCCTACACTATGTTGAACACATATACTAAATACAAAAAATACTTACATCCAGAATATCATCAACGGTTTCCTCAGCCTCACACTTGTCAGTGCTAATTTTTGCTATCTTGAAGTAACAGTAAGTTAAAGTGTAATTTTTCTTTGAATTATTCCATAGATTCCTCGGCACTTCTACTAAAGCATACCCTAGCAGCAGAATTAATAAGAACAAGCCCCATGTGTTACTTGCTGATGATGCTATCGCCTTGATTTTAGGTGGGTCTAGGTATACTCCAGGTTTTAGAGCAATGTATATTAGTAGTATGCCACATATTAGTAGGTATGAGCCATAGTATATAGCATTGTCGACTAGTGCAGACTTCAATTTTCCTTTAACGGTGAAGTCACCTGCTTTGCTGTAGGATTGCATCATTGGCATTATAAGCCTAAAACCAGCAAAAATATTACATATTAATAAATTTGAAAATAGCTTTATAGTCTACCGATATACAAAAAGGTAATTGAAAGGTCCCATGTAAAGGTACAAGATACATGCAATTTATTTTTATTTATACTTAAAGATTATGTACAGAAGAAAATTGTTTTTTTTTTAAACTAAAACTAAATATTTGCAAGAAATTAAAAATTTATGCAAAAATGGTTTTTGTTATATGCTTGTTTTTATTGTCAATTTGCATAAATTGGCCTGTGCTACATAAGTGTAACAATTACAAGTTCTATTGCAATCAAATAAAACAAAAATAAAAAATTAATAGGTATAATGCACAATGTGCCACATAATGACCAGGTAATCTCTACAGTAGTTGTATTAAAATATTTGAGATAACTTCAGAGCACTTTAGAAACTTATAAACATAGATTTGAAATTACTTAAACATAATAATAATTGTTTAAGTAACTGATAACTATCAACTACTTATTCTTATCTGTTCCATTAGTATTTATATTATAATAGCTTTTAAAACTAAGTAAACACTTTATTGATATGATACATGTTATTAAGGCTAAATAAATACCAGTTACAGGAAATTCTCTTTACTGACTACTGTTGGTCTGCTCTTTCCTGTGTTACTGTATATTGATAGGATCTTAGCAGGCTTAGCCTAGGCTATAACTAAAGCTTCTAGAAAACACAATTTCTGTATAAATGTGGAGGAAAGTAATTTGCAGCATCTAGGTCTTTGAAACCTCTTTTTGTAAATTATTATGATAAATCAGTTTTGACTTTGTGTTTATTTTAAAGATTATCTTACCATGTTAAGCACTGTGATGTCCAATAGACTACTCTCCAAAGATTAGGAAATATATCACTGCTTACAAATGATGATGGTTTTTGACATTCAGTGCCAGGTGATGGGGCAAGTGTAGAAATATTCTGGACTCCTTGAGTTGTGGTAGCGGCTTTTGCGGCATTCTCTAAACATTGTCGATACACTGTCTGTTGGTTCAAGATTTGAAAGTTTAATATGTGATACAAAAATACCCATTTCTAAGATTTGTTAATTTAAAAGGGCATGAAAATGCTTTGGTCACCCTTATATTTTTCCTTATTTTATTGGGTGATAGTTGTGTGTCATCTACAAACTAATTAATAATCTGTATTAGTTTTTTTTTATCACACAGTATTTTCATAGTCCTATTATGTCTGATATTATATAGTGAAGATTACTGGATACATAAAAAAAAAGAGAGTTACCAGATAGCCCTTCTTAGTTCTCAAATAATAACTTTACACAGCTCACACACAGCTGTCGTGCAAACTAGGCAGAGCCTGTGCTATGGTAACCAGACTGCTGATAAACATACTTATATATTTCTAAATACATACATAGTATAGATAAAACACCCAAACACAAAACAAATCATCGTACTCATCATAGAATTATTTGCCCTAGGCGGGAATCGAATCTACAACTTCCCGCTTAGCAGTCAGGGCCACTAGGACCCTACAAAAACAAATTATATTTAACTATGTCTTTCACTTTATTGGCTTTAGGAACTTTGTTTAAAGTAGTTTAAATAAAATCTAATTATAATGAAAATACAAATAATAAGTAAATTATATTATACATATGAACAAAGAAAGTTTAATTATGTATTGAATAAATGAAGATGTTTGTGTAGTTACTTACTGAAGATATATCTAGTGGCAGGAGGAACATAATCACGAAAGAGAAGTACCATGCTGTTAACACAGACACCGTCACAAGTATGTGATTCCTGTAGCAGTCTCCATATCTATACAAAAGTGTAGCTGCCAATATAAACGCTGATATCAGTTCTATCACAAATAACGTATAAGCCATATTGCATCAACTGATTGTACGATTCAGTAACAAAGTTAATTTTTCTTCGCAGTTTTCTGCTTTTCTCGCCAGACTCTTGCAGCTTCGTGTTGTAGCTGTTCGTAACGAATTTGTGTCGAAGATTTTAAAGGCAATAATCTAGGCCGTTCGATTTCGTACTCTGGTGGGCATTCTTCATAAAATAACACTCCAGAATCGGGCAAAATAGGGTCAAACTCAATACTCAAATTTTCAGACTTCTTCACTTCTGACATATTTTTAGGTACAAAACATTGATGACGCTAACATTGTCGATATTACACAAAACAAATTAGTGTTAAAATCACTCTAAGGTAATATCATATAAAAGAATAATCCGTTAATATTAATTAGAATGTCTAAATAAATTTTATTTGCTACTTGATTAAAAATCGCTAAAACGCAACCTAATCATCAATCTATGACTATTTTAATCACATTGACAAACTGTCAAAAATAATAATACCAGAGAAAAATAAAGTTTGCCTCTTTAGACTTTAGGATATTTGTATCTCACTATCTTTCTCGTTCATGATTTCTCAATATTAATATGCTTGATACTTGACTATTGGTAGAATTGGAACGTTTTTAAGTACAGGTTAAATATAATTAACGTTACATTGTACGAAGAAAACAAACTACACCAGTTAGTTTTGAAATATATTTACAATATTAATATAAAATAAGAATACCGTAATACTATCAGCTTTACCGTTTTGTACCTAGCGTAATACAGAATACACAGGATAGGGACCCTATTTTGTCTTTCGAAATAAAATATTTTTGGAATCAATACCTTAGAAACTTAGAACCGAGTATCAAGTACTTACTTATTGTACAAATTATTATTTGTGCTATAGTGCTTATAGTGATGTACAATTCTTCACTATAGGTAGAGGAAACGAGAAGAAAGAGAAGGAAGATTTTTGCCAAGCAAGCAAGAGGCAGTTTTTCTTAGATGCTAATTGATGCTTTTTTTTTTCCACCCTGGCTCTGACCTGAAGATACCTAAGCAAACCTAAAAAGAAAAATTATCTAGGTACTAACTACAATACTTAAAGTTATTTAAAACCTAAATAAATGAACAACCTATAATACTTATGTGTAATTGTTTACTTACTGTACCTGAAAGTACTATCTATAGATAGATATAAACCTCTAAATTAACTGATTAATAAATTGGCATACGCCCAGAGCCCAAACGGCTGAAGTTAGAGACACTTTTCGGATGGAAGATTTCGTGGTGTAGGTAGGTGAAATAGAATAAGAAAGTGTTTTGGCTATAGGGTGTAACCTTTTGTATGAAAAAAAAAACCGGGGTACGATCGCGGGAATAGTTTGCTAGTTACATATTATTTTAAACTTTTGCCCACCCTGAGCCCATGACTACGCCCATGCTACGTCATATCAGGATTCCAAATTTTATGCATTGTCGACCCTGCAGATAATTAAAGTTTATAAGAAAAACTTTTAACGAAAACTAAATGGTACCTATCGTTCGTTAAAAGGGGTCCTTAAAGTCAGTAGTAGTTTTGAAAAAAATAATTTACTGGTGATTATCTTAAAAAGAATCATCATAATTTTATGAAGTCGGGGTTCTCTTACAACTGGTGATTTAATTGTAATTTACGCCTAACACAGTTTAATAAACCAGACTTCTGTAGGTAGACAGCAGGAGTTAGATTCTGGACAGACAGGACAGGACAGTAGAACAAAATCTACAGTTCTCTGCATTTTTGTAACTTTAATTCAATGGTTGATTAAGTCTGTTGATTCTCCCTTCTGTTTCAAGAAAATCTACTTACTCAATTTATCAGGATTAAGAATATTATTTCAGTGGCTAATGGTAATTAATATGACATTCATAACACAAGGAATCACATACATGCTACCAAAAAGTTCAAACTCCAAAAATCCTGCAGATTACAAACCCATCACATGTCTGCAAACTATATTTAAAATTATTACGAGATGCATTAGCGAAATTATTTACAGACACTTAAATCAATACAACATTCTAGCAGAACAACAAAAGGGTTTTTGAAAAAATAGCCAAGGTGGTAAAGAACAAATAATCATAGACTCGATAGTAATGAGACAAGCCCAAACTAGAAATAGGAACATCCATATAATGTACATATATCGATTACAAGAAAGCATTTGATTCTGTCCCCCATAGCTGGTTAATATATGGATTCTACTATTTTAAATTCACATTTTTAGGCAAAGCCATGCTTCACTGAAAAACTAAATTAAAATTAATAATAACACTTTAACTACTGACTTGATAAAAATAGAAAGAGGCATATTTCAAGGAGACGCGCTTAGCCCGCTTTGGTTTTGCATGGCACTCAACCCCTTATATATAATATAGTATTTAAATAAAGATGCAATAACTCATTCCACATACTCTCACACTTACTTTACATGGATGACATTAAAATTTATGCAACTAACATCAACAACAAAAAATCATAGATATCTATACTAATATTATAAAGCTGAAGAGTTTGTTTGTTTGTTTGTTTGTTTGTTTGTTTGTTTGTTTGAACGCGCTAATCTCAGGAACTACTGGTCCGATTTGAAAAATTCTTTCAGTGTTAGATAGCCCATTTATCGAGGAAGGCTATAGGCTATATATCATCACGCTAAGACCAATAGGAGCGGAGCACCAATGAAGAATGTTTCAAAAACGGAGAAAATTTATTACTATTGATAGACGCAGACGAAGTTGCGCGGGTCAGCTAGTACCTAATAAAATAGGCGGCATGAAAGTATTTGATTCTTCTTTATCGCTGCTTAAATTTACATAATTTAATGAGTAAAAGTGTTTATGTCATAACTTACAAAAAAAGTTTAAGAAAAGCTTGGTTACTATTGAAAACAAACGAGACGGAAAACGGATTATCGGTTTTACCAGGCTTCTTTTGATTGAATGGAGCTTTGATGTCTTCAGAAGGGATTTTTTTTGAGAAGCCAGACAATGCACGGCAAACTTTGTCCCTGATGAGTTTTGTTTCCCTTTTGTCAGTGCTTAGATGATTATATTTAAGATTTAGAAGTGAAAATGTACGCAAAAAAGATATCAAAGAAATCCCTTACGACTGCGTAACATATTTAAAGGAAATATGCAAGATGTTTAAAATCTAGTTTGATCTTTGTTTGGCCATATTTATGATGTCATGGACTATACCCATTAGTCACTATTTTATCATGAAATACGATAGTATTACGATCACAGAATAATCAAATTTAAGATCTGGTATTGTTTTCAGTAACACGAAAATATATATACACCTTTACTACATACTCTGAGGAGGACCTGGACCATGTGATTTTTTGTGGTTTACATGAATAGACTCCGAGCCTATTCAGACCCTATCTTGGAGGACAATTCCTCCAGGTGAGGAAAGCTTGCCAATGCAAGCTTACCACCAATATATAAATATCTACGATCATCACTATCGCTACGGTCATCACTGTTCGCTTAAATACTTAATATCGTACCTATGCAGTAGTGCTAGATTTGCAATAGATTTGTGTTTGATGTAATAATTTTTATATCGTAAACGAAATGCCGTTAGTTTGTAAGCATATGATTAGGAGACTGTTAAATTTGGTTACCTTTTCGTCTAAAAGTAGATGAAAAAGAGGTTTTAGAGAAAAAAATAATGGAAAACTTATCCGGAATCCAGGCAACAATTTAAGGATTAATAGTATCGGTTATTGTTGCGTGTAAACATTATGTGCATAAATACGGTTAAATCTGTTTGTATATATTTAAATAAGTATGAAAATGGTTTGTGTCAAGTTTTCCTTCTCTTTGCAGTGCTGTTGTCTTGCTTGATCCATTTTTTTTTAAAGACTATGCCCGCATTTTGAATATATCCTGTGTCGCGGGGGACTTTACAAACATACATGGAACGGACACAAAGAACACCCAGACTCAGAACAACAATTTGTGGATCACACAAAGTGTCGTCCCATGTGGGGTTTGAACCCACAACACTCGGCGTAGTAGAAAGCGGCGTGGTGACCGCTTAAAGCACTACGCCATCCGTGCAGTCAAGTGCCAGTGCATTAGTCAGCTCTTACGACACCCACGAGATGAGTAGAAGCGGTGACACTCAGTATTCTTAATCCGTCACCACACGGAGTACATATATCTATATATTATACATACGACGTATCTTGATTACGTTAAAACTTTTGTAGCTGTGTTTGAGGAACCGAATACAAATTTTAAGTGTTTATTACCTTACTAGTATTATTTATTATATAAACTTGTGAAGCACCGATATCTTAACGAATGTTACAGACATGGCTACGTGTTTAGAGTATCAAAATTATACCCTAGGGGGCGATAAACTGTCTACTTGCGAAGGATATCGAAGGAGGAGGTAAGTCTTATTGAAACATCGATAAAAAACTGGTACATCGTAAAATATTTTATCTTCTCGAATCTTGAAAGGCCTAAAACATAAGACGAGCGTTTTAGCTTACCTTTTTTATCAGTTGAGGAAACTAAACTTTTAACGTATACTTTTCTAATTCGCTACAGCTTTTTTGGCTTCGGAGTTTGAGAGTGATAGATACCGTCAAATGTGTAAAATCTAGGAGAAAATTATGAATTTGAAACAAGATAGATAGCCACTTATTTATAATGTATACTAATTATCTTTAGGTACATGCTCGTAGTATGTAATAAAGTCGCTTTCCGTTCTTGTACGCTTGGACCTTTCAAACTACGCAACGGATTTTGATGCGTGTCGGGTCGTCAATGGAGTGAGTGATACAAGAGAAAGGTTTATATACTCGTATGTATTATGCCTGCATATTACACAGACACCTAATTAGTATCTGCATTGCACCCGTGTGAAGCCAGGGCGGGTCGCTTATGATAAATTTTGTCACTGTTTAACTTTAATACATCAATACCTCAAATTTGAATAATAATAGATTTTGCTCTAATCCCAGGCCTTCCTCTGGTTTTAAAGCAAATGCCCCGGGAATTCGTATTGATTCCTTAATCAAAACGAATGCCTGGGGCATTTCGTTTTCTGTGAATAAAATTCAAGCCCATACCGTATTTTGGTATTGACATTGTCGCATAGGTTTAAATTTGCGAGAATACGAATCATGTGTACCTTTGACACGTACCAAAATTTCTTAGACCGTTTAAATATTTACCCAAAGGTATAGTAATTCTAGTGTAATTATATCGTCACTATCATTA